GCCATGGTCTCTTGTGAAAAAGCAGGAAATGGACAGGCCTATAGTTTAAAAATCCATTCTGGAGAGGATGATTATTTTCTACACATTTAGTAAGTAAATCTTAAATCTCAAAATCGGAAGCATTAATGACCATCCAACTTTCCCTGCTAACATGAATGAATCTGATAAATATATATTTTTCTCTGTGATTGGTTATGTACTTGCGGTAAGTTTTCAAGTCAGTGAAGGTTAACTTTCCTTATTGAAAATTGGTGAATCTAATAACTGCCTTGAAAATAGGTATCAATATATGACTCTTGTTGACTCTAAATTAATTTAAAGAACATTCAGTTTGGGATTTGGGATGGATTTAACTATATTTAATATATTCTATATACTAAACCGTTTTGTACAAAGGATGACTCACACAGAGAAGCACACAGATAGGCCCCAAATTCCAACACTAAATGGGACAATTGTAGTTCATTGTTTTGGTTTATCCATCGAGTCATCCATTTTCTGTTATTTTCTCTAAAACAGGTCACAATGGTTCAAGTCTAACCTTTTCTAATCCTTCCATATGGGATTACATATAGCTAAATCAATAACACGCATACAAAAATCCACCAGTCAGTCGTAATGTTAAGCCCAAGTCAATAGCATTGATTATCTTGTTAAAATGGCTTCTGTGAAGCTAGACAAATAGACAATGAGATGGGTTGTTTTTATGGAAGAAGTATTTTGACCTCCAAAATGTGACTTTTTAACATTATTTTATATTATCTGGAGATGGCAAAAATCTGATATGAATGTTGTAGCTGGCGACTTCTGCTTGAGAATCCATTCAAAGACCTCACTTCTGATTGGCTGTATGTTTTATGTAGAACATAAAGCTCTGGTCCTGACCACTTACTGGGCAGGCCTTTGCAAACAGTTTGCTTGCGCTTTGAAAAACAAGTGAGAATAGGGTCATGTGGAACATTCTTCAAAAACTTTTAAAAAATGCGTAATGATCTGAAGATTTATTTTTAGGGGATTCATCACTCCTGAATTTGAACTTTAACACTTTCAATGATTTCGTCTCTAGTTTTTTCATTTTACTGTCTAATGCATGTGGGCCATGTTGGCCAACCCACCTAACAACCTTTAACTCATCCACCCATCCCGACCCCTTAACTCATCCCTTTATATCGTTCATTTTCTTCAGGTTCCTCAGCCTCCTGTCACCATATCTCATTCTCATCTCACTTGCGTAGCCACCTCCTTTTTTGCTTGGCAGAAGTTGATCCCCAAGTCCTTCTCTCATTGACTTGCAGACACCCACACACACTTGAGAGCAGGTTACTCTGTGTCAGTGACTGTTCTCTGTTGAGTGGCTGTGGGCGATGTGATGATGTCGAATTACTGTGGTGATTTTCTGTTGCCGCGGCGACGCTCACTCAACGACCAAATGAAGCACACAAGCACAGACACACATGCTGACTAACACCCCTACTTTGGTCTGTATAGGGGAGGCGGCAGGACAGCAAACACAGACTCACACATGCATAACTCCAGACATAAAGGCTCTTGACTTTACCTGCACACACTCCCACGTAAACACAGACCACCAGGTAGAGTTACCCTATAGGTTCCAGTGCGGAGCTGTTACAATGATCTCTAAGCAGTTTTGATAAGTGTGAAATACAGTGGCGGTAACAAATCTTGTTATTGTATTCTCGCTCGCTCTAAAAGAGTCTTGTGTAACCACAGGCCCTATATATGAACTAAACGGAGGTGTTAATATGCTCAGAATGTGAAAAGGTAAGGTACCAGCTTTTGAAATAACAGCAGACCATTTCTTCTCGTTAAGAGCACCTTAATGAGCTTAATGAAATGCAGCTGTTTGACTCTCTGACAAAACATATCTGTTCATTGCAAATTTACAAAAAAAACCTTCAGGTTTGAGTATGTTCTTCAAGTCTGAAGAAGCCCTACTCAAAATCCAGAAACCCTAATAACTGTAAATAATAACATAAAATAAAGACAACGGAAAATCTATGAATTGACATTTGAATTGACATTTGCTTCAGTACATTGACAAAGGTTTTTAAGTGAGAATAGCATGATTCAATTTTCCTCTTCTCTAACTTATTTTCCCCATCTTTTTTACTTTTTGACTACATGTGAAGATTCCAAGCTAAATAAGTTGAAAACTAACCAGTGGACAAAATTGACTCCACAGTCTGTGGTAGCCTGTAACTTAGTGTACTGTGTAAGGTATATAGGTCAGTATTACCTCTTAAGGAGATACGAAAAGAGACAATTTGTTTCTGAAATGTAAGAACGTTATATCCAAGCATTTTCAAATTTGAATCTGTTTTTTGGCTTCCCAGATTTTGATTGACAGACACCATAGAACTTGTTTTGGTAAATTACAGTGTTAGAAAGTTCCTTATTCATATTTTTATGAAATACAATTCCTTCCGCGATTTCTTTGCAAATGCCTTGCAATAACTGGACTATTTTACATTACAAAAGCTAAAGTAGTTGCAAGAAAAGCCGTGAGATCCAAGGTAAAAATGACTGAAAAAGAATTAACTGTTTTTTGGAAGGAGCTCTGTGCAGAGATCAGAAAGAAAAAGAAGGAAGTGACTCAAATCCACAAGCAGTATAGAGACCAACAAAAAAAACATGAAGTCATTGTAGGAAAAAACTGCATGTGAATGGTAAGAATGGCTGCCATTGAATATTAAAATCCCCCTGCTCTGACAGTAAGATAAAAGGAAAAAGAAAAAAGGGGAAAGAATAAAAGAATGAGAGTAATAACACCGATCAGACAGCATTAGAGACCAGTAACTGGAACTGTGAAGCATGAGTCATCAGCCGCTTCCAAAACCTCATACACACACAGACCAACGAGCCATCATCCACTCGTTCCACTCTACCAATTTGTCAGTCATCCCATTTTAAGTTATCCTCAAAGTATCTCAAACACCATCCTTTTCCTGCACATTCACATATAATCAACTCCAGATCTAATTCCTACAGGGACCCACAATTTTTCGCCCATGCTTGATTCATTCCTTCTCCACATATCTCTCCTATGTAGACATAAAAATACTCATGCATGCTCACACACTTGCGGCAACACACCCACATGAAAATCCACACACTCTCTCTCTCTCCCGCCCGCCTTGACATTCACAGTCCCACAGCAACGGCATACAAGAGCTCCTTCCTGTGCTGCTCGCCCACCTGCTGCATCATACAACCCAACTCTGGGAAAGAAAGAATCTTTTCAACCTTTCTAAGTGAAAAGCACTTAAGGAAAAGTACCATCTCTCATGTGAACGCCACTCAAAATGTCCTCTTTTTCAGATCCTTCGCCCTCTTTCACTTCCAGGTTGTGTGCAGGAGCCAGACAGGTTGCTTCTGGCCATTTAGCAGGATTTTGGAGAAAAGAAGCAATTTTAAACACCAAAATCTATTCGAAAGGGCAGGTAAGTTTTTTTTTCACCCTCAATCCTTCAGTTTTTTGGCTTGGATGTGGGTATGAGGTGAGATGGGGGAGGTCATAATCGATCATGTTCTCTCAATTTAGCTGTTATGCCAGCTGGATGTGTGTAAGCACACACTGATATGGTGCTGATCTATTTGTGTTTGGTATGTACGACTTACCATGAAGGGATTGAAGCGGGTTAACAAGGACTTTCCTTTGTGCTGATAAGCAACAACTGACATGTAAAAAGGGACATGTACAGTCTGTAAAAAGGACTCCAAAGCTGATTGTAGTCTGTAAAAAGGACTCCGTAGTACTCCAAAAGGACTCCATAGCTGATTGTATGAATGGCAGCCAGCTTGGCCTGAGTGGGTAGTGGCCACAGGCACCCCTGGAGACCCTTTCACTCCTCACCTGTATCATCAGTTCCATTTTGTCTTATTTGTTAAAAAGCAGTATGTTTTGCTGTTCACAACAGAAACTAAAAGTAAGCATTATTTACCATTTATCAGTACTAGCCTCAGACATTTTCGAAGTATCCGTTTCGATCAATTATCACTTGTCTGGGCTGAACATTAAATAAATGTTTGACTATTTTCATTGACTTTTTGCAATTCTTCTTCAGGAGGTACCTTGATCTATGCATCTTTCTATTGGGTAATCTCAGGTAAAATGTTCACTGGAAGCTTGTTTTTGTATCAGATGGAAAAATGTTTACATACAACCTCAACTTTAGTGTATCTTAAGCCACCAACGATGGAGGAAGATAAAAGTTTTTGTTTTGAGGAAGTTGTTCTTCATACTGAAATTCTTACTCTATATTGCTGGTCAGTTCTTTTCAGCCCACCCACAATATTCCGCGTGAGACTTCTCCTTCAGTGAGAGAACATATCCATAATGTTGTCACACACTTTGAATTGTAGATGTCCAACTCCTTGAGGGCCTCTATCCTGCAGGGGTCAACACACCTGATTCAGATTATGCAGATCCCTTCAGAAAAGACTGCTAATATTGCAGTCATTTGAGCCAGGTGGGCTGAAGCAGGGAAACATCCAAAACCTGCAGGGTATCAGGGAGGTGTGAAGTTTGTCACTGCAGCTTTAAATAATCTGAGCCTGTCACAGCCAAATGCAAGCACTCGAATATTGGTTGCCATGCTATTCCAATAATCTCCTTCAAAAGCTGCGATTACTGAACATGTCTGTGCTTTTCACTCCTGTTCAAAAGGAAACAGGGCTGAGATTGATAAAAGGAACCACAGTTTCATTATAAACTTCAGTAGCCACTGAAATGTGCTTTGTTGTGACTGCATTTTTGCAAAGCTGTAATTTGACAGACTGCTCAGTCCCTAGTGTGATTTTAAAACAATGAGGCAGAGATCAGCAATTTAAAAAAGCTGCTCCTTTATTTGTTGCCCGTTTAAAAAAATCTTCCTCAAGGTTTTTTAATCTAAATCAGTTGTTTCTGCCTGTTTACTTGATTTAATGTAATCAAGAACATGCTTTCATTTTCATTATTGTATTATTTTTTAATGTACACCTTTTATTGAAATTGTGCTCTCACTTTCTAACACAGTAAAAACAACACAGCTGGGGTGATTTACATTTTTTTGCATAGGTCTTTATTTTGCTTAAATAGAGGACTGATTTTCTATAAATTAATTCACTTGTTGAACTGTGGAGTCTTTAACCGATGCTTTCCTCCGACTGCGTCTCAACAATACTCAGTTTTAAATTTTCATCTGTTTGACGTCTTTCCTCTGTTCTTTGTGCTTTTCCTTCCAACTCTCCAGGTCGCTCTTCCTCATTTACTCGCTCTACCTTGTCTATGACGTCCGCTCCAGCCTTGTTTTTACACCGCAGGTTAATGCGATGCATTCCCAGCCTCTCGCTGGCTTTGGAAAAGTAGTTCTGCAGATCTGCCACAGGTCCCTTTTCAGAAAAAAGCTGCTCCAGGTAAGCCTGAGCGTACTGATCTGAGGTGATGAGGTCCAGGTTGACAGCTGTGGAGGAAGCACCAGGCCCAGTTACTTGCCTTCCTCACCCTGATAAGAGCATCTTATTTCTGTCAAAAACAACTCGACTGCCACTGGAAAAAGTTATTTTGCGTGTTACATTGGTAAAATCTACCTGTCGCTGTCTCCATGTGGGAGAGTGGGATGGTCACACTCTTTCCCGTCTCCCTGTCTGTCAAAGTGAGTCCAGTCATGGCTCCTTCCTCTGGCACCTCATTGGACAGGTCACATTGTGCCAAAAGACCCCCTCGACATTTCCCGACAGAGATTGTATTAGACTTGTAACGTCTGGAACATGAAGGTGGGACAGGCAAAATAACTGAAAATGATTTAATTACGATAATTTCATCACATCTTTAACAAAATGGAATAATTTGTAGATGTATCACCTCGTTCGGTACTGTTGCACTCAAGATATGAATCATAAATAATTATCCTTCAATTCAGACAGAAACTCGGTTCACTGGATCAATACTTGCGGGGCTGCTTGTAACTGATTTATGGATTTAGATTTAAGCCCTCGGGCTTTTCCCTTCCAGTTTCCCTCCACACATGAAATTGGCTATGTAACGATGGCAGCTATGGAGTGGATAGTTTTACTCTGAGCAGAGAGCTTTAAATAAAAAGTGCCACCATAGTGTTTTCTGTTCAATCTGCGCTTACTGTAAAATTAGCTAAAACTGTTTTGACCTTCGTAAAAGCCCCAAAATGGATATCTATGCACATCTGAGTTCTGATATCCATCTTTATTTCATACATCTTTATGACTGTTAGATCGTTGCAGCTTTACCTGTAGGCAGGTATGATCTGGGCTAGGTCTTCCTTGTACTGCTCCAGGGCTGCCCTTGCAGACAGGGGCTCATCTTTCCCCTCCAGGCAAGCCAGGTGAACCAACATCTGGGTGTGAAACGCAGCTCCGCAGGCCCAGTGTCTCAGAGATCTGAAATAATGCACGAGAGAATTCAAAAACAGCTCTTTACAACTGCAATTCTCTCTATCAACCATTTGTCCCTTTATAATATCACAACATTTCTTTCCACCACTCTGTTGTATAAACTACTCTAATTTCTCCTTCCTGCTCTCACCTGGAGTTACAGTCTCCTCCCAGCAGGCAGGTCTTAAGCTGGGTGAGAATCAGGCTGAACTGGGCCTCCAGTCTGATGGAGTCCTGGGTCAACCGGCTTTTATCGCTCAGGCTGATTCTGCACCGCTTCAAGTACTCCTCCATCACCTCCTGAAGCTCCCAAACTCTCTCCTAAATATAAAACATTCAAGCTTGTAAGCATCTCACAGTAGTTTAGCGGCAATCCTTACCTTCTGTTGTCTCCAGCCTCTTCGTGACAGTCTACAGTTTTCATTATTTTTTGTCAAAATTATAAATTAAATGAAAAGCATTATCACTTTTGCTTACTTTTCTTTAATGTCAAAAGTAAGACAGCACAGATTAAGGGGGTAAAATAATCTGATTGATGCTGCATCATTACTTTAGAATATTATCCCCATGACTTCCCGTCAGCCTTTACCTGGCATGAAGATGAACCTGCTGACCTCCCTTTCCCTCCGGACGATCGTTTTGATGACGTTAAGGCCATATCCATCACCATGGTGACCACTAATCCCACCAGGCCGGCCAGTGGTGGCTCATCTGAGAAAGCTGACAGCCGACCAATCAGATCCTTCAGGTACGTGGGTGCCCGGTTCCCAATATCACTCTGCAACTGAGTGAAGACAAGGAAGTTTCACAATACACCAAAAAAAAATTCCAGTGTACTGCCTCTCATCATCAGTCTAAATAAAACAAAGCTGTTAGGTTAGCAGAATGCTCTCTATCCTGTTTAGGAACAACTGTTTACATCACTTTGTTATCATCATATTGGTCCCTGTTGCCCTACTGTATTGATTTCTCACCTCTTAGCAATCCCCAGAAGATATCCATTTTTAATACAGAGTGGTGCTTTGTCTTGCACAATCACTCTTTCTTTACTGTTTCAAGGAAACCGCATCCTCTCACTCCGGTTAATCTCTGCACTTCAGAGCAGAGTGGATTTAGAGGTGATCAATGGGCATCTCTCTTACTTAGGCTATCTCAGGGGGAGCACACCCCCTACTGTAATGTTTTGCAGTCACAGTGTGTCACCATCACGTTGTACTCTTTTGAATACAGTACAATAGGACGTTGCTTTTGGGATATAATAAATTCAATTTCTCAGGTCAGCTTTTATCCAAGAGATAAAAAAAGAAAAACAATGACCTTCCTAACCAAGGTGATCGCATACCCTCTCCCTGCCATGAAAAAAAAAACCCAGATGACAAAATAAAGCATACATTTCACTGCGCCTCACTGATCCTGATTCAGCAGCAAAACAAGCTGAGGCATGAAGTCAGTTTGCATAATGCACCCGTTTCTCAGCCTGGTAATGTTTCCATCAAGAAACTCTCAAATGTTTGTTTGAAGGGAGGAGTTTATATTTCCAATTCATCAAAAAAATTAATAGAAACTGTTTCCAAGTCAGAACATGCCTTCAAATGACACGGTCAGGAAAAGGGTGCTACAGAGATTGAACTTTTTTGTATAAATTTGAACTTGACAATACAATTTCAATTTGAACGTAATGATAAAAATCACTGAATCATGTGCAAATCAGTTTGTATCATCATCTTAACAGATGAATAAATAAAAAGATGCTGCTGTTGACTTATAAAAAGAAGAGGTGTGGCATGCAGGTGATCTGCAGAGTATAAGGAAGACATGAATTATTATCAACTGTATAGGCCTACAACCCAAATATGCAAGCCTTCACTCAGAGAACTGTTAGATAGGAACTGTGTTAATTGATTAATAGATTTAACCTGTGTCAGCTGCTCCTGGAGGCCGGCCTGGGAGTCTGAACGCGCATCCTGATTGGATAAGAGGAGCGGGTGGACCACTCCGAGGTCAGGTACGGCTCCACCTTCCAACATGGCGTCATACAGGACGGAGCCAATGGCATCCTTCAGCCGAGAACGCTCCTCTTCCGAGGAGAACAGCTGCCCCATCATAATGTGTTTATCTCTATGACAGTTAGCACAGCCCTGCTAGTTTATGGCAACATCTGAGGAAGAAGTTGGTTTAATTCTGTTGAAAATCTATTTAAAAATCACCCAATAAACATGCATTCTTGTATCTAAATAATCGTCATCGACAAGGCGTTTAATTTTAGCATTCCCAGCCTTTCGCACAGCTGTCACCTCTGGTCGTTTGCACTGCTTCTGCTCTGAAGGGCCAGCTTGTTTTTTCCTCTCACTTCCCATCTTTCTCCATCCTCCTGTACAAACGAGAGCAACCAAGACAACCCTGCAGCCAAAAGTAGCTCGGTGGCGAAACTACACCGCCCCCACGTGGTCAGAGTGTGGAAGTGCAACTGTTCACCTCTGGGACCCCTGAGGGATTTCGGTCTGAGGGGGTTTTTGACGGCCTGTTGGAGCTTAAAGAATGAAGGGCGCTGAGGTTAAAAGATATGCAATTTTTTTTTAGGCTCAGAGATAAAAGCATCCCAATGAATAATTGTTCCTTGGGAATGAAAGCAAAAGAACTCTTTAAGGCACACATTGAAAAAATAGGCCAAGGGCTTGCAGCTTTTTATTTAGCTAAATGGAACAACGGCCCTGATGTTGTCTTTCTTCTTTTTTTTTTAACCTGATAAAATATGGGGCGAGGGAATTTGGGATTTTGTGTAGTGTGGGAGATGTTCCTTGTTAACTGGGACAAGGGCTTGTGCAATGCCAGGTCAGAGATTTGTGCTTATAACTGCCCTAGCTAAATAAAAAAGCCCCACACTGTGTTACAGAGCATGTATCGTGTTGATTTGAGCAGGTTAGTTGTTTGCATCATTTATGGCCTGTCTCTTCAGTTCCGTGGCAGCTTTTATCTCTGTCCTTACTTGCCATTTTGCGTGCTGGCTTTAAATGTGACGGCAGCAACACTTGTTAAAAATCATGAAGCTTTAATGTTCAGTTTAGTAGATGGTGAATGGACTTGAAAGCCAAACCTGGAAAAGCCAAAACAGGAGCAAACAGTGTGGGGTTTGTACAAAATGAGATTTAAATTGGATTTAAATCACACTCATACTGAGTTTAAACAGGACGAGGAAATCTTAAAGTACAATTCCTGTGTGAAGTTGATGTTTCTTAACCTGTCAGTGTTTTCTAAATGATTTCCCCAATCGTTGGCATGGCAGAGTTTCCCTTTTTTTGTTGGTGGCATGTAGGGCTATGACACTAAATCCTATAAACAAATTTTTATTATGCCATGACGAAATATATCAACGCTCAGTCTGGATATCTTGCTCTCATAAACAGTGACTGTGCAGCATGTATATTTTCAAACACTATAGACACTAGTTACAGCTTATATGTCACAGTCGCAGTGAATTTGGCAAAAAAAATGTCGGTCTTTAAAAGATTTAAAACAGCTTGAGCTGTGTACATTCACGAAACGCGCCATAAATGGACCGGCACGCACTCCTCTCCGCTGGTCCCGCTCCTCCTTCCCTGTTCTATACATCTTTCTCTCCCTCGAGCCTGCTTTCCGTCTTCCTGCTGCTCTCCATTCCTGCTGCTGTGGATGCTTCATATAGCTTCTGTCAGCCTGTTCCAGTGTTTACGGGCTCAGCTCTGTTGCCGGGGTAGTTTGTGTCTCCTTCCCTCGGCGGACGTTTGGCCCTGATGACACACTTCGCACTCCTCTGAGGGTAATGAATATTTAAATATGTTTGCGTCACAAACCTGCACATCAGCACTTTGAAACAGGCATGAACGCACACATATATACATGACTAAGAGGAGAACATTCAGCTCAGCTCAACCTCTGCTCTGTTTTTTTTTTTTTTTTACTCTATCTGTCCATAAAGGTCTCATTTCCATCTTGGAGCAAAGTGTTTATGAGAGCAAAGGAACCAGAGAGGAGGGGCAGAAAAGAGAGTATGAGAGAGGAGGGAGAAATGAAAAAGGAGGAAGCAGCTGAGGATGAAAGCAAAAGAACAGAGACAGCAAATAAAGCAAAGTAGACAATGTTGGAGGAGGATGACAGATGGACTTGACCTTCCTTAAATATACACACAAACCCATATCTATTCACTGGCCTCCGAATGACATCCTTCATGAAACACTACAGAATATGAATCACCACATGCTGAATGTGTCATTTTATGATAATGCCACTTGAAGCCTCAGTGTAATTTTCAATTAGAAAACAAGTCATCATTAGAGCGCGCCACTGACATTTACTGTACATTGTTTGGTTGAATGAACAGATTAGAAACCGAGCAAGACAGCAATCAAAGAATGCTATTTATGTTTCAGCATGAAGATGCACAAGATAAAATCCTGCCTAATATCACAAATATTTAGATGAGGTGATATATATTTTTTTCAATATATCAGACACGTTCAGTCGGTTTTCTTTGGCTTTCTGAAGTTAAAATGATCATGCAAACTTCATAACCACATAATTACCAAGCTTTGTGTTTTCATCCTTTTAGTGTTCTCTTTTCCAACCATTACACACAAAACAGTTCAAAATAGTTTAGAGAAATCTGTTCAATAAGGTTGAGCCCTTCTGCGCCACAGCAAATCGATATGCTCAATGTGAAACGTTTGGAACAACCCCACTCCGTGTCATTCAACACATTTTGTAGAGCTAAGTTCCTAGTTGCAAAGCCCTATTTTGGCTATGTGCTTTTTGGATTATTTCTTTCTCATTTTAATCTCTACCACTCCTTCCTCCTGGATTCTGTCTTTCATTTTATATATCCTTTTCTGCCCTCTTTCTGAATGGCTCCACCCTTTCCCTCCCTCCAGCCTTCCACAGAGTGTGGAGGAGAATGAAAACGAGCTTAATGCATAGTCATACATCAAACTCTATTGCTGGTGTGCCAGGCAGCATCCATTTTGTGAAGCTGCCGTGCTCGCTCGTCAGTAGTGGGGCTAATTATTGCAAATGACAGCTACTGAAAAAGTATTAATGTCTCAATTCTGCATGGACACATCCAGTAGCATGGCCTGATTAAAGCGCCACAGGCTGAGCTCGAATGAGTGTGCAAGCAACACAAAAGGCAAAAGAATTAACTGTTCCTTTGTTTGATAAGTCCCATGAGTTTTTTTATTTAAACCTTTGTTAAAGCTGCCATAGACTGGAGGTACTATAATCCAATTTTGTACCCACTGTAAAAAAATCTCTAATGTCCAAATTCTTAGGGATTTAGTGAAAAATCAAGACAATATCCTGTTGCAAAATCCAATCTGTCTAATGTAACACCAGTGGTGGCTGTCACGTAAATGCAGCTCTTCACATTTTCATGCACTAGATGGTGGTAGGTCATAGTCATTTTTCAAGGTTTGAGAGGTTTATAGTGAAAGGCTACAAGCAGAACACTTCTCATCAAATAAAGTAAAGAGATTAAATATGTTTGGGGGTCATTAAAATGCCAGAGAGAAAAGGATCGTGATAAGAAAAAGAGAGATGTGACAAAGCAGGCGGACAGACAGAGATAAGAAAGCAATTTAGGGTAAATGTCAAAACATATTACAATGGCGGATGTCTCTAAAAGATACTAGACAAATGAGCAGAAGTGCCTTGAAGCACTTACTGGATATAGCCTACTGGTCTTTTTCCAGCTTCAGGGAACAGAACAGCTTACATATATGCACTGTGCAGAAGACAGTAGTATATTCTATGCAAACCTTAAAAGCAAATGTATCTTATGAAAAATGTCAGGCTAAAATAGTTAAGCGTTAGTTAAGCATTTACATTTAAATTACTTCCAAATCTTAAAATAAATTAGTTATTTTTTGTTCTTCGTCACATTTAAATATCATCATTCCAAAACATAAACTCGTGTCAGCGCAATTGACATGATATGATATAACTGTGGAAATTATAATATAGATTTATTATACAGATTTCTTTGTGGGAAATTGTACCCTTTGTGTAAGATCGCCCCCTGCTGTTCATTGGAGACGTTGTCGTTTGATGACGCCATTCCGTTTCCGATGTAAACACATAAACCAACATGGCGGTATTTGCCGTTAACTTACACACATAGCAAACTAATGGTAGCTGTGAGGAGCGTTTGTTTTAACTGAAATTATATATTAACATAATGGCAGAACCGAGTGGTGATGGAAATGTTGTTCGGTATTACTGCACCGCTGGGAATGGGATGGAGCCTTTTTTAATTGACGAAGTGAAGAGGAAGCTTGCTGCGGATGACGTAAGTGCTAACTTTTGTTAGCCACGGTGTTGGCTACATGTCATTCAAACGGAAGTTCCAACGGGCTCTGTAAGACCACCCTGACCACGGCGTAATATGCAGTCTCGTGGTTTTTTCTTGGTTTTTCATTTATATTACAGTATATTTGTTCTTTTTTTCTTTTGGGCTAAATTTAAAGTTAAATGTTGGTTTATTTATGCTTGCTTTATTTTCCATGTAATAAAAATAAAGGTGGCTAGCTTCGTGAACTTTGACCTGTTTGATTGGGTGTGTAGTTTTCAGACAACACAAATTCCTGACAAATTTAAATCAGTAAAGCTGTCATAGTTTTCTTAGATATCCTCTTGTCCTGTGTGTGTCCAGGTATGTCAGATATCTGGGAAGGTGCTGTTCAGCTCCTCTGCAACAATTAAGCGAGTGATTGGTCTTAAGGCTGCAGAAAGGCTCTTCATTTTGTTGAAGCAAGACTCTCCTTTTAGGCTTCTAGGCCACACCAGCCCAGGTAGAATCTTTGTAAAGTAAAATCAAGTATGCATTCAGCGTGTTGCTACCAATTTTAAACTGACTCTTGTTTTTGTTTTTTTTAAGCAAAAGCAGCTTCTGTTCTGCTATCCAAACTTCTGGAAGAAAGAGATGAGTGGTCCAATGCTGTAGTGACATGGAACCGCCTGCAGAGGGAGTTGACAACCTGCAAAAATTCTGCCATAACGTCGAGCACTGCCCTGACAGTTATGGAGACTAGAGAGGTGGAGGGAAGCGTTGAAAAGCAGAGGGAAGAGGAACCAAAGTGCCCTGTGGAGTCTAGAAAACGTACTTGTGAATTTAAGGAGGACGAAAGGCTGACAAGGGCCGGTCAAAATGGAATGCAAACTTCAGAAAAGAAAAGAAAAAAGGACATTGAGGAGGAGGACAAATGGGACAACTTATCTGCTGAGAGTAATGTAGAGGAGTTAACCAGAATTAGAAATGATGGATCAAACATCAATGACTGCAGATCAGTTTCTCATGAAGAATCACCAGTGCTGGAGCACAATGTGAAATCTAGCAGCAAAAGGGAGGATGAGATGGGAAAAGATGTAAACTCTGAAAAAGGTAAGGAAGCTGAAAGAAAATTAAACTTTGTTAAATATGAACTTTTAAGATATCAGTTTTGCTATCACTGAAAAATAATATGACTACTGAGAGTCCACAGTAAAAAACCACAGCTGCCTGCTTGTATCTCAGTCTCTTTTAGGATTAGCTGCAAATGCACTGGATCACTGTCCCGATGCCTTGGAGCTCAGGTAGAGAGACTCATGGAGGGTTTAAGGGTATAACAATGTCGCTGCTTAATTTGTATCTCACAAAATATGTTCAAGTTTTTAAATCACATTTTTGTAGCCACTTTTATGTTAGCAAGATTTTTTAAATAGTAATTCCTCATACACAGATTCAGATGAACAGAGTTATCCACATAACCACAGCACCAAACATCTATAATCTGTCAAGGATATACTTTGCATAGCTACGTTCATACGATTCTAAATGTGTGTTTTTACATTTGATCTTATACAGGAAGTGAGCAAAGTGTTGGGGGCAGGTGTGAGCAGAGTGCTGGGCTGGAAGGCTGACATGAAAAGTCCACAGGTGGAGGTAAAAAATGATTTCTTGGTAGTTAATTGTGTGTTGTTAATTGTTGACGATACCAAAAGCAGCATCCTCTGTTGATGATACTGCTGGCAGAAAATATTTTAAATCCAACACATTCATCTTTTATGCAGATAAATGTCTGTTTGAGTGACGACTTCTGCCTGCTGGGGATTCCAGTGACCAGGTTGTTGTGAGAGACATTTATTTTGCATGTGAAACATATTATGCCTCAATTTATGTAATTTTTGTATTGCTCAATGGCAATGTGACATCAGGAGTAACTCGCTAACATGAAGTTCTCTTGTATGTGCTTAAAATAATGCCAATTCTTCATAAAGATGAAAATGTCAGGACCCTGTACATTTGATGTTTTTTTTTTAAAATGGGTTAATACTGTTGCTTAAATTGATTTGATATTCATCTTTAAATGAAAGGTCCTTTCTTATGTTCTCAGACTACCTTTAGCTTACCGGAGCTATGTTAAAACCACCGGACTGAGGTCTACAATAGCCTGGGCCATGGGCACACTCGCTGAGATACAGGTACAAACGCTGCTGGATGAATTCCAAAAACTATGAGGGATTTACACTAATAAGCCCTGAACTGAGAGCATAGTAATTCTAACTGTTTTATCCATTTGGAATGCAGGTGAAACTCATTTTAATGTGACTACTCAAGCTTTTAACCCAGCCTTAGTTGTTACATTTGTATGTACACTGTTCATCAGTCTGCAGTGGAATATTACCCTGCAGTCACGCTGCATGGGATCGACCCACTGAGGGTACTCTGCTACCTCCTGTTTTACAGCCAGGCTTCTGTGTGGTTGATCCGATGTGTGGGGTTGGAAGCATCCTAACAGAAGCAGCACAAGAACATAAGGTCAGAGCAAAAATCTATGCACTGTTCAGTCTGGTTCAGCCTGAAACATAAACATTTGAAAGAAGGGCCAACCTGCTCATTTAGGTATTGATTTGTCCACTGTTTCTAGTCTATCTGTTAATACAAAGAACTAGTTAAAATTAGCTCCAAACAAGCACACAATAACCCTTGGTCAGTTAATGCACACATTATGTGGTTTTATTGATCTACACATTAGCAAGTAATTAAATAAAAACAGCTATATGAAAAGTGCATTACATTATAAATATCAATATGCACGTGTGTGGTTGTTTTCATCCTATCTTTGGGATCCTCAGGCTGCCTGGTTTCTGGGTGTGGATATTGATGATGGACAGTTGAAGAAAGCCAATGAGAACATAGCATTTGCAGAGCTGGGAGGCAGAATTAACCTGCTGAGAGCCTCATCTCTGGGTAGGCAACCTGCGCTGAGTGACTGATATGATGTCATGAACTTTTATGTTATGTGTTTGATTTAAGGAGACCGTTTAGTTTTATATGCTGATTTTAATATGTTCAAAGGGTTTGAGTATTATATATCATTCAGTCATCATTCTCGGACTGGGCAGACATTATTTCACACTGTCCCTACTTTATGTGTACTATTATTTGCACACCTCTGAAACATTGTGCAATTTCTGCTTAGTTTTTTTATTTTTTAGAAAAACTACCTAATTTTTATTTTCAGAAATCACAATTAATTGAAACGCATTGTGATGTTCTTCAATCTTGCTACAGGTTAACCTGTTATACGTCAGAAATTCAGTCCATAGTCAGTGTTTTACGTAAACCTTACTCTGTATATGCTAAGAGCCTGAAAAAGGGCAGCTGGAACTCTTGGATCTTAAACACGTTTCACCTCTCATCCTAAAGGCTTTTTCAGTTCACTTAAGATCAGATGGAGCCTTTTGAATCTGAAGGGAAACATTTTCAAAATCCAGGGAGAGGTTACTAAAACATGTTTTTTGGATTACTGTGAGCTGGATGACTTACACTGACTTACTGTATGCAGCAATATTTATTATAAATGTAATTCCTGACTGTTACTGTATATCCACAGCTGTTGGTTACTGGTAGGGAATATTCTGTGGGAGGCGTAATGCAGCCATCTTTACTGCATTAAATGACCTCTTTGCTTATTCGTGCTCCTCTGTGTGCACAGTGCTGCCCATGCCCAGCGCCAGCGTCGATGCTGTGGTTTGTGATTTGCCATTTGGCCGAAAGTTTGGCAACAGAATAAACATGGCTTCAGAGTTGCCGCTCATCCTCAGCGAGTTTGAGAGGTTCGTTCCTGTGTTGCTTGTCTCAGAGGTTTCTTTAGACCTGTTTAGCCATTTGAGAAAATAACACATTATTTTCTATTTTGTATGATTAACTTTCTTTTGTTTGTGCCCCATGCAGAATTCTTACACTTTTCACTTAACCACTTAAGAAATTGTTTGAATTACAAATTATTTTCTAAAGTGTTTCTGTTTTCAGAATCCTTCGTATAGGTGGTGTCCTGGTCATTCTCCTGAGTCCTCAGTTGTCCTTTCTCCTCAAAAAACTCCTGTTACCGAAACACAGTGGAGAAGCATCTCACCAGGAGGATAAACCTCAAACTGGGATACAGAACTGTGTCTCTTGTGACTCTCCCTCAGAGCAGAAGACTTCCCAAAGCACACCAGGGCTTAAATCTACAGGAATCCAAGGACCAGAACTTCAGCTGCCTTTGTCTTCACTGAGGCACCAAAGGACTCTCCGAGTCAGCTTAGGAGCAATAGATGGACTTATCCATAAATATGTCAAAACAGACTCATGATTAGAGCTTCTCAAAGTTACATGTCACAGTAAATTGTTTGACGTTTGTGATTTATCATAAACCCCAGATAGTTTAAGAGAAATGTGACAGTTTATCATAACCTCTCTGCAACAGATATTTCTTATTTGGTAGAAAAATAAATTGACACTTGAGAATTTTGTATTTGTGTTGATTAAAAACAGTCTTTCCTGTAGTTCAGATGATAGAGAAAATGACTTCATCTAGCATCAACTCTGATATACACCTTCAGATACATTATTCTCCCCCAATGTAAGGTCATCTTAGTGCGCTTGGTTTGTTCTGACATGGTGAAGAACGTTCTCACCGAGTTTAAGACTGAGTTGCCCATACATTTCAAAGTCACCCTCATATATTGTTGCTTTCAAGACACCAAAGGTACATGATATGAATGATAATGGCCCACAGATAGTTATTTGTGGAACCCCCATGGGCAGTCAATGATTCAGAATTCTTTATGCACACATACCAATATCAATATGTCTTATAAACAAACTATATTAATAACTGGCGGCAGCTTACTGTTGAATTTCATGTGTTGTTCACTATAATATCTTTGGTGGTGAAACTTTAGTTTTCCCTTCAACATACCTTATTAGAGATGCTGCCATCTGCCTCTGTTTAGCCCTGCTTAGCCCAGTTTTCCTGAATGGCAAAGCCATACAAAGCTGATGCTTTTTGCACATTTCTTTTTTCATCCATACCTCTGCGCAATCAAACCCCCCCCTAACCCCCAGCAGATTAGGAACCATAATTTTATCTTTATGATAATATCCAGTTTTATTACAATGAAACTGAATATTATTAAACGAGTATAAAAAGCTGTGTTGACAGGCATATTTAAATGTTCAAAGCATAAAATGATTTCGAATCTGTTAATAAAAGTTTAATCAGCCAAATCGTATACAGAGTCGTTTCTAATTACACATATATTAGATTCAGCAGCCTCATCTTTTTTTGACAAACACCATGGAGAATGTACGCCATGAGATCCGTTGCGCATGCTCGGTGCGCAGTGGAAGCCATGTTTTAGCTTTACTGGATTGTAGCTGGGATTTTTTTGACGCCGTATGTTTTTCTCAAAATATCACTTTTCCTACATTGTCGGGGTTCGTCAACCGTGCGCTATCGGCGCCGTAATCGGCAGTGGAAATAATGAACTCCAGTGTCGACCTGTCCCGGCGGAATCCGCAGGAGGATTTCGAGCTGATCCAGCGGATAGGAAGCGGCACATACGGAGATGTGTACAAGGTAAAACGGCAGCAAGGAGAGCTACGACTGAGTTCCATTTTCGGACAAATAGTTCTTTGACGCTTAAGAGTGATTCAAAGCGTTCCCCTCTTCAGCTAATATTAATTCTACACGAAATACGTTATATCATCACGAGTATGTATTTGCTGATGGGATGTTATGCTGTTGTTTTCATGTAGGTGTATATTGGTGCAGTATTACTACAGCTATACATGCGCATGAGTCCATTGTCGGACACATGACCAAGCCACCACTCTCTTTAGTGTTTTTGTTTTGATCCTTACACGTAACTCTTTGTCGACTGTATCCAGACAAACGTCCCTGGAATATATTTTTCTACAGTGACCAATACGTTGTTATTGAAAAGAAATAAATTAACACAACCAACTAAAACGGTGTGCGCAGACGGCTTGACGGGTGCATAGCCGACGTTAGCTGTCCCAAAACGGGAGCAGCTAGCTGGTAGCACGAAGAAGCTAACCAGGCGCTTTGATGCTATGTGGGGACATTGTCAGCAAATGTCAACAAACAGCGGTTTGGTACTTTACAGAAACACATTTAGAGGCACATATGACATAGTTCTGGAAAAAAGCCCCTCAATATATTTAATTTAAAACCAACAGTATATCTAATTTAACCCGGACGGGGTCTGACAGCTGCCTGTCTGAAGAAACACTCCAACTAAAGCGACGAAGCGGTCACAAACAAACGTTCATAACACTTCTCCCAAACAATGTTTTGGACATTTTCTCGTCACACGAAAAAAAACCTAAAGGATTTTCAGGGAACCCGTGCGCCCCTTTCTCGATAAGACTCTAACGTGAAGCTCTTTACAGCTGTGAAGTTTGGCCCCAGAGCCCTGCGAAGGCCCCGCGCTGTGAGCGGGCAGGCGGGGGTCCGGGCCGGGAGGCAGCCCCTCAGCTCCAGCCCGACTCCCATCACAGCCACATCACCATGTTTATCTCCAGCCACAAACATTTAATCATTTAGCCCCACGAAGCCAAATATGCATCAGAAAAAAAAAAAAAAAACTCTTATCCCTCAGTCAAAAATGTACATTGTGCTGCAAGACATACAAATAAATGCCAATGTACAGGATGTGTTCATATAAACCTTCTACCCAACAAGAACTAAGACTCACAGAAAGCCCATTTATTTTTAATTTACTCACTGAAGCTTGGATAAAGCATGTCGGAAAAGGATGACAACTTGCATAGAGCTACTGTGAAGTAGTATTAATTGTAGATAATAAAAGACATTTGTTTTCATTCTCTCATTTGTGGTATTTAATTCCACAGATGTTAAAGTGAGAGCCCTCTGGCAGACTGCGAATCCATTAGAGGCTTTAATATGACTAGATGATGTTTAGTTAACCTCCAGCCTCATTGTGGCAGATAGCAGGAAGCTCTTCTAAATATGAAACACGTCCTGTCCTTTAAGGCACATAGTTGCCATCGTCTTCAATCATATGTCCTTGTTCATGCTGTCAGCATGTCATTCTTTCGAGTTTGCGTTCAGTGTTGTGTTGCTTTGCTCCGCAGCTAATCTTGTTTCTAATTTGGGTTTAGTATCTTGCCGGTTGAAGGCCAGTGGGTCTCTCCAGCTGGCTGGCAGCTGAGAGCCGAGTGGCCTTCTTGACCTGTCGCAAACTGAGGACACTGAACAGATATAAGCTGATATACCTCGAAAACTGTCACACAGGGCTGCATTGTTCCTCTGGCCCATGTAAATAGCCTTATCAAAACAAATATGGAACTCCTCACCAAATCGTATGTACGAATTGATAAGACTGTGCTATAAAGACTATAAAACCTGTCATATTAATGGCAGTAGTTTTATGAAGATCAGAGCTCAAACCTGGATGTGGCTCTAAGTAGCACAGCATTTGGTAAATCTCATGGATGCCTATATTTGGTTCTACCACTGTGTGAAAAAGTGTGGCTTGGATAGGAATGTTTGAGCAGGAAACAAAGCATGAACTCTGCTACTTGCCTTCTCCTCAGTTTGTAGCCTTGGCCCTCTGTCTGTATCAGAAACTGTAGAGGAGGACTGGCTAATGCTAGGGAAAGGCCCTCTCACAACCTGATCACAGGTTTTATCCTTTAGAAAATCTACCTGAAGCTACATGGGTATGTTTGACTTTTTTCAACTCCCTTGGCAGATTTTATTTATTTCTTCATTTTCAAGCTGACAGAACAGGTTTTCACACACTATACAGAGAGCAAATCATTCCCATGATGCCTTCTGAATGCATGCAGCATGCTTATGTTTACCACTAACTGGCATATGGGGCCATAAATCAGTAATATTTGTACTGTAAAAGCTGCCCTATGCACTTTCCCTTTTTGTGGGTTTAGCAGTTGAGTGACAACGCTCTTCTTTTGCATTCCTGCTTTATCATTTAGAAAACCCAAAAACGGCATCAATAAAGGCAAGTATGAGCTTGATGCTTTGCTCTGCTGTCTCTGATAACCGGCTCGGGCAGAGCTGCCGTAATAGGTGCACTAACGGGCGCAGCCCAGATGATTTGTGCAGTTTTAGACTTGTGTGAAGGAAGCTGAGGTAGATGACTGTGATCCCATAATGATACTTTTTGGCAATATGTGGTGTTTGCATCTGTGTGTTTCTAAGCTTTATTTAAGGAGTAAAGACTTTGCATATTAACTTTTATTCGATTTTTGCCCATTGCGCCATATTATCAATATTACACGCCACATCAAATATGCCCAAGGCACTTCTGACATGTAACATTGAATTTGGGTCAATTGTATGCAGAATTGCCCCTTAAGTCATATTCAAATTTGACGTATTACCAACTGAAAAAGCATAATTGTGGATATGGGCGGTTTTGTCCTTAGCCTTTAAAGTCAAACCCTTTGGCTTTAAGCTCCACTCATTCTTAAATGATGTCAATAACAGCTATGAATGTGGCGGTAGCGATTTCCTCTGGCGGACCTCGCTGTGTGTTTTGCACAGCTGGGCAGCCGTGATCCAGGAATGTGGGATTCCTCACTTCCTCCTTGTGTGTGTTCGGGTCCCATTGTTCCACAACAGTCCAGCAGAGGAAGACGGCGGAGCCGAAGGCTGCGGTGCAGCATGTGTGGCCGCACATACGCAGATGTCTGCAGAGGCGGCTAAAGCTGCCGGTGCACACTCATCCTGTTTTTGTCCGCGTTTCCCTGCTTATTTGCTCTTTGAGGTGGATGCACAGACACCAGCAAAGCAAGGTTTCCTCAAATCCTGTTCAGCCTCAGGTGTGTGTGCCTGATTTCACGTGCTGTGCACTGCAGGAATTTGTCTCTATCTCACACTCGCCAATAACAAAGTACATGTTTACATAGAGTTAGCTAATGACTAATGTGGCAAGAGACTAAACCAGATCTACAAGTTATGGCATGGGGATTTGTTCATTGGTTCAATGTGGAATAATGGAACTTTCTTCTTATATCTTAATGCTAAGGAATATGAATGTAATTGCTCATTATTAATACAGAGTCCAAACCTTGATATGTCAGATAGCCCAGTTGTCCAATGCGAACTATCTAATAATCATTATAGGGACTGCTGAATGCATCGTGCCATTCAAAGCATTGTACTGTGTGAAACAAATACCTGGGCCGATTTTGCTCAGGGCTTTGAGACAGGGCGTATCCACCCTATGTAAAGTACAGTTAAACCATGTTAAAAAGGCCGGTCTACACAGCGTACTGTCTTTAGCTCCGGTTTCTGAAATACAAAATGATCAAGTAAATGTCATTAGTCTGCTATGCAGACAGCAGCTGGGATGGCTCCTCCCTCTGGGGTGGTCCAGCCCATAGGAAGAAACAGTGACAGGTGAAAAAGAATATTTACAGCCGTGTTGTGCTGCATCTGGAGCTTCAACTGTTATTAAGATTAAAAGTATTTTTCGAGAGATTTGTGCAAGAGCCGGAAGAAAAATTTGTCTGTTTTGCTGTGTCAGAAATGACGTCGAGAGAGTGTATCATTAATCTGAGCATCAGCTCAGGAATGGTTTTCTGTAGTAATACGTATTGCAGGCCTCGTCCTGTCATATGTCCATCTGAGCTGAAAATAGCTGTTAAAGGTGTGCCTAAAGGTGTGGAACATTTTAGCTGGAAGTTAAGTCACATTCACCACACAGATGACGCCACCTTAAGAATGGCATCATGGCATTTTTGTCAGATCACATTGATTTATGAGAGATATTGTCCTATAACAAGAGAAAATGTGTTGGCGAGTGGCTCTTTATTAAAAACATGTATGTACGGGAGCATTCTTCCACTTTACAGTCCCACCTACCCCCTTTATGGTTTGAACCGTGACATACAGAGTACAGGGGACTCTTCTAGTTCAGATTATCTGCTGGTTTCTAGTGTGAGATGACAGAAAGGAGTGCTGTGGGATCTGCAGTTCATTTGCTTTCAGAGAGGAAAAGGTTCCACTTTTCGTCAGTATTGCCCCGAGATTCTTTGAATGATCAATTGTGTGTTTGCACGTTTAGATGTTTAGTTACAGGTCAGGCCTGCTAAACGAACACGTTTTCCTGCTTTCTTCACCTCCCGCTCACCTGTTCCTCCTCTGAGAGCGTGCGGCTGTCAGGGCGGAGCTCATGAGACCGAGCTTCTGGAAGGAAATATGTGGAGCTACAGTTTGGCATCTTCGACTTCAGTCACTGCACACGCAGTTGTCATATTCAATAAGGTTAAGGAAAGCTGTTGAAGCTCTAAAAAAAAAAAGGAGTCAGTGCTTATTGAACAGCTGGAGTTTCACTCCTGTGGACATTTTTCATTTAAAACATTTAAAAAATAATAAACCAAGACATGATTTCCAATTTTTTTCCCCTTGATTTGCCATTAAGACAATGAAAGAAACTTGTGTCCATGGAAAAAGTCAGTCACCATCACTGAAGGAGCCGAGTGAGAATATGAGCTCTGAGGGTGAAGCGTGGCCTGGCTTAACCCGCTGCTTTTACCCAGAGGTCAGAGAAGCACGGCAGCGATTGGACAGAGACATCACATCTCTTGTAGAAATCTGGTCTGGAGAAGTTAATAACTAACTGCTGTTGTGGTTCCTGCCCCAGGCCTGACTTTGATTGCCCCGCTGCTCCAGTGGAGCCGCTTGTACGTTTTCCAAAGAAGGCTCAGGTTGTGGTTGGGTTCTTAAAAAGTACGGATGCTTAAGTTTTCCACTCACCAACAACGATTTTTGTTCCTTGCTCTTTATTTCCTGTATTCTTTTTTTTTTTTTTTTTTTTACGGACACAATAACAGAAGGCCTTTATCAGTCTCTGTCTTTCTCTCTGATGACATTTTAAGGAAAATTAGCACTTTTTCTTGGAAACTTTTTCTTCTTTACAATCTGCTTAAATTGGTTTTTTCTTTTTGTTAGAATAGGGATGAAAAAACACAGATTTAGATAGAAACATAGAAACAAGACAATTTAAAGCAGTGACCCACAAATGGGTCCTGAAGGAGAGCTCTGTGCGCTCTGGGATCTCCCTCTGGCCGACCAGGTGAAATCCTCACCGTTATCACTGGTGGTCTTCAGATGGTTTAACTCCGGTCCTGTCTCTGAGCCTTTAGCGCACAGAGAACGTTTAGCGCAAAGAGCAGAATAAGGTCTCTGCTCCTCTGCTGCTATGAAGGTCTTTTTGAGCCCCGACACAGCAGTTCAGCAACGCTGACTCGGCAAACGCCACCGTTCAGGTGTGAGTCCGGCCACAAATTACGGGCAGATGGCGTGCTGGCTTCGGATATATTTGGACCTACGGCAGTGTTGACCATCGAGCGCCTCGCTGCCCCGATCCGACCCCTGACCTCACGCAGGTCAGACGGTCACCGGTCAACAGGTGCTTATAGGCTGTGTGTGGAGCCTTATTCCTGAGTGCATGCAGAGCGTTGTCTGTTTGGTTGCTTTGTCACAGGAAAAGCTGTCAGCTGTTGCTCAGCATGTCAGTCGGGCACACGGGCTGCCGGGGCCATTCCTTACTGCCACACTTTGACATCAAGGTTTAGAGTTCTTACCCAAAAAGACGAAAGGATTTTGTTAATCTGCCTTTTTTTTTTCTTTTCTTTTTCTTAAACACAGTTGTTGCATCATTGCTTCAGTCACTTCTCAAACATTGATGCAATTTTACACAACTCAAATTACGTCCAGAAACAGGGAGTGTGTTTTTTTTTAAGAACCGGTGATTAAAAAAAAGACACTGATAGGTTTTAATTTGTCATAAGTATTTGTGAGCACCACAGACTTCTGGTCCGTGTTGCCTGTTTTTGGGGTTTGTGTTTTTTTTGCTGCTTCAGTACTAACACTTGCCACACCGGATGGCATGCTTTATTCCAGCCTGTCCCCCCCCAAAAAAAAAGAAAAGAAAAAAGACGAGAAAGGAAGAAGCCGGGCTGTGTGCTGCCGCAAACTGAAATGAGTCATCTCTGGTTTGTCTGCTGACTGAGGACTCACTGTGTCCCTCACACTGCTCCCATCTCTTCTGTCTTTTCTCTTTGCAGCTCTTTGTCTGCCCTCCCCTCACAGCACTTTGTGCTTCGCGGGTCTCTCTGGTCCTCTCTCCCACTCCTCTGCTTTTCTCCCGCGCTTGATGGAGGAGTCTTTCCTCACACACAACTTTAAATCTGCCTTTTTCTTTTAGAATATTACTGATAAGTGAACCAGGCTGTTGCTGTATGTCATTGTCTTACGTTCCTGATTGATATAAGGAAGAATCCAGTGATATACTCAAGACTTTCACAGAGTATCTCAGTGAAAAAAGGGGGGGTGTCACTTCTGTCTTTTTCCTTACTAATAAATTACTTGAAAATAAGTCAAAAAGTCTTCAGACATGGCACTTTACGCCCGAGCTATGGTTGAAAATCTTGATTTCATCATCTCGTGTCTTTTTCTTGCTCCCTGACACCTGCTGCGACGCCCCACACCGTCAGACTCGCACACTCGGCCTGAAAGCAGCGAACACTTTGTGTCCTCTCTCAAGGGCCATCTTTTATTCATGTGCTTCATATATAATTCCTCTCTGGCTCTGCCAGGACTAATCTAAGCACAGGACAGATCCCTATTTTTAGAAAAAATCTGCCTTCTGTATTCTGCAGTCGGTCAGCCCGCTGAATTACTCCACTTTTGCCTCATATTTCCACAATTATATATTACAGCAGAAGACGAAGAGGCTGAAGAGACTCAGCAGGTGGCCTCTCATCACCGCTTCCGCACAGCAGCTCCTCTTTTGTTAAACTGATTTCTGAGCTGCTGTAACTCTGTTCGGATTGGCGTTAACGAAAATAAGCTTCCAGGTTTTGTTTCGTGTAGGAACAGTTCACTTATGTTCACTATTTATGTTGCATGGACACTAATGCTCAGTGTCCCCTGTGCGTCTGAAAGCTGAAAATAAATCATTATCCCTTCTTTTCGCTCTTTAGGCTCGTAATGTAAACACAGGAGAGCTGGCTGCTATCAAAGTCATCAAACTGGAACCGGGTGAGTTACCTCATGTTTCCTATCATGACTTTATCTGCCCTTTCATTGCCATTTCTTACTACCTTTTTCTCTTAGTTCTCCTCTGTTCTACTTTTTCTCTTCCCTCAAACTAATTGCTCTTTTTATTGCTCAGTGAAGACACGATGAACAAACCCAATTCTCCTCTTTGCTCGGTTTCCTCCTTAAATCATTCATAACAACACCCAGATCAATAGTAAGTGGTCTCTGCTTTGTGTGTTCATGTGTGGGCATGTGCAGGCGAGGACTTTGCTGTCGTCCAGCAGGAGATCATAATGATGAAGGACTGCAAACACTCCAACATTGTTGCCTACTTTGGCAGTTACCTCCGGTAAGAAAACCAGTTAGTCCCAGGAGAATGAACTTGCTTATTGGTGAAGCCACACTCACGCCGAGTTCTCCCCATGTGTGCAGGAGAGATAAGTTATGGATCAGTATGGAGTACTGTGGAGGAGGGTCTCTGCAGGATATCTATCATGGTAAGAAAAACGGAATGTGATCGTAACAGCTGCATATTTTTGTTATCGTTTTGCTTTCTCTCTTTGAGACGAATGCTTTTTTCTCATCTCTCTGCAGTAACCGGGCCTTTGTCAGAGTCACAGATAGCCTACATGTCACGGGAAACCCTGCAGGTAGTCAATATGATGTTTGATGCCAATAATAACGCACTAAACTTTGATTGAAAAATTTAACCTCTATTTAAAAGATAAGCGCTTCCTGTCCTATTGCCGGTTCATGTGCTGATGTTGCTATTGACCTGTTTCCCATCTATTTGATTTTCATTTAAGCTGCATAGAGTAAAACTTTACTTTTTTTTTTAATGATCTTTTTGTTTTCTTCCTGTATATTGCAATAACACAAGCAACTATGTAATTGTGTTTACAGGGTTTGTATTACCTGCACAATAAGGGCAAAATGCACAGAGACATTAAGGTGAGTTTAAAGAAGAGTTTTGAACATTTATAAAGTGCAATACATTAAAAAAAATTTGTGTTTAACTTCTGTGGTTAAGTAAATCTGCCGCCCATATTTAGGCGGATTCTTTTCATTGAGAAACATCTGTTAGGAAACCGTTTCTTTCTGGAAGAAGTTGATCAGTCTGAGCTGGGGTGTGTATTGGATGCTAACCGCTGGCCTGTTTTGTCTCTGATAGGGAGCCAACATTCTCCTGACAGACAGCGGCTATGTTAAACTAGGTGAGATGTGCAGGCTCTGCCTCCGCAGTTACCTTCTGCTTCAGGAAACTCAATCTGAGTGGCCCCGTTTGCTAACTCAATCTGTTTTTCTTGGTTCTCTCCCCTCAATATCCTTTTTTTCTCTCCTTAGCTGACTTTGGCGTATCAGCCCAGATCACAGCAACGCTTGCCAAAAGGAAGTCATTCATTGGAACGCCTTACTGGTGAGCTGTTTTTCTGCATTAGTCCCTCCGGATGCCTCATATGTACATCCATGCAGACAGAATGACTGTGTAAAACACAACATTCCTAATGCATGCAGTACTACTTTAATCCATTTCTCTGCTGAAATATAGCAAAATGTTTCATTTAGTGTGTTTTCCCTGACCTGCTCGGTGTGTCATAACAAAGCTGTTGGTTCCTAATGGAAACACTGAGTAAAATTTACACCTGTTTCTTTCAACCTCTCTTAGAGTTTATTTTTACGCTCTCCATAGGTATCCTTTCTCCTTGCTCACACCATCTGTTTGTGTCTTTCTGATAGGATGGCTCCAGAGGTAGCAGCAGTGGAGAGGAAAGGAGGCTACAACCAGCTGTGTGATATCTGGGCAGTTGGCATCACCGCCATAGAGCTGGCAGAACTACAGCCACCTATGTTTGAGCTACACCCAATGAAGTACGTAGTCTGTGTGTGTGTGTGTGTGTGTGTGTGTGTTTTGGCAGAGCTTACAGGCTGTAACGTGGGAGGGACACCAAAGAGAACCTGCAGCTGATGTGAAATAGTGTTAGAAAGTAATGAGATTTGGAATGCAGGGATGTTCGCTCCCTCCATTAGATTTCTGCACATGAAAAATTGCCTTCTTTCTACAATTTTGCTTTTGACTGCACCAATGCAGAAAAAAACAAAAGCTACTCTGTTTGATGTGGAGTCACATGAAAAGAATATCAACCATTTTCAATAGCAAGAATTTATTTGTCATGATTGTAAAAGGGTCTTAGTAATTTGATTTTAACTTGGCCTAAATCACTTATACAATATCTTTCTGTCATTATTCAATTGAATATAAGTCCAAACACAGAAACGGAATGTCTGGAGAGAAAAGGATTCACTCAGCACCAGCTTTGTGTTTAGATTTTTTCCTTTTTTTGGATAAAGAACATGTAAAAGTTTGGACTCCAAAGAGGGTGTACCTTTTTTCTCACCCGACTGTACTATGTCTTGGCCTTAGACTCTTAGATTCTCTGAGCTCCAATCCTTGTCTGTCTTCTTTTTCCCACCAGGGCTCTGTTTTTAATGACCAAGAGTAACTTCCAGCCTCCTAAGTTGAAAGATAAACTCAAGTGGTGAGACACATTTCCTCACATTTCTTTAGATTGCTCACATTTACTATGAACGCACAACTCCACTGACCATGACTCAACAGTTTAACCTTGGTGCTTTTTCTCTTTCTTCCTCTCTCGTTTGACTAAACAGGACGAATAATTTCCACCATTTTGTCAAACTGGCTCTGACCAAGAACACAAAGAAGAGGCCCACGGCTGAAAAACTGCTGCAGGTGAGCCGGGTGTTGTGCGATGGCGCCGCGGTTGCCGTGACGCGGCGCTCAGACTGACTCCCGCTCGCTTGCCTTCCAGCACCCATTTGTGTCGCAGCCCCTCAGCAGGACGCTGGCCATCGAGCTGCTGGACAAAGCCAACAACCCCGACCACAGCACGTTCAACGACTTTGACGACGACGACCCCGAACCTGAGGTAACCTTTGACCTCCCGGCGCATCACACGCTCAAAGCACAGATCAGCAGAGAAGTGACCGAGTTGTGCTGGATTTTGCTTCTGATCTCCCCATTAAACTGTCTCCCTGTCTCCTCGGTTGCTCTCTCATCAAATTCCTTTTCTATCCGTCAGCATTCACAGCCCCTCCCTGAATGTCAGGGCTCTCTTTCTCTGACTTGTGACTCATTTTCTCTCATTCATCCCTTCCTCCTGCTGTCCCGCTCTGACATTTTTATCTTTTCTTGCTTCACTCCTCTTGAGTTTGTCCTTCCTCCTCTTTTACTCCTCATAGCACTTCTCTTCTCTCCCCATCTTTCTCCTCCTCCCTTCTCTCTTTTCCTCCCGCCTTGTCACCCCCACCCCCCCGTTCCCTGCCTCCTCTTCAGTTTAAGTACAGAGGTCATTTCCTCCCCGTAAGCCCCGGTGCTAGACGCGCACCCCGTTTCGCAGCTCGTAGGAAGGTACTCGTGCCGGCTGCAGTGATGTCACTCTAACACGAATCCTTCTTTCTCTCTTTCTTTTGTTTTCGTTCACCTTGAGTTGGACGGCAGAACTGAATGAATAGAGAGTGGATTTCTTTTGTGTTGGGCGCCTGCTGGTGTTGTCATGGGAGTTAGCGTCGGTTTGTGACATACAGGCAGATGAAGGATTACCACTGAAGTTGCTTCATTCGTTCAACATTCCAGAGAACACTTGTTTTTACAGCACATGTAAATCAGCTGATTTGATGTTGCTCTTATTTTAAAAAAAAAAAAAATATATATATATCATTTTAGTCTAGCTATGTAGAATTGATACAATTTATTTTTATCATTTCTGTGGTTTGTGAGGCGTAATGTAAATTTAGAATAGGCACTTACTGTTCATGACAACAACAGTGAGATTATTTTTTAATGTAATCACTAAAGAACACCTCCATTCATCCCAGTTTTGTGGTGGCAGAAGAGACCATAGAAAAACGGGTTCATGAGGGTGGCTTCCAGTGTGTCACATTTAAACAGGGATCCATCAGAACCGCATAAAGGTCAGATGATCAGAACACTGTCTTGCCCAACATGCATTTCTGAAAAATGAAGCAAAAAACCAACAAGAAGAGTGGAGTAAATCCCTTCAGTTTTTCCAGTTTGTCTTCCTTAAATCTACATGAGAGATTAAGAGTGGTCACATGTAAAGGAGTGTAATTTTCTGATTTCATTTTCCCTTATTTAGTCGAGACCTTCACAATCAAGATGGAAACAAATTTGATAAAAACAAGTTTAATAGACCAGACTGGAAAATGTATACAGGCCATGTCAACTAAATCTACCTGTCGTTACAGCTCCTGTTACCTTTCACACAGCTGGTTTCTTACAGGTTTTTTGGCTGTTGGTATTTTGAATCTCAATCCATGACATTTAACGATAAAGTTGCTTTTACTTAGCTCTTAGTGTCTCCTAGTCATGGACAGAAAACAATGTAGTTGTACATCAGCTCCTGTCTCTGATTCCATTGCGGAAGCCATCTTCATTAACCTTTTTTTTTTTATTTACTAACAATGGCTTGAGTTTTATGAGAATGGACTGTTTTATTCTTTTTTTTTTCAATCCAGTAAAAGTAATCAGCTCCACATGGGGTTTTGATGGGTGCATTTTCGGAAGTGGTTGTCATTTGCAGTGCGGTGCAAGCATGCTGTAAGGTTGCTGTGTTCTTTAGCTTTTCTCTGAAAACTGGATTGACGTGTGGTCGAACTACAGTGTAAACATGATACATATCCTCGGCTACAGTTCAGAAGTGGACAGTAGTTTTTTAGTGGAGCCTGTGTAAATGAGCAGCCCAGTGGATAGGCAATGAGGTCAGCCTTTAGCCATAAGGGTCATGGATGTCATGTGGTTGTATGAAATGATCTATGAGCTTAGCTCAGTCAGTGCAGCTGCTATGTTTTAGTCAGGGAAATGTATGTTTTCCTTTGAGCGTGCTGTTATGTTTTGACCATCCATTTGCAGTGTTTGTTTGGCTGTTTTTGCTGTGTCATCAGATCCAACCTAGGAACAAATAGCAGAATAAAAAAATAAAATGTTTAAGTAATGTCACCCTGTGTAAATGAAAGCGCTAGGTGGAGTTAAAAAAACTGACATGGCTTCTCTCTCTCAATAGTCTCCAGTGTCTGTTCCTTATCGCATCCACTCCAACAGCCGGAGCACCAGGGAAGGAAAGACCCTGTCCGAGATCAACTGTGAGTTCCCTCTCAGCATTTACATTCACAGGGTGAGTCACCCCAGTCTGTGTATGTTTGTCTACTTCATTCTCCAAACTTCTGTCTCTCCTCAGTTGGTCAAGTGAAGTTTGATCCTCCTTTGAGAAAAGAGACAGAGCCTCATCATGAGCCGGTAGGTCGCTGGTTCTTTCTTCATGTCTGTGTATGAATGAGGATACTTGTGTGGTTGCAGTCTCACTAGGACTAGCATGGCTGGTCCTCACCCTATCACAAGAAAACACTCTGACCAAAGCATGCTGTTGTCAGTCTGCGGTGAACTGCCCATCCATATTTACACCTGAATGGCTATAGTCTTGAAATAAAGTTGGGTTTTGAAATAGTTTGCGAGGTGCTCTACTAAAGAACACCTGTGCTCTTCGAGCAGGTTTCATTCTTAACTGCAGATACCAGCTTTCCTTTCCTAAAGCTCTTTAACAAAGTTTGGCAGGGTGGCCCAAGAAATCTGAATGTAGGAAAAGAAGACAAGAACGCAGGTCATCTGTAGATGGATACAGTCTCTGTACTTCGGGGTTGGTCTTTTTAAGAAGTAAACTGTTTATTCGACCACTTAAAACTTCCTCTAAAAAGAAAACACTACACAAACAGCAGCCAAATGAACCAAAAATAGTTCGCCCTTCTTTCTCTGGGTCTGAACGTTACATTCTCAGCATGTCGGCAGTTTTAAGTCGTACACCCACAGGCAATACAATCCATAGTTTATTTCCGTCTTGACTATTGTTTTTTCACATTTTAATTTATTTACGTGTATTTTTTATTTTTATAAAAGTGTAGCTTCAGCTGGATAAATGGGATGGTGCAGGGTTCATGCACAGTCACAGCGTGTTGGTCCTCTGCTCCTTCACTCCCTCCCACTTTTCTGTCTTACCTGGGCTCTTTCTCCTCCTCCCGCTCTCTTCCGATTGGCTGGCAAAGCGCACCCAAAGTCACACCTTTACCTCCCTCTTTCCTCCTCCACATTTCATCCATAAATGTGGATTATCAAGACGTGGTCACTGCATGCGACAGTCATTCATCTGTACCTCAGTTTCTCATATCAAACATAATGATGCGGTCAGAACCACCTGGCAAACGGGTGGTGCAAGGACTGGAAACACCATATTTGCCCTAAGAACCATTCATACAGGTAATCTGTGGTCTAGATTTAATAAAATATAGTAATTTGAAAAATACCTCTCATTGATTCTTATTAACCTTAACCTCCATCTTCACTAATTGATCCTTCTCTCCATTCCTTTCCGTCTTGTGATTAATATTTCTGTATCCTCTCTTGCTGATCCATTTACTTCTGAGCCTATTTTTGGCCTTAATCCATTTTCACCCATCACCCTCCCTCTCTCCTTCATCTCGGTTTCCTCCATCAGTCCAGGTTAATGTATTAACTGAGGTCTCTCTCGATCTGTCTTGCTGACCAGTGTGATTCTGAGCCCTATCTGGACTGTGTTGAGGAGCTCTACTATACAGCGAGATCTAATCTGGTAGTACTCCCGTTCCCCCTCTCTATCTATTTCGCCCTCTCCGTCTGTATTTATTAACCATTATTTATTTACTTTTATCCGATCACCTTTTCTCACGTCTCCCATGTGGTTCATCTCTTCAAATCTGCACATTGTTCATTCCTTGTCTTTTCCTTAAGGAGTAGTCCTCGTCTCTCGGAGTTGTTTGGCTCTCTGAGCCTTTGTTGTCTCTGTTTTGCTATGTCTTTTAGGGTCTGGTTTCTTTTAGTTACACCATGTCCGGTTTACTTCTCTGTTCACTCTCACAGTCTTGGTCCACCTTTTAATCTTCACCTTCTTTTTCTTTTCCATCTTTTGCATCACTAAATGGTGTTGTAGTTGTCACTGTGAGGAGTCCATAGTGTTGTTGTTTTCATGTAAAAATACAGTACACATGGTAGCCCACAAACATAAAGAGGAACAGAGGGGGTCAGATTCAGTATTTGAGCCACAGGCTCAAAGGCTGGATGTGGGATTGCAGAGATTCCTGCTCTTTCATACTCCCATAAATGCATTTAACATTTGAGTGTTTGCTGTGCGCGATATTTGTGGGCCGTAAGTGTGATATCTCTAACCTCTCACATGCTTTAGTCAACCAGAACAATTAGGCTGTCCATCATTTCAGCGTGTGTGTTTTCCTGCTGCATGTTTGCCGCCTTGGAATTAATTTGTAAAATGTTTCCTCGATAAAATTCCAACTTGTGCAACAAATCCCAAACTTAAGTTTTCATCCAAATGAATCGCAGCAGGACTAATTTTAATCCAGCGATTCGATTTGTGCTGCAGAATCGAGAGGATAGAAACTCAAGTTTTAAATTATGCATAAAAAAAGCTTTATTGACAACTACTGCATTATTCTATGTCCACCTCTGGCTATCAAACAAGCTTAAATATCTAGCATGTGACTCTCTCTGGCTTTCCATTCATTTTTACTGTTTTCTTTAGAGATTCTGCCACACTTTCACCCCTTTTTGAGCTAAAAGTAAAATGTCTCATGGAAAAAATAACTCAACAACCACATTTATCAGATATGTTCGCTGTTGCTCTGCTCAGTTGAATGAAAATGGGACAGCGCAGCATGTGAGCAGCTGCATTTTACCACCTTGGAATGATAATTGTAATGAAAATTAATCATCTATGGCTAAAATAAAATAAACCAAATGGTTGTCATAGAAAAAAAGAACAAATTATAGTGTAATAAAATATATAGTATGATATAATATAGCTTTCAACAGGTTTCTTACACCAGTTGTTTAATTGAATTTCTTTTACTAAAGATGCACAGCTTGCTGAACAAGATCAAATTATAATGCACCCTTTGACAGGACATAAAAGTATGTTTGAAAACGTGTAATTTGCTATCAAAAAATGTATTCTCAAGTAAAAACCAATAAATAACTGATCATAGGATTTGATAATGTTACTATTTTAATCTTTCATGTATAAATCTATGTTTGACCTAATCAAATGTGACAGGATATTTAAGGTCCCATTTTCATTTTGGAAAGAGAAATACTTTACCAGAATTCTATAACTTCATTGTACTCTGATTTAAAACCTTGAAATTCCAAGGTGGTGATTTCCCTGCTTTCAGCTGCTTCAGCAGCTTCGACCACAATTTGGCAAATGAAAGAGACTTTGGTGGTTGTGATTCATTTAAATGTGCTTTACAGGCCTCTAGCCCTGTTTATATCCATTAAAAGTCTAAATGTACAGCACCTTTGTAAATGTGCCACACACAAAGTCCTGGAACACTGTACTAATGTGAGGTTTTGTTTTGTTTTTACTGTTTCAGGATTTACATCTGGAGTACGACCCCGATTCACCAAGTCTGCTGGGAGGAAACAAGTAAGTGGCTCCTCCTTTTGCTTTTATTTACTGCTTTGTAATTCTTTTTTTGTCAACAAATGGAAATTATAGAATGTTTAAAGCAAATAAAAAAGCAAGAATGTGACGCTTGAAGATGAGATGTCCTAAACTTAAATGGTTTAATGATGATTCCTTTGGAGTTGCTCTGTAACCTGTGTGCATTCTGCTTTATTATATAAAAGGCCACATGTTTAGGTGGTGAAAATCATGAGGAAAATTATTTACATGAACTTCAAACCTACTGAGGCTAAAAGTGGAAACAGTTGAATTGTTAAATGGCAAACAAAGTATGATAAAAACAACTTATACTGTGTATGTGCTTCAGTTCAGAAGAAGCATCCTCCCCCTTGATCTCCTTTTCTTCCATCCCATCACTTTATTTGGGAAAGTTTGGAAAATTGTAGAAATCAGAAACCCTGACTGTACCAGAATTCTAAGATTTCATTCACATTGGGGGGGTTTTCTTAGTGAAATATTAAACCTTTTTCCAACTTTCCAACAAACAGGAGCCTTCTCAAATCTGTGGAGGAGGAACTTCAGCAGAGGTAAGTCCCAACTTTGAAACTTCTGGATTGAATGACAGAATCTTGGTCTGCTGGTGTTCTAACAGCGCTCATCCATCAGCCAATCATTATGTTACACCAGGACTAATCGAGCCAATCACACGCAACTAATGCTGCTGTAATGACTAAAGGCTGTTGCTGCTTTCAGCATTTTGGGTTCCGCTTGGTTTTATTTTCCTTCTGCGGCTTGCTTCACGCTTTGATGTCACCAGCAGAGGGCTGTGCTTCATAGGAGCTTCCTGCAGAGAGCACGCCACACACACACACGCACAGACACACACATACACACACTCACACACACACTCGCTCACAGATTCCCTGTGTATTCACATATGTGCCCGCACAGTTGCTTTGTGTAAGATGCTAAAGGACTTCATCATAATTTCACTGGTAAAACTAGGGAGAATTTTTTGATTTGCTCAAGAGACCATGATTGCAAATTTTGTGCTTTTTGTCTTGTATGACAAATGTATATCTCTGTAGAACAGACTGGTACAGAGTGGAACAAATAGTCCTGGAAGACGCTCATTGTTTAAAAGCCATATGTGTTGGATTGGTGTTGTACATATAAGAGCTGCAAAGTGCCACTAGAAGTGGTTTGTTTTATTCTTTTTATCTTTTCTGGAGAACAGTACAGTTTGACGGTGGCAGTCTTTGAGTTTGAGTCGTTAAGGTTTCTTAGCAGGATTCTCCAGCACTGTTGTTTTTTATTTTTTTTTCAATATCAACCTTTGAATTTTTCATGTGGCAGCTGAATGTTGGCGGTCAGTTGCTGTTTGTTAGTGCTGCAAGTGTACATGGATTGTGGGGCTTGTGGAGATATCCCAGTCTGCTGGGCTAGGCCAAATGTTTATGGTCAAAACATGAGGTTGAGCAGGGGGAAGTCTAGGCCTAAGTTAGATGGAATGACTTTTTCTTTTTTTACAATACAGTTAAAAGGTTTTTTGTCGGTTGCTAGAGGCAGTACCGTCACAAATATTTGAGAAGCAGTAGAAAGAAACCAGTTCCACTTAACGACCAGATGAAAGGTAAATGTCAGTGTTATGACTGACACTACATAATAAAGAACAGCCAGACAGTTCATCAATTTGCTGGTAAAATGACTCCTGCGCAGTGTAAACACACTGGAGCTCACAAGAAATCTCACACAGTTTGAACACAACAGTCGGACCATGCTGAAAACCACATGGTGAGGCTTTGACTTGAACTACCATTAGACAAAAAACAGTTAGGTCTTTGGGGTGAGATCAAGTGACTGGGATAGATCTGCATTCGTCAAATTTGTCCTTCTATTTCGTGTTTAACTGAAGCTAGTTTGTGAATGCCCCCGTACATCCCACATACAGTGGTATTCAAGATGTGTTATGTGTTCTGAAGATGTGTTTTTTTTTGTGTTGTTCTTTAATGATTTGTTAAGGGTCAAACTGTACAGCTCCCGGTGGAAGCGTTGCATTCTGGAAATAGTTTTTCCTGGTTCTCCCAAAATGTCAGGGAGTCCGTTCAGTGCTCTCAGATCTGCCCTGGGTTTAGCTGTTGGTGGTAGTTTGTGAACTCAGCTTCACTCAGCTCTCCCTCCCCCTTTCCCCTCTATCTCTATCCTCTTTTTTTTTTCCTCCTCTGCTTGCTCCTCTCCCCCTTAATCTCCCTCCTTTCCTCTCCCTACCACAACAACCTCTGCTCCCTCTCTCATTTTCTTTCCAACTCCCCTCCTGTTTTCACCTCCTCTCCCAGGGGCCATGTGGCACACTTAGGGGATGATGAGGATGAGGATGATGATGGTGCAGATGATGATGAAACTCACGCTCAGTAAGTTCCCTCTCAGTCTTAGAAACTGGAAGCCTCAACTTTCTTGTCTCTCTTCCCTTTCCCGAGCATCCTTCCCTCCTCTCAAAGAGGAAAGGATGACAAAGAAGACAAGAAGTGCTTCCTGCCACAGTTTCATCCACGCATCTCTATGCTGCACACCCCACACGCCACATATGCCACGTGTGTGTGTGTGTTAACCACCCATGTGTTTCCCATGCTGTTTCTGCGGTTTGGTGTGAAGCTTTAAAGCTACTAACAGTAACCCCGAAAAAACAAACTCACAAAAAGGCTGAAGATGCTCAGCACAGTTTATTTTTTGTGTCATCTGATAAAGAAAGCACACCCTCTGTCTGTTAGGGTTTACAAATCAGGTCATTCTGTAGTAGCTTTGCTGTGTTTAAGGGTTTTGTTTTTTAGCCTTTTTACTTCAGCCAAGCTTTAGCTTTTCTGCTCTCTCTGGAATACTTTGGGACCCAGTGTTCCACAGGGTGCCCAGGTCTTGCCGGTGCAGAATAAGCCCAAATCATGAGCCCTCCACCACCATGCTTGTCAGTGGGTATGAGGTGTTTGTGCTGATATGCTGTGTTTGGGTTTCTCTTATCATGGAGGATTCAGTTTTGTCCAAGCGTCTCCTATTTGGTTTGGATCAAAGGACTTTGTTCCAGAACTCTAGTGTTTTGTTCAGGTGTAGTTTTGCTCAGCTAAACCGTGCCACCATTTTTTAATTTCTTTTTGCTTTTTTTAGTTGAACATTTAACTGAAGGAAGTGTCCAGTAACAACTTTGCTGATCATTATGAGGTCTGACCTTGCTGTGGGGTCCATTGCCATGATGATCGACAGCAGTTCTGGCCATTTTTCCTCTTGTGGAAACTCTTCTCACTCCAGAATGATAGACTTCAAATTGTTTGGATTATTAATTCTACCAGATGAATATGCATCCCTCCGGTACTGGAAACCATTTTTATTTGGGTTTCAGAAAGCATCTCTGGATCTTTCTGAGGTCGTATAGCATAGCAGATGATTTCTTTAATGTACCCCGATAAAACCTGAGGATAAACAGAGGGTGTACTTTCTTTTCCATGTGACCGCATTCCTAGTCGAAGGTGGGATTAAAGATGCGGAATGACTGTAACATGTGGAAAGAAGCACACATTTAAAGCGATTGTTGTACCAACATATAAACCTGCCTTCAGTGTTTATTCTGGTTCATAGAAAGTAGCATTAAAGTTTCACTCACCAACATAAGATTTCTGATGAGTTTTCTTCACAAATCTGGTCCTCGTGACATTGTCTTTTTTGTTACTGTGTTGTTGTCCACTTGCATCGCCATCTGTGCACCTCTTTGCTGTGCGTTTGTGTGTGTGTGTGTTTACTCACGGTGCCGTCTGTCTTCTCCTGCGTCTCCCATATTAAATTGTAGATCTGGCATCCAGCCTTTTTCCTTATTGTGTAAAAGCCAAATGTCTGTGGCGGGCCAAAGTGTTCCTGCCAGACAGATATTTTCCACCACAGTCAGAGGCCTTTTGTGCCTCCACATTGTTGGATTTTAGCTGTTTGTCACAGACCACATTGAGCAGGGATTGCAAAAATAACGAGAACAAGTTAATTTGACCTGACAGGTTCTATGTATTTATACAATTTAAAAAATACTTTTTTTCTGCACTTGTCCTTTTGCCCCCTTGTACTTGACACTTTTCTGGTTTAGGGTGTTTTAAACTGGCATGTGGCATCCTCTGTGATCTTTTGTTTTCACTGTGATTGGCTCCAGATTCCAGTTAGTTTTTTGCCCATCTGTTGTTCTTAATCAATTTCTTGATACATTAGATATGTATTAGGTGCAATAGATTATAAGTTTTGTTTTTGTTTTTTGTGAAAAAAAATTAAAAGAAGGAAAAAGGAAACTATTGATGTTATACAGTTGCTTTAAAATGTTGTGAATAAACCAATACATATATCCATGTATATATATGTACATAACAGCAGTAGTTTGCATCTTTTTGATCTGAAACTGTCCATTTTCTCGTTCTTCAGTAAATCGAGCACTATCATGAGGCCGAAGGTCCCACCCCCGCTCCCCCCTAAGGTAGAAACAACTTAATCCATCTCTGTCTTCAAATGACCAATTCTATCATTTTTCAGTGACCACTTTCGAATTTGGTAGATTTTCCTTCCCCAGAAATTAAGTTTGTTCTTTCCCTCCCCAGCCCAAGTCCATCTGCTCGTCCCAGCAGCATCTCCACAAACAAGACGATAGCCAATCACACAGTGAGGATGATGGGGGAGGCGGGACCATCAAGCGCTGTCCAGTACCTGAGACGGCGAGCCCCGCCAAGCCGGCCTCCCACGTCCCCCCGCGGCCGCCACCCCCGAAGCTGCCGCCCCACCGCCGCAGTAGCCTAGGTAACGACAGCCCAAAGCGCAATGACGCGGAAAACTCTGCCCCAGAAGATGATGGGAGCTTTAGACATTTCTGGGAGTGGCTCCACACGCCTCACACAGAGGAGGAGCTGGAGGAGGCGTGGGAGGTGCTGAAGGAAGTGAAAGAGGAGCAGGAACAGGAAGAGAGTAAGAGCACCTGATTGGTAGCCGGGCAAAGATCCTGCTGTCCCTTTTAGTTCTGTGGTCTCCATTAGTTGGTGCTGGTACACTAATCGATTCATTTGTTCCATCAGTCCATTAACAAGAATGCTTTTCCCTTTTATGTTTGTAGTTCCTTCTTGTCATCAGCTGCTGCTCAATGATTGTTTGTCTCTTATGAGCTCTGATTGGTTCTTTAATCCGATCCGAAGTTGCTATCAATTCCCCTCACTTGTTTAGAGGCCCAAAAAGTTTTGCTGGCCAATCAGAACTCAAGTGGCAACATATAATCATAAAGAAAGTTTGCTTACATTTAATGATCTGATAATATTCATACTTCAATAATACATGGTCCAAAATCACGCCTAGCAGATTAATTGTAAACAGGAAGTGATGTTTTTATTTAGATTAATCTTTCAATCTCCTGACGAGTATTGTTTAACTCCACTGCTGATGTCAGGGAATGATAGCGTAGGTTGTTGCCAGCTTCAGCATTTAGCCGCTTTGCGTCAGCTTTGTCAAGCTGGACATTTTCAGCATTGGGTCACGCCGGGACACATTAGCTTTTTTCGCTTATCGGCTGTGCCTTCTCCATGAAAAGAGGCATCTGCTTTAACCTTCTGCTTTGCGTCTCCCCTATGCCAAACAGAGGCGGGTGAGCCCCGCATCAGTGTGTGTTTTCACACACCATGGAGTTAGTTGAGCGACAACTGGTGTGAGTGGTGGTTTCAATTACACATCACTTGTCGCTTGTTCATATAGAAAGTAAATGAATGACGTAAATGTTATTTAATAGATTGCCAGGTCTACTCAAGGCACGCAATTCTGGAAATGTAACAACCTTTCGGTGTGTGTTACTGAGCACATTCACTTTCCCACACATACACGCAAGCCCTTTGTACAGTACTAAAGTACCTAAAAAGAAATATCAGTCATAAAAAGTTAGCTGAGGGAGAAAGCCGTTCGTCTGTTAAATAGCTGACACTTATTGTCCTGAATTTAACCTTCAATTAACGGCAGCACCCATCCTCAAATCCCTTTACTTTCTGTCTTTGATGCATACGAGCAGCCAGTAGCACAAAAAAAACTTGATGAAAACATTTAAAGGTTTTAAATCTGTGACTTTTTAAGTCTTGAACCTGAATAATGCGCACCGTGCTGACAGCTGCTGTACTGCAGTTCATATCGGCACAGAGGTGTGTGTGAGGTCGGCCTGGCAGAAGGAACAGTCTGTATTGCCCACCAGTACGTTTGATCCTCTGATTCTTCCTGCTTCCTGCTCCCTCCGTCCTCCCCCCCCTTCACTCTGCTCCCAGTAGCTTGTTTTTACTGTTGAACTTTACCCTGTCGTCATCCGTCTTTAAGTTTAGAGTGCTCTCATCAGTATGAGAACGTGTCTCTTTGTTCCTCAAACACTGGCTCACAGATTCTGGAATCGCTCAAACGTGCTGAGGAGTTCTTTGTTGTTGTTATTGTTGTTGAAGGTAACGGGCTAAACACGCCCCACAATGGCGAGAGGGAAGGTCCAGCCGAGAGGCAGTCCACCATGCCACCTAGTGTCCCCATTCGGAAAGACAAGAAGGATGTTCCGGTAAGCACAGACCCCTAAAGAGAGAGCCATCCAGAGTCAGGGGGAGAATATGAATGAAAGCATTTCTGATAAATGTATGAATATACTAGGGAAACCACATTGCTATAAAGACTTTTGAGTGAAAGAGACAGAAATGAAAAGAGCTGGGACATTAGAAGTGGCTCTATGAAAAATAACTTTTCTTAATTTGTAAATTATTTTCTGTTTTGATTGGCATATCTTTTTCTTTTAAACAATATTTTTTTATTATCACCTTTTCTCCTAGATGCCTGTCAGTAATGGTCTCCCTCCAACACCCAAAGTCCATGTAAGTATTGATCTCTTTTAGTATCTTTTTTTAATGAAAACCTGTAAGTGGTTTTTATCACTGTTGTTCAGAGACCCTGATAATGCAGGACTCAGGCACCTGTTTCCAACTTTGGTGGAATTGAATTGCAGTTTGATTATCTCCAAAGGAAAGAAGAGCAATACAAATAGTGCCTCAGAAGTCTGATTGTTGTGTTAAATAAAGAGTTCTGCTGTTCAAGGAGAAACACTAAAAGAAAAAATGTTTTTTACAGATGGGTGCGTGTTTCTCCAAGGTGTTCAACGGCTGTCCTCTGAAGATCCACTGTGCCACCTCATGGATCAATCCCGACACCAGAGGTAGCCTATAGGAAAACAGACATAAACGGCCTCATATTAACATTACTAGGTTCTAAATAAATGTGACTAGTTACAGCCAAAATCAAGCCATCGTGTCTCTTGTTGTAAAATGTTGCATCTTTCGAACATGAACTGCAGCAAAGTCGTGAAAACATCTGTGTTTCAGATCAGTATTTGATATTCGGAGCTGAAGAGGGAATTTACACGTTAAACCTCAATGAGCTGCATGAGACAACGATGGAACAGGTGAGTCAGGAAGGCGCAACAAATGCCATTATTGTGATGTTGTCTGGCAACATTCCCACACCGAAGCTTCCAGAAAACTGAGGCCACATGATGCTCAGTTGTTGGGCAATTCTTGACTTAAACTCCTTCTCCGTCTCCAGCTCTTCCCTCGGCGGTGCACGTGGTTATACGTCATGAACAACTGTCTTCTTTCCATATCTGGTGAGTTGGAATGCACCAGCCCGTTGTTGCCGTTTCATGGATCACTGCTGTATTTTATTTTTTTTCTGCTCAGACTTTGGATTTCTGATGGGGGTGTTGACACCTTCTCTGTCTCATTACAGGAAAAGCCTCCCAGCTGTACTCCCACAACCTGAGCGGTCTCTTTGAGCAGGCCCGACAGTTACAGAAATTACCAGTAGCCATTCCCACGCACAAGCTGCCTGATAAGATTATTCCAAGGTAACAACCAGGAAGTCAAAGCGGCCAATGATTTACATAGTCTTTGTCGTTTTATTGAGGTCATTCGGTCAGATGAATTTGAATTCTGTTGAAATTCAGTCAAATCGACAGCTCTCATGTCAGTTTAAATTTCACTTAGCCTTTTGGATAATAGGTTTCTTTTATTTGTCTGGTTGTAGGAAGTTTGCTGTGTCCAATAAAATTCCAGACACCAAAGGGTGCCAAAAGTGCTGCGTAGGTGAGTTGTCTTTTTTCACTGTGGATTTCATGCCTGTTCAGTTCCAGAATAGTGCCGTACAAAAGTCTCAGCCCGTCCCCGTCTGCTTCACAAAGTCACTCACAGGTCTTTTTCAGAATATATGATGAAAGTCTTTTGCTCTCCTTGCAGTGCGTAACCCATACACTGGCCATAAATACCTGTGTGGAGCCTTCCAGTCTAGTGTCATGCTGTTGGAGTGGGTGGAGCCCATGCAGAGGTTCATGCTCATTAAGGTCAGTGTTTCCCGTCTTAAAGCTGTAGCTCCAACGCTTCAGCCTTTAACTCCTTATGTCACCTCAACTCTTTTCACTCACGCAGAGCATCGACTTCCCGTTGCCATGTCCACTGGAGGTCTTTGAGATGCTGGTGGTCCCGGAGCAGACCTACCCCCTCATCTGTGTTGCGGTCAGCAAAGGAACCGAGCTCAGCCAGGTGGTCCAGTTCGGCACCGTCAACCCCAACACGGCCTCCTCCTTGTTCACAGAAGCAGGTTGGAGCCGTGCGACTGCATGTCTTATTAGACCTTTTCATGTTGCTGACACACACAGCAAGAAAGTAAGAACCACGCTAATCCATCAGCCTTCATTTTCCCCTCTGCAGACACGCCCCAGTCGTGCGTGATCCACGTCACACAGCTGGAGAGAGACACTATCCTCGTCTGCCTCGACAGTGAGCGACTCATTTTTCTCTCACATCTCAGTGTCGGCTTGGCCAGAGGTTCTTTTGCTCAGCTGCCTGTTCTTCTTCTTTTTCTCCTTCCACAGGATGCATAAAGATAGTCAACCTTCAGGGGCGGCTGAAATCCAGCAGGAAGTTATCAGCCGAGCTCACTTTTAACTTCCAGATAGAGGCCATAGGTAGAGTCTTAGTGTTATATACAAAATAATAATGGTCATCTCTTATAATGGATCAAATGGATTACCTTTGGTGGAATCTCACAATTAAGGTACTTATCGTTAAAAAAGAGCTAATCATCATTGTGTCTGCTTTCTTTTTTTTTTTGCAGTTTGCCTCCAAGACAGTGTTCTGGCCTTCTGGAGACATGGCATGCAGGGACGGAGTTTCAAGACCAATGAGGTCGGCTTGTTTCTGAGTGCCTGCTCGTGTGTTTTTGTTTCCTTTTAAAGAACAAAAAGTACAGAGTCATTCAGTCTGGAGGCTTTTTCAGCACAGACTGCGATAAGAAAGAGTTGGGGATAGAGCTAATGCCGGATAAACTGTCAAATCTAGAAAAAAAAACTTGTTACAGTTAAAAGCTCAATTTCAGTCAAGCTCTGAATGTTTTTGATGCTATTAAACGCACAGTTTGTCCTATTTCACATTACCTTCCGGTTTGTTGTTCCTCAGATCACTCAGGAGATCTCTGACAGTACGCGGATCTTCAGACTACTGGGATCAGACAGGTGAGAAAACCCGGGCCAACAGGCTGATGCGTCACACTCATCACACGCTCTGCATCCATTCAACCAGCACACGCGCTCACACTCACAAACAGCGCTAACATCCTCTTTGATGTCCCACCACTGAAGACATGCCGACTGTAGGGATCCAGATGCTGAGGACAGAGGTCACTCTCTGCCCAGGTACAGTCTCTGCTCGCCGGCCTCAGATGGCCGAGCTCTGCCTTTTTCTGTCGGGAGTCTTGAGGTGTGCTTCGTAGCGGAGGTTTCTGATCAGAAACGGTTGAACTGAAAGTGTTTGGGGAATATACCCCTGCAAGGAAAGGGGCCGACATCCTGATCAAAATCACCACCGGGTTTGATTCCTGCCAAAAAGCTTTGATTTGATGTCATTAATAGAATGAAGAAATGTCAGCGACGGGAAGGCATGATTTTGGTTTCTGTCGCCTCTCTCGGGAGCAGCTGTGTCTCTTTAAGCGACGATGTGGGGAGGTGTGGTCTTTGGGTTCCAGCTTTCATTCGTATCACAGCTTTGCTCAGAGTAAACGGTGTCAGGACGGGTCATCTTTCTGTGCTTTCGAAGGCTTGGCTGCACATATCATCCTGTCTATTACTCCTTGATTTTTGTCGAACTAACAACATTCTTCAACTGTGGCGGGGTTGGTTTCTTGGTTTTAAAGGTGCCTTTTAAAGAAAAAAAAAAAAAACTGAACTGTAATATTTGTGTGTGTGCCTGTGTTTTTTGTGTGTGTGTGTTTTGTGTGTGTGTTTGTGTGTGTGCGTGCGTGCTGCAGGGTGGTGGTGCTGGAGAGCCGGCCTACGGACAACCCCACAGCCCACAGCAACCTCTACATCCTGGCAGGCCACGAAAACAGCTACTGAGGCGTGAACGCAGTCTCCAAACACCTCATCACCAGTACGGACGAGGAAAGCAGGAGCTGGCTGGTGCAGTCATCCAAACCCCCCCCCCCCCCCACACACACACCTTAACCCACCCCAGCCTTCACCTCCTCACCCGGCCTGCTGGCAGCCTGACCGGGAGATGAGCCACTCACAGGGGGCATGCCTGCATCCATTCAGAAAACACCCCCAGAGTGTCATCCGTGTACTGGTAAAGTGTGTTGTGTAAAAGCAAAATCTTCCCCGACACCCTCTCTTTGTAGAATGCACACTGGGAAAACGTAATCCAGCAAAGCAGTTCGATCAACACTACTTCTACTATTGCTCTACACATGCTACTACTAGTACTACTGCTAATGCGCTAAAGCTTCACCGAACACCCCACCGTCTCGCTCTTCTCCCTTTTTTTTTTTAACTGTCCCTTTTATTTATTGTGGCATGATGTAAATCTAACAACCAGGAGGTTTTTCTCGACTTATTCTTGTTTATTTAAAAGACAAAGACAAAAAAAAAAAGTCAAACCAGATTAAGAAGCTTTGCCACTCTCGCTAGCATCGAATTCCAGTACCCGTCACTACACCACACAAGTGCTTAATCGACCTCTATTTAATTGTTGTAAATATAAATGTAGTTTTTGTTTGTTTTTCTTTGTTTTGTTTTGTTTTTTTGTTTTTTTTTGGACAAAGATGAACACTAAAATGTCTGGTCGTGTAGATAGGTGTGTGAATATTCGCTCTTGTAAAACCGTGGAGACAGAAATAAAAAAAGAGAGAGAGGCTCGGGTCTCCCCGGCTGGGCCACCTCAGGTCGGTGTAGAGCTCAGGACCCCGCCGAGCGAACGCGGGAAGCCACCGGCGGGCCCCTTTCAGTCTGCACGCGTCGCCATCATCACTACCTGCTCCCTACCATGGCAACTATTGTCGCGGCAACGGGGATCTGTTGATTCAAGTTGCTTTCTCTTGTTTCGACGTCATCCTTTTCATTTATTTTAAAAATCTGTTTTAATCAGACATATTTGCTCCTTTTTTTTTATTTGTTTCAAACCACTGGTGTTAAAATATTTGCACAGAGGAAAAAAAAAGTGTTTCATTTACAAATGTGATGTCGCTATACTATCTGACCTTGTTTGTGTGCGCTTTGTGCGAGTGTCGGCGTGCGCTGTAGACGTAGAGAGCGTGCAGACCGGCGCATCACGTGCACATCTGGCCTGTCTCTAGTAACTTTATATGAGCATCAGCAGAAATGAAACTACAAGAAAAACCAAGAGATTCACACAGAAAATAGTTTCCTCTATCATAGCCGGCCTATTAGCTCGTTGCTGTAATTTCATGCAATAAATATCTCATTTTTAAGAAATAAGAAAAATCCTTAATACGAAGGGTTTTATTTAATCAGATACTGCCCTTATTAATCTAGAACATTTTTAAGATCCGTAATCCGGTACCCTACGAGAAGAGAAGTAAATGCTGTGAATGTTTTTAACATGCTGCTTGATTCAAAAGTCGTGTTAGGAGCTGATTTTTATCAGAGTAGCAGACAGCAGCTGTTGGTTGTTTCTGTGTAAGTCCCAGCTCATGGTTTTTTTCCACTTCGGCCTTCGATCCTGTGAGCCATCACAGGCTGCTGTGTGTAGAAGAGACGGCAGCGCGTGTGCAAAAGCGCCAGCCTGGCACCACACTACCGGTCCGCACAGGCCGGGACAGCACCTCGCTGCTTCTAGTTAGTCTTAGTTTATCATCTCCGACCGGGACAAACCCGTTTTTGCCTTTTCAAGTGTCTCGCTTTATCGCTCGTCCGGCGCTTTTCTTCTCCCACTGAGAGCATGACACAGTTGCTGTGAGAGGGGGACGTGCGGATAAAAAGGCCTCCTTTCATCAGGATGGTACAGGCGTGCAGGCGACTTGTTTGCAGTGTGTGGACTTCAGCTCGTGGTGTGGAGCTCACGGAGTGTTTCTGAGGCAGACGTCTTTTTTTTTTTTTTTTTTTTATCTCATAGCTGCTGTAATCTGACAGACATTTGGGTTGGACACAAATGCCTCTTTCCCTTTCGACAGTGCAGAAGTGGCATCATTATGATGTAATATAACTGAAGTGGTCGCTGATTACCACTTGGGCAAAAGAGCAAACTTTGGTTGTTTGGAACTCCGGTGACAGGTGGACTCATTTTTTTTAAGAAGGAACATTTTTAATCACAGGTGGGGCAAAAATGCTGCCTGCTGCCATATTTTGGGGTGTCCACCACCTGCAAACCTGTCCTCATTAGTCTGTAGCAACCTTGGAAAATACAGTCAGAGATCACATTCCCAGCTCTGCGTGAGACGAATGTTACGACGAAGACTCTTCCTGTTGGCAGACTGACGAATAAGAAAAGAATGTAGCAGAATTCTTGTACAGTGAAATTTGATTAGCTCCCGCTCTGTAAAATCTGACGTTGTCTTAAACTCGGCGTTCACTGGCAGGGATTGCACTTCTTCCCCTACAGTCTATACATTTTGGGGGATTTTTCTTTTGGGATTTATTTTTATCTCTATGTTGGATTTTTGCCTCTGCAGAAAGGGAGCACGAGCAGGCAGTCCACTTAAATGCACTAAAAGGGCAAAAGTTCAGACGCAGCACTCGTGCCCACATTCTTTCGATTTAATTTTGTAGCAGGAAACACAGCAAACGTTGAGCTCTTCTTTAAACAGCAGGTCGTGAGATAAAATCGCACCAATACAGAATCATTTGACTTTTTTGTGTCTTTAAATATGCACAAACATCTTAACTGTATCACTATACAAAATAGAATAAATAGAAATCTGCAAAGGACAAAATGCCTCAGTAAAGCTTCGACCTGTGAGTAAAGTTTGCCCGATTCGAGCCGCAGGCACACTGGGTCTATCATTAGGGCTCTGGTCAAGTTTCATTGACACTAATTATTTTTATAAAATGTTTTTTTTGTTATTCTGGGAAATTTAGTACAGAATTAATATATTGATGAAACATGCCACCCAACCAAGTTATGCAATTACCCCATTTAAGCTCAGTTTCTGTCACTCAAACAAATCAAACGCCATAAAATAGTGATCCAACATTCCTTTACATTATTAGAGCTCTGTTTAAAGAGAAAGAACCTGTTTTTTGTGTTAGAATATGCTGTTTTAAAGTAATCTATTTAGACATCATGTTCTCTAAAACTCCTTTGTGTCCTGTGGGGCGACGTGTGTGAATGAGCCGCACTTCTATCACATGAAAACAGCGGCAGCCTAAAGGAAAACTTCCTTCAGTGAATCCGAATTTGATTTCTGTGTTTTTTTTTTAATGATCTCAGATTCTAGAAATCAGCGTGGCTGAACATTGTACTCTCTGGCTAATGCGTTCCTACATCGCTGGCATCGGCCTCTTCTCCTTGTTGTAACAGTGCAGTTCTTGACTTAAAACGTGGAATTGTTGGGAAATTGTGGGTAACAGTGCCAATGTGGCACTTTGGGTGTATTGTGAGTTTTGCTGAAATAATAATAATAATAATAGAAACACACACACACACACACACCCGCTGAATGATAATTGGCTGTCGGAGGGCTGGAATCATCCCTGGTCTGGCGCTCTCATGGGATCGGCCGACGTTCACTCCACGGTTCTTTCCGGAAGCTGCTCGATCAAGGTTTCTTCCCGGTCTCGAGAAAAACACCGCAGATCTCCATGTTCTGGCTCCATGACACCACCTTTGTCTTTTTGTTGTCATAATTCAGTGCATACCTTATGAAATGTAAATAGTGTAAAATAAAAATGGGTTTGTTTTACATACTGTATAATTGCCTATATTTTGTTTCAGAAGTGTAACAGATTTATGAGATGACAGGTTAACACATTAAAAAGAAAGAACTGAGGCACTTGGTATCTTGTCTTTTCTGAGTGGCCCATTGTTTGTTTTTGAGTCACGGTAAACTTGGGAATGTTTCACCTCTAGTCATTATATTTTCTTCATTAGGTCTTCTTCATGCACTTTGAGCAGCTTCTATTATTTTAGCATGTGATTGATTTATACAATCATTTTTTCTTGTAATCTTTCCTCCAGAAAAAAATAAAAGCTGATTAACCAGTGATGACATTAACTCATAATTGAATTAGCAGTGACTTCAGGGTTGTCAGTCCTTTAATTGCCTTAACCTGAGACTTATCTTTAGACCACAAAGAGCCACCCATCACTGCTCTGCATAATTATTTTTAAACCTAATTAAAATTCTGAATTTAAAATCTTTGAGCTGCTTGTTGAAGTTAGTGCAATTCAATGACTGCTACAAGTTGAATCCTGACAACTCAAAGCATTACGTGCCATTTAAAAACTTTAGCATTTCAGAGAATAAGCTACAGACCTGTGGGGAATGATTGAGCCACCAGACGAGAACTCAGCGGGAACCTTTATTGGGCTAATTCTTCGACTAAGTTCACTGCATAAAAATAGTTATTACACTGACAAACATTGAATATTTGTATTTAAATAAGATGCCTAAACACATACAAAGATATACACATTATAGTTGCTTAATGTTGTTTTCCTGAGTATATGCTACAACATGATTTGGTTATTCTGTTGCTCATGAAATGAAGCTTCCTAATAAGATTAATAGCAAGCGGCAGCTAGGGTAAAAAACAAAACCCTTAATGGAGGGAAAGATTAAGCAGTAATAAGTTAGTTCTTTGGAGCAATAATGAGTATTAAATACGGAGCGTGGTAATTTACAGTGAGGGAGTGAAGCCGCCATTTAATGGGTCAGTCCAAAATGCGTTTACCCTCCATGTCATTTTGGCAGTGGGACAAATCAAGCTTAGTGTAATTACACATGAGCTAAAATGTAACCACGGATGTGGGTTCTTTATATGTATTTTAAGAGAGAATCATAACAAGTGCTTTCCCTCAGAGTGAGGCCCGTGGCAGGACCTGGTGTTTACATGTGGCTGATTCAACATTGACACAGTGTAATAACTCATACTGCCGTGCCGCGGTTTATCTCCAGATGGACCAGTTTGACGTTCTTCCCTGCTGTCTCGTTTTCACTGTTTTGACTCTCTGGTGTTTTGTCGCCTCCTTTGTCCTTCCTTTCATCCCCGCTCCTGTTAGAAAGACACAGAAAGGGAAATACGACCCCCCCCCCTTCAGTCAGAAACGTCATCCTTGCCCCCTTTGCAGTGCGACTCATCAGTGCCACACCGTCACACATACTTCTTCTTGAAGAGCTTCTTGAATGAGCTCCTGAAGCCTCCCTTGTCCTTGCGGCTCCTCTCGCTGAACGGGCTGTGGTTATTCTCCTCCGTCCCGCTCCTCCACTTTGACTCGTCCCCCCACGACTGGAGGCCGGTGTCCTGTTTGGGGTCGAACAGCATTTTTTTTGTTCACACTTTGGAACTGAGATGAAGCTCGAGACTATTTCACAAGCCCTTACATTGCCTTTTTCCTACTTATATTTGCATTCTTTTTTTTAAACTCACAATATTGAGCAGCCCGTGAAGATCTGAGCTCTGTTTGTCAGTGTTTGCCAGTGGGCTGTGGACCTTGTGAGATGGGGTGGAGCACCCTCTGCTGCCTTTACTACCCTGGCGCTCCAGCTTGGCGTGGCTGCCCAGTCCCGGCCTTTGGAGGTGCTCGCCGTCCACCCCGCCCACTGTGTTCTCCATCTGCAGGCCGTTCAGCGACTAAAGAGACGGAAAGCGTGTCGATTTTCTTACATCTCAATACTCGATGGGGTCCGGACCGTGCTTGCCTGGGCCCGCTGAGGCCTCACCTTGCTCTTGCGCTGGCTGGCCTGCAGCGGCCGGTGCAGGTTGCGGCGCATCATGCCGGCCTCGTCCGGCGACGCGCAGCCCCTGCCGGCCAGCTTGCCGTAGCTGCCCCCCTGGCTCCCGCCGCCGCCGCCGCCAAACACGTCCCGGGTGGTGGCGACGTTGGTCGCCACGGCGCGGTGCGGCGCCGACGGGGGCTTGGGGCACTTCACGAAAGCGATGTCGATGGACGAGTCCGAGGAGGCGGACGAGCAGCGGTCGAACAGGGAGCCCTCGTCCTCGTCGTACAGGCTCTCCATCCCCGGGGGGTCCGGGGGAAGGAGGAACTCTCCCAGAGCGTCGGCCAGGGCCGAGCCGGGCTGAACCTGGCGGAACTCCGCGGGTCTGGAGGGCAGGTGATGCTGGCAGGACCTCTCTGACATCTCCCTCTCTGGGATACTGCCCAGACCTGGAAGCCGTAAGGATACGCAAAGCAATGCCATGAAAAGGAAGACATGGGTTCCAGTGTCTCAAAGCCTACATACTAACAGTAACCCCTGTTTTCACACAAGACATGATCATTGGAGTCAGGTCTTCTCTTTATAATGTTAAAACTTTGTTCTTCACCAAGTTGCAGATTGGTTAAAGTTCTTTGCTGGTAAGGTCTCGAGCTAACAAAATCATTCTTGCAAGCACCGTACTGGAGTAAAAGTTCATTCATTTTATCAAAACAAACAAAGAGTTTACATTTGTTCCACAAGGCCAAGCTCACAGGCTTGGAGAAAAGCCAGCTGTGGACTAAAACACGATGAACTTTACGATAGACAAATGTAAACTTTCATACAGTCTCATGGCTGAGTGTAGGCACTAGAGATTAGTTTGGTGTTGACAATGTCCCTTTTGTGCACACGTTTGCAAAGCATATAAGCTGGAGGCCAAAATGTGTGAGCACTGTCAAACAGGAGCTTTCTGCACCAAACTAGAGCGGGGTTGAAAATCGGATGGCTATAGAATACAGAAACAAGTTCTACTTAATCTATAAAACAAAAAATCATGTAACTTTATATTCTCTAACAGTTACTGCTGTGTATATCTTTTAAAATCCGTTTGCTATCACTTCATTTATTTGGTTTATAAAAGACTGTCATAGTTCCCATTTTTGTCTGAATGCCGGAAAATCAAAATAATTTTTCTTTTAAATTGTTCACAGGAAACTGTCCTCAACCTCAAGAAAAATATTAAAACCAAATGTCCACTTTATGTTTGTGTCAAAGTGAATGAAAGTTCTTGCAAACGTTCTGCTTGTTGCATCTCACAAACAACCATCTTGTTTTAATCCATGTGTTTTTCTGTAAGTGATGACACCTTTCTGTATGATAAAGCACAGTTGATCTGTTAATATAATGCACAGCCTCGAGGACACTGACCTGTTTGTTTCTGGGTCCGTGAGTCCAGGTCGGAGCCGAAGAACTGCTGAGGCTGCCAGTCTGAGTCGTAGCAGTGGCTTTCGGGATTCTGGTCATGATCCCAGTCCTGGAAACGGTGGGACTGGATCTGCTCCAAGAGACACTGTTTTCTGCGCTTCACCATGTTGGCGTGCTCCCTGTGGCCAAGATTCAACCTTTATTACAGCAGCATGTTTTTTTTCACATTAAAAAGACAAGAATCGATCTACAAATGGACTGAAGACTCACAGCACTGCGCTGCCTCCGGGATACGGCGAGCTGATGCTGTTGGCCTGGATACCGCTCTCCACCGTCTTTAACAGCTGTTTCATGGTAGACCTGCTGGCCCAGCACAGCACAGGTTCTGACTTTGAGAAATCACCGCTGAGTGATGAGGTTCATGGAGGTGTGACGAGCCTAACCTCTTCGCCTCCTTGCGGTTGAGCAGCAGGAGCTCCTGGTTGTGCTGGAGCAGGTGGTGGTACTGCGTGGTGAAGGACCTGAACTGCTGGATGCACACCAGCAGCAGGTAGTAGTCCGGGTGCTCCGCATCCGTCTGCCTGAGCAGGCCCTTCACACAGATAAACAAGTGACACACAGTCACTTTGGCCACAGATTTCATTTTGGGGCTTAATCGCTGAAATGTTTTTTCACTGTTTTTTCCCCCCCAAGAAAGTCTCTGACATTTAATTTTTTCATTTAAGTGTGTCTTCTTACAAAGCTCATACTTTTCCGTGGAATATAGATTCTGAATGCTTTAATAAGCCACACAGGTTTCTTTTTTTTTCTTCTTTATAAAATGATTTTTCTTCCAGATTCTTCAAGTTTTTTTCAAAAACTGGCCTCTCAAGCAGTTTCTACATGTAGCCCTTTATTTTGAACTATTATGGTGACCGAGATGGAGAGCAATTTTAGTCCAATGCTCTTTGTGAGGAAAGTGAGAACACTGGCAGATATATAAAAAAAGAAAAGGAAAATAGGTTGAAGTACTGACTAAAGATACAACATAACATGGTACATGTACTTAAAACTAACAAAAAAGCCTAAACATCTCACTTTGCTCACTTCCTTTCAAGCACCAAACAAGAAGATTATATGGTTCCCCTCTGCCATGCTTAAAAATATTCCAATTACAATAGAATTGTGTTGGAATGTCCTGACAGCCACAGCTAGCTCAACATGAAAACTGTGAGAGGAAAATCAACTAATGCAAATTTATATTTAATTTGAATTAATTCTGGTCTCACTTGCAGCAGCAGCAGGTACTCTGGGATCCTCTGAACCGGCTGTAGGAGCAGGGTGTGGAGGGAAGGCTTGGATTCATCGCCCATTATTTCACTCTGATGGCAGCCAATCAGCACGCACGTCAGCACAGGCGGACCAATCGAGGTAGAAAGAGAGAGCAAGTTAGTACAGCAGGTGAACATTTGATGGGACTTTTTTTTTTTTCTTACTTGACTCAGACTTACCTCCACAAAGGCGGAAGATTTCATGGAGCTGGAAGCAAGCATAGTTACAACTGACAGACAGTCCGGAAGCTCCTTCAGATACGACACATAAAAGTCCAGGAAATCGCTCTGAAAGGTGACAGAGACATGTTTTCTTTATTTAAATATATCTAATTTTGTTTAATCCACTTTTTTCCCTTTCCAGACCAGTACAGGTTCATAATGGTTTGGATAATATTTGCCCATGATAGTTGAAAAAAAGGAACTATACGGGCAGATAGACTGCGTTGACAGTAAAAGAGGATAAATTAGCTTTTGAATAAAAATTGATAGAAGTCTGGTTACTGAGCGGAAGATGTTGAACTCCTGGCTGTGAGTTTCCAGCTGTGTTGCATGTGACATCATCAGCTCAGTTGTTGCCAGGCTACAGACACATCCATGCCCTCGACCCTTGTCTTCCTCCAACTTTTCCAACTGAATGGTTTGATTTATTTGATTCATTCCCAATCATTTATTCTGCAAAAATGTGCCCTCTTTTGGGGAGGGGGAGGATTAATGAAATAATCTTTAATTCTGTCTGAGTCAGGTCAAGTCTTGGTGAGCATGATTTCATTAACCAGGGGTCAGCATCCATTTTTGCCATTGAGTTATCTCGCACAAATCCAAGAACAATCCTTCTTTTCTTGGTTCAACTTCCGTATTGCAGATCCTCGCTGGGCTCCACAGGAATTGGATTTCACTGTTACTGTTGCCAAACTAATGCAGCTTTACGACACAGGGCTGAATATTTGGACCCTTCCATCCTAACAGGCCCTGTTCGGGGAGGATGTTTCCTGTTTTGTGAACGATGCCACGAAAGCTCCTCTAGTATTTAATTCGCAACAAACAAAGTATAAAAATGATAAGAGACAGGAAAGAGGATTGTCACACAAAAGTTTGGGCGCATTGGGCCGATTCCAAGCTTACTTCTTTGCTGGTGAGCCTCATGAACACGTCTCCCATGATGCCTTGCCACTGGCACTTCAGCACCCGTTCCTGGAGCGTGTGAAGGAGCTCGAGGTGCTGCTGGATTAGAAACCTTAAAGAACTGGGAAACGGGCTGCAGATGGCAGGGAAGAGAAAAAAAGACATCACCTGTCTTTATGTGCAATTATTTGTGGATGAAGGCATCTTCAACCAATCAAATCTAGCCTCACTGAGGCTTAGATAGGACAGAGAACACAAACGGGTTAGACTTTTAGCTTCTGGACGCCAGTATAATCGTCGTTTTCACCTACTTATGTGAAATGGCTACGCAGGTTAATCTAACTACAGCTTAAAATGCCGTTTGAGTGAGTTCAGCGGTGGCACCCTCTCATTGGAGCAGTCCCTCATTGGAAACACGTGCACCGAAGCTAAACTGAGATTACATTACCAAGCGGTGTAGAGTCCTCTTTAAAAGATCTGTCTCGCTGGTGTTTCTAAACTGCTTTTATTTGATTTATCTATTTCCTGTTGTCTCCCCACCGTGAGCTCTCAAATTAGATCAGAGGTCGCTTTGGGAATACGTTCTGTGGAGTGCTGCTGCGCGTCTGTCCGTGTCAGACAGGATTAGAGTGGCCAGGGTCATTCTTTCGCCTGGTTGTGAGAAGAAATATGCACCCTCCTATAGTGTTTCAGGATTCCTCTGCTTTGGTTTTCAGGTGTGACTTTGCAAACCTGAGCAGTGGTGCCACGTTCTTTTTAGAGAGAAGAGGCTTTTTAATTGAACTGTTTAGCTAATTGAGATGGAAGTTTGGGGTATTTTCTCTGAGCACTGCATGGTCATTGACAGTGTGATGATTTACTGCTATAGTGAATTTTCCTCTTTGTAGAAAGAGCAACTCCAAATAGTTTGGAAACAATTTTTAAACCCTTTTTCAGATAGACGGGCAGCAGCAACTGCTTTTTTATTTTTGTTGCTCTCTTTCCACTGTGCTAAGAATCACCTGAATGCTGCAGACAGGCTCTTTTTAAATTGTCTGGGTGTGTAAGACCTTGAGATATGAAAGAATTTGTTCTTTCTTTTACACAAATTGTATATATGTCAGTTTTATGCTCTCTGCACTCAGGCCTCTGTGTTGGTGTGTTACCGTTTGTCCTTGGAGGTGAAAGCCTCTGATCCGTTAAAGGAGATGTTGGCCTTCAGTAGCAGGGACAAGTGGGACACGTAGACTCTCTCAGACTCCAGCAACTCCAGGGCTGCTCTCTGTCGCTTATCTGCAAGCACAGAATATGCTTTTTCTAATCTCTACTCTGAATTGTCCCCAAACTGCTAAAAGAAATCAATCCTTAAATATCACATTTGAAACAAATGCTTAATAATTTCACATGATAAATGGTAAACCTGCAAAAAGGATGGAACATATTTTCTGTCAAGGCAATTGAATTCTTTTAAAATCCCATTTAAGATCAAAAAGGGGAATTTGGGGCAGTGGATGATGAGCTGTTTCCCACAGGCTGATAATCGGAGCTTTACAGTCACATCCGTCCACTAAATAATAAATGAGTCTTGGCCCTTCCTTTTATTTACAAGTGTCCCTCTTACTGTTTTCAGTCTGACTGTCAGGGATGTCTGTCTCCTCCCTGCCGTTGCTCCTCTCTCCCCAGACTGGAGATTTGGACGGCTCAGAGGAGGATGCTGCCACAAACAGACACTGGTGTGAATAAATGGAGCCGGCTGAGCATCTGTGCGTGGATCCCGGCTCGTCCCGACTCACTTTGTGTCGACGTGGTGCTCCTCTGTGGGGACTCGCTTTGTGGAAGGCTGGAAAAAAAGTGCTGAAAGACGCTGAGCTCCAGCTGGCTGTGCGCACAGATGTGTTCGTCGCCCGGCGCCGTCAGGACGTCGGCCCTGGAGCTCTTCCTGCTGTTGGACCAATCAGCACAGAGCATTAGCATGACCGTTTGTTTTTGTGGGACCAAAGGCGTCGGACCCCTCTGCCCCGGTCCTACCTGTGTGGAACTGAGGTGATTTCTCTGTTGTTCTCTGTGTGCAGCAGCTCCATCCTCTTCTCCACCCCCCTCTGTCTGCTGGACACATCCTTAATGTGGAACAATGCTCCATTCAGCTCCTCCTGCCAGCAGATTTTTATCAAGCGTAACAGCATCAGTCTATTTGCTGTAGAGGCACAAGGTCAGCTTCAGAGGGGACATCTGCTTTGCCCTCAGACAGGGCAAGTTTCCCCTCAGAAGCAAACAGAAGTTTGTTATCAAGACAGGTGGGTGGGGGGGTTAGGTAAAAACAAACAATCTGCAATTTAAGTTGTGTCTTTACTGATAAGTCATACTGGCAAAAGAGAATGAACTGAGGACTTCATGTTTAAAAGTGAAGCTAATGCCGATCGGTGTTAAATCCGCTGTGGGAACTTTAGGAAGAGTTGCCTTCCGGTCTGACAAATGAAATTAGTTTACAGTCTCTGCAGAGTTCAGTCACATGCTCTAAATTGTGTTACGGAGACCTCACCGAGAATAGTCTGCTCTATTTTTTTTTTTCTTTTTTTTTTCCGTCTTTGTCTATTTTTTGTGAGTGGAGCACCTTGAATGTGTTGAGCGAGTTCTTGAGGCCCATTATCTTATCGTCCACGTCTGTCTGATGGGCCTGGAGCTTCTCCTCCAGATCCTGGTCCTTCTGGCGCAGCTCACTCAGCTCCGTCAGAGCTGCTTGGATCCCCTTACGCAGCTCCACCAGGAGGCCCTGAAGCTGCGGCACAAAGGACAGTTAAATACAGCATGTGTGCATGTTTGAGTTAAAAGAACAGGACTAATGGAGGGAGACGAATTTAGAAAGTTAGAAAAAGCAAAAAAGAAAGATTCAGTTCTAGTGAGTTTGTTTGATGTTCACAATTCATATTTTCCTGCAGGGATATTTTTTATGCATGTGATATTTGCAAAAGCGTCTCTAGATATTTTTTTTGTGTGTTTACTTTGTTTTCTTTGCTTTCTTTTTTGTGTGCTTTTGTACTTTGGGGCCACTACAGTTCTGTGGCTTCAGCCTTTTTTTAACTCCTGAGTTTCGTATTTCCTCCACAGCCCTCACCACTCTTTTTTTCTGTGGTGTCTGAGGTCCAGCAGCGGGCATTTGCCATGTCGACGTCTCGTACATTGACTCTACAAGCGGCAGACTCTGCTTTCTCCCCCACTTTTCTCCGCAGTTCCATTCTTAGCCTCCTCATGTATTGCTGATTGAATTTATTTAGTGGGAATAACCTAATCAGCTCATGGGAACATTACATGGCTTGAGCGGCTCTCTCTCTCTTGCCGTATCTTTCCATCTTTCTGTTGCTCTTCCTCTCAGTCATGTGGAAGGCATCAGAAAGGAGACTCAATGAAGCATCTGTCCTGCTTGCCTTCGGTTGTTCCTCCTTGCTGGTAGCTAATAGAGCTGCGGCGCATCTGAACACCTGGAGGCTGCAGATGTGAAAAGTCCCAGCAGTATGTGTAATACGTCTCAATTTTTATCTATATCTGCAGTAGGTGTGACTCACAAGTGGAGCTTCTTTTGAATGGGTGAACAGTAGTGGCATTAAAAGCACAGATGGATGAACACTGTGTGCAGCAACAGGCCAATTCTGTAGAAAGTCCTAACAGAATTGGGCTGAATGTAGGGTAGAGGTCAGGAAAAACAGGCAGCTTGTGTCATGGAGATGTTTTTCACCTCTTTTTTTATTTTCTTGAATTAGATTTTCTGTCTATTTTGATCTCTTCTTTTAAAACTTTGTGTTACAGATGAACATTTTAAAAAATGTATTTAGCTCTAATATATTTCCTGGTATTTTCAGCTTTGTCATAACAACATGTCTCACATCTGGTGTGTCACGAAAGAGTAATATGCCAGGACTATCAAAGATTTGAATCTGATGAAAAGGTGCTTTCCTGCTCTATATAAGCCTGTTAGACCTGAATCCAAAAATGATGACTGACTTTTCTGTGACTTGAATTCTTCCTTGGGGTCCTGGAAAATTACCTTTCTGACAACGAAAAGTAAGAAATGTCTAAAAGCTGCCTTTAGTTGGTCATCCATCACTAAACTGATAGACAAAATAAATGTTTCCCTGTGGACACTTAACATGAGCTCTTGATAGATGGAGGGAGGACTAATTGGTGAGGCAGTGGGGGAATTTATTTCATTGCTGATCTTGTCTAGTTCATCAAACAGTAACTCCTGTTTTATGAGGTGTAAACCAAGTTAACCATGAAGTCAATTCAGTTCTTGATTACCTGAGCAGTTTCCAAGGTTGGCTCATCCATGTTTTCTTTGGTATCTGGAGAGCAAAATAAAAATTAAATCAAATACACGAATATAGCTCTATTGTTGAACATGAAAACTGTTTGTCTACAGACATGGCCCCACGGTATGCTTTACTTTTTAGTAAACCAGCGGGATCTTTGGGGGTCAGTAGTTACAGCCCAGTTTATTTTCTCTCTTCATTTTGTCCAGATAACCTTTAGAAAATCAGAAAGTTAATCAGCTCCAGGTTTGTGGGCCAATGACGCCTCTATTTGAAGGATTAGCTCTAGTTTTTGGAGAAAAGGGTTGACAACAAGAAATAAATCAAAGTAGTTTGCATCATTACTCAGCAGCACCTGGTCTGACTCAGAAGTCAAAATCCTAATCCTAACCAAAACTCAGTTTGTGTACTGTTAAAGAAAACTTTATCATGCGTTATAATCAGTTTGATATAGAATTACATCATTTACAATATGACCAGATGCTACTTTTATTTTATTAAAGGCACCAAGCACAAGTTTGACATATTCACAAGAATACATTTCTCTGTACTATAAGATGTGATGTGAAAATGTAATTCAGGAAGCAATGGTGTGAATATCAATCAAATGTAGAAATGTGAGCCATTCGTCAGTCCTTTTTCAGGCCTTTCTATTAATATAAAACAGATTATCTGTAAATCCCAAAGGGCTCAGCTTGGTTTTCTCTTTTTTAATAAAATAAAAAAATGCATTCACTATCATTCCTCTCACATAGTGAATCCTTTTCTTAGTTGTCACTGTATTTGAATGAATTTCAAATAATTGAATCTTTCTGGTGTGTTAGGTCACACACACGTGTTGTTGTTCAGTGGGGTTTCAAATGTCAGTCAGACTTTTCATGCAGATATGATCAATTCTGGCACCAAAAACAGAAGATAGTAATGACCAAATGCCAGACGCATGACTTTGAATCAGCTTTCAAACCAGTGGAAGCTTGCTCAGTTTCTGTGTTTGTATACAGTCAGTCTACAGGAACATGGTAGAAATGGTAAAATCCAAATCTGGTTTTCCCCCTCTAAATTCAGTCTCTTGGCCCTTATTATTTTATAAGTGGCAATGTGTGGTTGTATTTTTTTCTTTTTTTTAACCAGGGTTTGCACGAACTAGGCCACAAAACCTGAAATTCAAGGATTGGAAGGGGTACATTTTCTACCCAAGGTAAGTGAAATCTAAGTAACACTGAACTATCTACTCCACCACAACACCACAAGAACAAATAAAGAAATATCCATTTACATTCAGTCTTAACCTGGGAGTGCACGTTTGAGACTTTCATGGTTGAAACTAATATCAGAGTGGATGTACGTGTGCGATTAAAATCACTCGCAGGAGAGCTCATGACAAATATTTTCTGCCTCAGAAGTTGAGGTTGGGACAGAGTCCGATTGCTGCGGCAGTCATGTGAAAGCCATACACATGCCCACAAAGCCCAGAGAGATTCTCAAACTAACCGTGAAGTTCATTTCCTTTTCGTGTCTCAAGTCCTTTGATGCCAATCTTTGCTGCCGCTCAGGGAAAACACTCCTGAGTAGCTCAGAATCCACAATATCTAGAGATTCTAACTACTTTTTCCATTTTTGACAGATTACAGCTCTTGTTTGCAACATGATGATGAACATATTGCTTAAATGAAGAGCCTTTGGGGACAGTTAAGTTGTTGTATAGAAGCACAATGCCTCAATTTGATGTGGAAATGTTACAGAACAAGTCGACGCTGCCGTCAGAGGAGGGTCAGATCTCAAATATCCATTTACCATATATTATCATGCATAATAGACAAGGACCTCTGGCACAATGCAGTGAATGGCACTGAAAGAGCAAAGGGGGGAATATACGGCATTCAACAATTAGGTCTTTTAGCTGACGGGAACAGAAAAGCGTGTCAAATTTCTCCGGGCAAATCAGCGTTAGGTAGAGAAAGCTGGCGTCGAGATGTCACAGCATGCTCATGCCCCAGACTGACCTTAAACTTCACCTCAATGGTCTAATGAAAATAGTCCAAATTACACCTGATAGCATAAACCCATTTAGATGAGCCACTTAAAGTGGCTTCGTATAGCTCGAGCTGGGAAGAAAATGAATAAATTATTAAGAAGCAGTCATTACGTACAGAGAATTTCAAATTGTGACACACATTGATTTTGCATACTGGGGAACTTAGGGAAAACCTGAGTTTGAGTTTACCATTGCATCACCTGAATGCCTTTTAAAGGGGCGTTGTGGAGCGAGGCCAGGCTGTTGAGCCTGCTCCAAGTGTTACAAAGCAGAAGAGCAGCTAACACGTTCAGTCGTGCCACAGTTGGTCTTGGTGGTGTTCTGACATCCTTAACCTTAACATTAATTAAGGTAAAAATATGAAGCCTGTGCTTTGGCGGAATGAGCCAACCAGGAACAGATGCAGGGGTCAAACGAGTCTCCCCATGCATGCACGACACAATCACATGGTGAAACACACACAAAAAGGAAAGAGGGACGCAGAATATACATTAACGAGGCATGACGACAACAAAGAGAGAAAATGAATCGTTCTAAAGAACAATGGTACCGCAAGTGGTTAGTAAGAGGATGAAAATGACCAAAATGACACACTAAACGTGACATAAATGGTATTCAAAAAGAGACCAAGTCCTTGAGCTGTGCCAGGGCCTTACATCTGTGCCCACGGGTGTCTTTCCGTTTAACACTTCATCCATATTTACGCTGCATTCAGATATCAATATCAAGGCTCTGAAATGACGTTGATTTTTACGTGTTTGATGCACAAACTGTAGGGGGGAGGAAGTCACAACAGCCTCCAGTCTTGTGCTTGCTTTTCCATGAACAACTAACAGTTGTCAGCAGATGCTTAGTTCGCTTTACTGCACAAAGATGGACTGTCTGATGTCCCCTTTGATCAAAAACAACAAGTGACTGATTCTGCATGAGTTGCCTTTGGGGGAATGATGTCAAAAGCATGAGTCAAGCAAACGTGAGGGCTGTTTGCCTCAAAATGAAAACACCACGTTTGATTTATTGAGAACAAAACTTTTGATCAATCTACTTGAATTCTTGGTGGACTTTTGCAGATTTTAACAACAGTCCTTAATTGTAATTTTAAATCAGATATCACTTCAGAGATAAATTACTGCTTCAAATTTTCGGTCATCTGGTGAAGATAAACTTTTAGTTGTAAAGATCAGTTCAGGTAGTTTTCTTTTGGGCACTCAGAAATACTTCAATCCATTCAATTACCCAGATTTTTTTTTCAAAACCACTGAATGTGAACCGTTCCAGCTGTGTCTGTTATGGGCACCTGTTTTACCTGCTGATGGGTCTTCTGTCTTCTCCTCTGTTTCTTTTTTGCCATTCTCCATGTTTGTCTAGTCCTGTTCGGCTTGGTCCAGCGCGTCTCACGCGGTTTAGAAGTCCTTGTCCAGCCCAAAACAACTTCTGTCCACTCCTCAGCGGTGCTCCTCTCCTCTGAGAAAGCCTATCTTTTGCTCTGATCACTCAGCTTCTCCCATCCAAGCATGTGAGTCCTGTGATTTCCCTTCTGTACAAAAAGCTCCTTGTCTTCAGAGGAGTAGAAGGACAGAGTGTAAAGATCAGGAGTGGAGAGAGAGAGACATTTGTTCATCGTACAGTCACATACTGTAGCTAAGTCATTAGATTTAAGGAGGCGTGACTGGTTGCTAATGAGGATGATTAACACAGCTGTACAGAAAGGAGAAATCACTTGCGATTGTGGGGTCGTAAACTGTTAGTTAAAGGCCACATGTAGCGGCTGTGTCACAAAATGTGTTGATGCAAGTTTTTGTATAAGTGTTTTTGTCTATTCCCCCTATTTTCCACGTTTATAAGATCAGTGAACTAGATTTGAAAAGCTAATGGGCTCTTTAGGGACCGATTTAAACTCTGGAACAAAGATTTCCAGCCCTGTGGAGACAGTACAAGTTCTAGACACAATGCATCCAGTTATCATCATGTTTTGGGCTCTGCTTTCAAAACAAAGTTTGTTTAGAGAACACTAAAATATCAACTGGAGGCTCATAGACACTTTTATTAATGTGCATGACAAGCTGAGATGGAGTTGTCTGTGACTGTGCAGCATCATATCTTATGGTGTAACATATTCCAGTGATATTTCTCGCCCTATGGCTGCAGATTTGTACTTTTCCGTCTACATCTTTCTGCCACTGCACTTGAAGTCTACGTGTTCGTCTTTTTGCCTTTCTTGAGTTTTACTTGCAAGAATTCTAATAATATTTTCTTTTTTCCCTCTGTCTTTGTGGATGCGATAAAAAAAAAGCCCAGAGACAAACAGCTCAGCTGCTTCTCGTCTCAACAACAAACCTGTGTTTAAATGTTACATAATTCCCACACATCATCTGATTATGTGGTTACATGTGAGTTTGTGGAGGGAAAATTTGCTGCACCAACACAAAACTTGCTTTATTTACCAATAACTGAGTTCAGAGAAAATGTCATCTTGACATCCTTGCTTACAGAAATTCACAATCAATTTGTTTTTTTGTCTCATTCTTTTGAATATTTTGTTTTCATATGTTTAAACTTGTTGTCTGTATAACTTTAATTTCTCATATTTTTTTTCATATTGTGTCAATAATTAATTCTTAAAATTGAACAAGAATAAGAATTAATTCTTAAAATATTCAGAAGTTTAGTTATGAATACAGTAATACAGATGGCAACACAGTTTTTTGCAGTTTACTTTAGACTTGTCTCCTAATATGCACTCCTGAGACACATAGCAAACACACACAGAGAGGGTTTAGCATTTTTCTTTAATCTTCTAGTCAAGACTGGTTTGCTATGATGGAAAAATTATAACATACTGACTTATTTATGACACCAGTGTACATTTTTCTTTATTTCCTGCAACACCCCATCTGCCCTGACCTCAACCATTTTCCATGTGTGTAAATACTGTATAATGATATGCATGCAAACACATCCTAGAGAATTCTTAAGACATGTATTAGCAGTCTGTCACTTATTTATTTAAAAAAGAAATCGTATGTTTGAATATATTTTCTGCTTCATCATAGGTTTCTCAAATAAATGTGTTTTATTTAGTTTCTTCCATAAATGTGAAATTGATCGAAAAAATGTCTTTCCGGTCACGTGACACTCACCACGTGACCCGGAACCAAGGCGCGCTCAGCTGACTTTATCTTCTTTCAGCCGCCTGCCTCTGCTGTTGTTTCCGTCTACGATGCTGTAGGATATTTTTCGCTTTGGTCTGTTAAATGGAGCGCTATGGGTCTGACACGGAGGGAGACGGACAGGAAACACCGCTTCTTCACCGAGGAGACGATGCGAAAGTCCAGAGAGGTGACAGAAACACAGATTTAGCTAAAGTGGCTAAAAGTAACGTTGCAGTTTGCTCTAACATATGTTTGGTGAAAAGATCGAAAACAAACAAAACAGAAAGAAAACCCACTCACATTTTCTTATTAAAAAAATACGCATGAAGAGAAGTTTGCAAACATACTTTTTTGTTGTTTATTTTCTGCAAGAACAGCTGTTCATTTTGATTGTCCTTTCAGTCTGTCATTTATTCACCTGTCTTGTGAGACTTTTCAGACGTACACTCAACACTTTACGTCAGTCACGCGTTTTGAGGGATTCTGTCCTGTTGTCATTACCTAAAAAAGGTGCAGAAAGCCATAGAGAAGCTGGAAACACACTCTGTAGATATGGTGTTTCTGGGTGTAACAGACAGTTCAGCAGGTCAAATAGGACCCACTGATAACAGGCTCCGGTTGTGGTTGCAATGTAAACATCATGTCTTGATACTGTCAGTAAAGACAGAGGAACACATGCTTTCCAGTTTTAATAATTGTTATATGACATTAGTTTGTCATACATTAGGGTCATTATCCTCATATGTGCAAAGTTTAGCCTCATTTAACCATAAGTAATGAAAATAAAATAGAGCTGACATGAAAAAGTAGACAAATATAGAACTGAAATCATTAGTTGAATTAAACACCAATAAGCTGCATTTAAATGTGGAATATTTAATCTTTGTCAGTAATTTTCTGTTAATACATTAATAATATAATTGTATATATTTATGTATATACATATATATAACATTACAATATTGTTATATGATATTGTTCTAAAAAATGATAAGCACTTTTGATTAATATTTTAGAGACGGATCATGAAAAATGTGGCCGATCTCCATCGATGAGTATATACTTCTGTTTGTTTTCAGCGTGCAGACTAGGTTATAAATACCAATAAAACCATTTTGATGTGTTTGAGAGTGTGAGAACATGTTGCCCTGATTTGCAGCATTCCCTCCCCTTTGAAATCACCCGTACGTTGTGACACATTGGAGCACCTGCTCTGTCTTCCAGCCCCAGCGTGCTTCTCCTCACGGTACGGCCTGGCGCTGCTCTCCTGCTATGGCTTCTTCGTGGTCTACTCCCTGAGGGTAAACCTTAGCGTGGCCATGGTGGACATGCTCAACAGCACGCGCCAGAACAGCGCCAACCACAGCAGCTCGGTGTGTCCGGCTCACGCCGACCCTCCGCGCCCCAAACACAACCACACGGTGAGCAGGAGAGGGGACAATTGTGGTAATAGGCAGAAAATCCACATTAACTTGTGTCAACTCAGTCTGTCTAATATGTTTAACTCTTTTCAGATTTAAAAGCATTTCAGAGGAACAAGCTTTGCAGATCATTGTCTATAATTTATTTAAAAATCTTGAATAAGTCGGGATCATGTAATTAAAAAGACTTAAATTGATATCTTTGTTATTATTTTCCCTCTAACCCCTCCAGGCCAGCGTGTACAACTGGGACTCTGAGACCCAGGGCTGGATCCTGGGCTCTTTTTTTTATGGCTACATCCTGACCCAGGTCCCAGGGGGCTACCTGGCCGGCCGCTTTGGCCCCAAATGGCTGATGGGCTTTGGAATCCTGGGCACCGTGGTTTTTACGCTCCTCACCCCTGTGGCTGCAGATCTGGGTGCAGGGTACCTGATTGCTGTGAGGGTGCTGGAGGGCATTGGAGAGGTACGCGATCATCGTTATAACCGGACATGAGGATGGAAATCCAGTGTTGGTGCCGGGGCTACCATTCTCCAGACTGATTAATCAGTCCGTGGGGCTAGTAGTCATTTGATCTCCTCTTTTTATAAATTCAGGGTGTCACATTTCCTGCCATGTACACCATGTGGGCAGCGTGGGCCCCTCCACTGGAGAGGAGCCGACTGCTCACCATTTCATACATCGGTAAGAGGAACACCAGGCTGCATGAGCCGAGTGCTGTTGACCATCAACCGCAGAAATTTGGAGAGGCTGTTTCTGCTTTTGACGGAAATAAAAAAAAAAAAACTTAATCCCTGTTTGTAACTCTGGAACTTTTGAACATGAATGAAAAGCGATAGAGCTCTTCCTGTCATCCTCTGGGACTGAGGCTTAATATCCTGAGAAGACTCAGACTAAACGCTACATATATTTTTGCCCCATAAATCTAATTTCAGTGGCTCATAATGAGGTAGCGGTGTTCATTTTCACATACGTCCTGAATTACAGGAGTTGTGTTCTTCTGAAGAGGCCCTCCAGTTCACTGCAGCGTCTCGTCGGTCTGGATGATTATGATGTTTTAATTGTGGCCTAAAATCACGAGTGCTTCCCTGCTGCTTAATCCGATTGTATAATTGTATTAGATCATTGACTGCAGGCATCATAAACTTCACTCTGCTGCATTAGGCATGATGATGAGGAAGATCCAAATTTCCGATGTTTTCATTTTATTTGGAATATTTAGCAAACTTCCGACTTGATGTAGTCAGATAATTTCATTTTTATCTTCTAGGAATTGAACATAAGTTTAGGAAATCCTTCCATTTTTTTCTGCTGTTCTTTCCAGCTAAGACACATTTAATAACATTACAAATGAGTCTCATGTTTTTTTCTATACTAATTAACACATAAAAAAAAGAGATGGCTAACCTAAGTCTGACAAATGATCTCAGCGTGTTCAATCATCTCACAGTACTGAGTGCTTAGTCAGTGTTTACGGTCTCTTTGACGTACTACATGCATTCAGCTTGTGGAGCTCAGACGGCTGTTTTTTCTCTTCCAAACCCAGGAGCCCAGCTGGGGACTGTCATCTCTCTCCCCCTGTCTGGGGAAATCTGCTTCTACCTGGACTGGACCTACGTCTTCTACGTCTTTGGTAAAAACGTGGGCTGTCAGTAATAGAATAATCAAATAATCTGAGTTACATTGTGCTGTGTCAGACTACATGTAAATGAGACGGCCTGCTTACATGTAACCCTTTAATAACAGTGTGATCACTAGTAAGCCGGGCGGGGGTTCACATCTGAACAAAGGGATCAGGGAATGTCAACAGGATACTCAGTCTGATCATTATTTGAACTGATGGAAGCAGCTGATTCTGACCCCCGCTGTCCCCAGTATTGATTAGTCCACAGTTATCCAACACAACTGTTTTAGTTCCTCTTTACATGTCGAAGACACCAGGCAACGCCCTGCTTTTTTTTTTTTTTTGCCTCTTCCACTCAGTCAATGCTTTGTGTGTCCAGGTGCTGTTGGCTTACTGTGGTTCGCTCTTTGGGCTTTTCTTGTCTTTGACACTCCAAACACTCATCCGCGGATATCCGAGCGCGAGAGGCTCTACATCACCACGTCCCTGAAAAATGAGGTATGGACAAATGTCCAGTTCGGTGTTTTTTTTTATTTTTATCTCTTAGATGAAGAGTTGTTCCTGCCTCTCATGTCCGCTTCACTAATTTAACACTAAAACTGAGCAGTGGAAGGGTTAAAAAGTTTGCTTTCTTATCTGTCCTGTTCAGTTTATGGTCACAGTGACTTCCCTCTCAGACGTGGCTGCTCATAAACTGCTTTTTTGTGAAATGTCTGAATGTTTTCACAGTTTCACACCTCATGGGTGTTCATAGGGTCACTCACCTTCCAGCAGTCTGCAAACGGGAACCTGAAATGTGAGCATTAACTGTTTCTTTGTGCGGTCAGCTGGCCACCTCCTCGGGCCACATCCCCTGGCGGGCCATCGTTACGTCCACTCCACTGCTGGCCATCGTTGTGGCTCACTTCTCCTACAACTGGACCTTCTACACTCTGCTCACCCTGCTGCCGACCTACATGAAAGACATACTGGGCTTCAGCATACAGCAGGTGGGACCGAAGTGCTTTTATTCGTTTCGGAATTCCACAGGACGAGCGCGTCGACGGCGGGACGTAAACTGCTGATTACAACCAGGCAACAAAAGCATCCCCCCGTAATAAAAAACCTCTTGTCCACCGCAGAACGGCATGCTGTCAGCTCTGCCCTATTTGGGCTGTGCTGTGCTGGCCGTGCTCAGCGGTCAGCTTGCCGACTACCTGCGGGAAACCTGCCGCTACACGACCGTTGCCGTGAGGAAGTCCTTCTCTCTTATTGGTAAAGAAGGCCAAAGCTGACTTCTATCCAGAAGGCCACAGCTTCTGTGTCTGACCGCTGCTTTTGGCCCTCTGCAGGTATGATCGGGCCCGCGGTGTTCCTGGTAGCAACAGGTTACACAGGCTGCAACTACACCTTAGCTGTGACATTCCTCACCATATCGTCTTCTCTGGGGGGGGTGTCGGCCTCTGGCTTCAACATCAACCATCTGGACATTGCTCCCTCGTAAGAGTGACTGTTAAATGTGGAAATTTGCTTTTCTTGAGCTATTTCCTGCTGTAAATCATAAGTCTTAAGAGTTTCATAGCTTTTTCCCATGTTAAACATCAGTATAAGACTTGTGGATTGGTCACCTTCATGACTCAAGAGTGTGACGCCTTCCTATTTGTAGGTATGCTGGAATTCTGCTTGGAATCACCAACACGTTTGCCACTATTCCTGGCATGGTGGGACCCGTCATAGCAAGAGCTCTCACCCAAAACGTAAGAAACGCCTGCCCACTGACGCCGTCATTCCCTGGCTGAGCAGACAGCACCTCCACTCCCGTCTAAATGTTTAGGCTGTACAGAATAACATGGCGCCATACGACCACCAGAGGGCGGCTGTCGTCTGCAGCAGTCAGAGTGATTCACAGCACCTGAAATATTTATTTCTCTTCAATTTGAATGGTTATATTTAATAGCTCAATACAGAATGCATTATTCACAACCTGAACCCTGACTGTTGAAGATAAATAATCCATTTAGCCTTAAATGTCGGGTTTTGCTTTGTGGACAATCACAAATATAGGGCGTGAAGGTCAGCTCTGTATTTAACACTGTTGTTGGTGACTAATGTTGTGTTCGCTGTCATCCAGAACACTATAGAGGAGTGGCAGACTGTGTTCTACATCGCTGCTGGCATCAACCTGTTCGGAGCCTTGTTCTACACGGCGCTGGGGCGGGGGACGGTGCAGCCCTGGGCCGTCCACGCCTCCTACTCCCACGGAGACTGAAGCACAGGTGACACTGGTTGTCAGGCAGGCTCACTCGCCAGGTAATCTCAGGCACATTCCGGGACTATTGATTATTTACTGACAAGTTATTAACAGCAAAAGCCACAATATCAGCAGGTTTGCTTTATGTGTGTGTAGTCGGGCTCAGAGACCACACAGAAGACACATATTGTTGACTTTATGGGCAACAAAAGAAAATTAATATTTCTTCCCTCCCGGAGGTAGTTATGTAGCAGCAGGCCAGTAAGATTTTTGGCATATTAGTACCTGTGATCAGTAGAAGAAAAATTTCAAATATACTTCTTGTAGTTGAAGTTGTGGTAGAAATTTTATTTTTGATATAGAATCTTACATAAGCTCCTGAATTACCTGTGAGAGTCCTCATGAATCAGAAGAATGTTCTCTTACATAAGTTACAGAGAGTTCTTCAACCCATACTCAAAACTTGAATATTCCAGGAAGTGTAATTGTAGTGTAAAACTGTCTTTTTAGGTTCAGCAATGCGACTACACACCACTCACAAATTGTTCTTTAAGAAAATGCCTCTTTGTGGTTTTAAATATGGTTTGATTTAATCAAATAATTGTATCTGAATGTCTTTTCAGTTATTTAAAAGGAAGGAAATATTTAAAGATTGACAGAAACAGCTTTATATGATTATAGTTAACAGGATTTGCACTTTGTGTCAATTCTCAGGTATTTGATGCAATTCATGGATTGAAAAAAGGATGTTTACGTTTTAACAAATTTATTTGCCATATTGAGGTGTCTGTCCTCAAGTTTTAAGTGTCAAAGTAGATTAAAAAATTACTTCAGTTTAGTGATGCTTAAAACAGAATATTAGTTTTCTGATAAAGGGAAAATCTTGAGACATTTGTCTTATCTGAGATTTGTGGGACGATAATCCCAGTTGAGGGTGAAATGCAATTGTGCCTTTATAATAAAGTGAACTTTGAAGTCTTAAAGGTATGGGACAATCAAGCATTGTTAACTTCTCTATTCTGTTCAGAACTCCTCTCGTTACTGGTTTTTCTTTAAGTGTCTGTATACAAACATAAAGGGGACTTTTTGTATGATAAACTGTACCATGAGGGAAATGATTGTAATTGTTCCAGAAACACTGTCATGTATTATAAATACATCAAATATAGCCATGAGAAAGTCTGATGTTGGGTCATTATTTGAACACTGCTTCTTTCAATTTGAAAAACTGACATTAACAGAAACAGTTTCTTTGTTGTCACAAACTGCTATCAAAACAAAAACTGAAATATTTAATGGAATGTGGATATCGACTATCTCTTTTTTTACTTCTACTACTCTGAAACAGACTTAACATCTTCTCCACAGCCTATTTCTTTGAAAAATGACACTACTCTGAAACATAGTTTATAAAAATATTATTGATGATTTTATTGGTATCACCCTTTCTCATCTGCTGAGCTTTTTGTAAGCAAAATCTCAAAAATCATACTCAAAGAAAAGGTTTGTGTGAGGAAAGGAGCTGGTGCAGTGAGAGAAGACTGCATTAGGTCTGATGTTACTACATCAGACCTAATGCCAAGTGGCAGACAGACACACTATTAAGGCTTTAGAGCATCCTGTTATATTGAATCCAACTAGGTTGTTTCTGGAGAAGCAAACCTGCTCACATAACACAGTTTTCTGTATCTGACACAAAACTAACCCTCAGATTTTATTCAACTTAAATCAAAGGCCCTAAACACGTCACCTCTGCAGTCAATAGTGAGGCTTTGCTTGTTCTAGGACTGAATAAACTGTGTACTAGCTGATGACGCTTGTGCAAACCGACCGGGTCACAACAACACAAAAGTGTGTCGAATGCAAGTTTTACCACAATTCAACAACACTCCGGTCCTGTCGGCTGTTGTTGGGAGAGATTTTGGCTTACCGGCAGCTGCGTATGCCGGTGAGAGCTCCGGTGGTTTCCTTCCCCCGGTCCCGCCGCCGTGATGCTGCGCAGCAGCGGGCGGGCGCGCGCCGTTACGCAACACCCCCGCCTGTCCCGCGCGCTATAAACGGATCAGCGTCTCCCAGCCTCCGGTCCCGCAGCCAGCCTCACACCGGCCAGCTCTCAGGTACGACGCACCACACCCAACAATCAGCGCCTTTAGCTTTTTTTTTGTAATTCACCGATCCGACTGTCTTGTGTGTGTGTGTGTTTGTTTTCTTTGCGGGCGGCTGTTTTCGGAATGTTGTGATGCAGAAACAAGAAGGGAAGGCGGTTGTGCACCGTAGTTAATGCGCATCCAGGCGTCAGTAAGCGGGCAGATGATAGAACATGGCGGAAGGGGTTGGCATTTATCTTAAATCCCTCGCACATTAGTTTGATCGCAGTGGCTTGCGCGGTATTTGCGGGCTTTGCCCGCAGTTTGGCCAGATCCTGCGCGCTGAGGCGCACTGCGGCAGCCGCTGCGACGTTATTTGGGCAGGAGGAGCTGGACGTCGACATGGCTCTCTGTCCTGACAACTGAATTCACCTGAACAAGTCTGTCCAAGATCATGGGGGCTTATATACATGTTCCAGCACCGACTCTTCCACCTCTTATAACCATCATACACACACGTTATAAGTAATGACGTGAGTTCTTTAAAAGCAGACTCTGCAGTGCCTGTGTGAATCCTAATGGTCAGGGTCATCATGTTACACGTCTGTTACTGTCCTGTGTGGATTAACTTGTTAGCGGAGCACTGCAGTGTCTGACAAATGGCTGCTACGCTGCCAGAGGGGTTGAACCTGACAAAATGGAGGATTCTGGCTGTGGGTGAAGCCGCACAGAGTCCTGTGAAACATCAGCCGTGCTGCCCGGGTGAGCTGGTGCACGGGGAGGTGAGCAGCGATGACACGAGGGAAGGCTGGATGTGAAAGAGGAGAGCAGGGGTGTGGATGGATGGAGGATTAGAGAGCAGGAGGGGGAAGAGTGTTTTTTGTGCTTGGCGCAGCATCGCTGGCCGTCGATGCCATTCGTTTTTGTCTGGTCTGCAGCACTAGTGAGAACGCCGCTTATGCGGAGCACTCCGCATAACACCAGCCTTGTGGAGACACTTGTTTACTGAATCGTCTGCGCTGGAGAATTGGGGCTGTGTCATCTTTCTTAAATTTCCACTAGCACGAAAATAAACGACTCCGTTTCATCCAAAACGACCCTCACTCCCTACGACTAATGATTTAGCTGCTGGCTGAAAACAGCCCAGTATCTGTGAATCCAAAGCGCACGTAAGCTTTCCTTTAGCTGCTCGGTGAACCATTTACTAATTGAAATGACTGTAACCTAACCCCATCCTTAGCAGACGATCTCGTGACCTCGGATCACCTCTAGGCATCATGGGAAAGGAGAAACTCCACATCAACATCGTGGTAATCGGCCATGTGGACTCTGGAAAGTCCACCACCACAGGCCACCTCATCTATAAGTGCGGCGGTATTGACAAGAGAACAATCGAGAAGTTCGAGAAGGAAGCTGCTGAGGTGAGACGACAGAAATGAGAGGAGGACTAACAGAAAACATACTGAACACACGGGAATAAACAAGGGGTGCCTTTATTTTAACAGAAGTTCCTTGTTTTCATTGTAAAGTTCACAAAGGATCTCAATTACTTTTCCCCAGATGGGAAAAGGCTCATTCAAATATGCCTGGGTGCTGGACAAGCTGAAGGCAGAGAGGGAGCGGGGCATTACCATCGACATCTCTCTGTGGAAGTTTGAGACCAGCAAGTACTATGTGACCATCATCGATGCCCCGGGACACAGGGACTTCATAAAGAACATGATCACTGGGACCTCCCAGGTCTGTAACACCAGGGTGCTCAGCATCAAACCTTTCAGTCTTTGTTTTGATCATGGGTCCTCACATTTTAGTCAGCCAGTAGACTTTAGACAACAACTGATATCTAAAAGACAGGCACACATCCACACAGATATCTGATCAACTTGTGAACAATGTGACTAATTCTGACCACCTACTTAGACACAATCCTGAAATAATAATGTGTTGGTGACAGCTGAATAGTAATCGTCCAAATGTCCATATTAAATGCCTTCAGGCCGACTGTGCGGTGCTCATTGTGGCAGCGGGTGTCGGAGAATTTGAGGCCGGCATATCTAAGAACGGACAGACCCGCGAGCATGCCCTCCTGGCCTACACTTTGGGAGTCAAGCAGCTCATTGTGGGGATCAACAAGATGGACTCCACCGAGCCAAACTATAGCCAGAAGCGGTATGAGGAAATTGTGAAGGAAGTGAGCACCTACATCAAGAAGATTGGCTACAACCCAGACACCGTCGCCTTCGTGCCCATTTCAGGCTGGAATGGAGACAACATGCTGGAGCCCAGCCCCAACGTAAGTAGCACACAGCACAGCAACACAGCTGCTGTCACGAAAGCAGACATGAATTTAAATGCTTATTTGTTTGGCCGGTGGCGGGGCTAAAGGTTGTGGGCCAGAGTCTTAGCAGCCGTTCAGAAACTGGTCTGACTGGATCCCACCAGCTTAGGACATAGTTAAATCAGCCACAGCATCACCTACAGAGGAGAGTGACTGGGTTCTATCCCAGTGTTTTACTAGGTACCTCTCTTTTGTGGTGCCCGGGGAGTCAGCTTTCCATTTTAGGAGTAACTAAATTGCAATTATGTGACAGTGTACATTAGGTCAAAAATAACTTACAGTATTTCATTTTTAACTAAACGAAATGTAAAAAAACAAAAACACAATATTCTCTCTTTATAGATGACTTGGTTTAAGGGGTGGAAGATCAACAGGAAGGAAGGCAATGCTTCGGGCACCACTCTCCTGGAGGCGCTAGATGCCATCCAGCCCCCGTCCCGTCCTACAGACAAACCACTACGTCTTCCCCTGCAGGACGTCTACAAGATAGGAGGTATGTACAGCACCAAGAGGGTTGTGGGGATATGGGATGGTGGAACTGTGACAAAGATAAATGATCTTCTAGGAAAGAGGCAGAATGTCCTTTTATTCTAAGTCCTGTGTGCCGGGGCTGTCCTCCCCAGGTATTGGAACTGTGCCTGTGGGTCGTGTGGAAACAGGCATACTGAAGCCTGGCATGGTGGTGACCTTTGCCCCCGTTAATGTGACCACTGAGGTGAAATCTGTGGAAATGCATCATGAGGCCCTGACTGAGGCGCTTCCAGGTGACAACGTGGGCTTCAATGTTAAGAACGTGTCTGTGAAGGATATCCGTCGTGGCAATGTGGCTGGAGACAGCAAGAACGACCCTCCACAGGAGGCTGCTAACTTCACTGCTCAGGTAGCCGCAAAAGACCTATTTATAGATGCCAAATATGTACACGACTGAACCGATGAAAGAAGGATATCTTTCAGAACTATTTATGGAATGATTCAGTTAAATAACAATTGGGTCATTACCGTTATCAAAGTTTGTCTGAAAAAGACCTGACAGGTAAAACAAGAGGTAATGTATCTCTTAATGTTCTTTGTTTTGGTAGGTGATCATCCTAAATCACCCTGGTCAGATCAGTGCTGGCTATGCCCCCGTGCTGGACTGCCACACGGCTCACATTGCCTGCAAGTTTGCCGAGCTCAAGGAAAAGATCGATCGCCGCTCTGGCAAAAAGCTGGAAGACAACCCCAAATCTCTGAAGTCTGGGGACGCTGCAATCGTAGATATGATTCCGGGCAAGCCAATGTGCGTTGAGAGCTTCTCCGAGTATCCTCCGCTGGGTGAGTTTAAATGTGGAGGATTTTTCTCATTCCCAGCTCTCTTTCCCCCCCTCAGTTGAGGGAGTCATACCATCCCTGTCCTCTCTCAACAGGTCGTTTTGCGGTGCGCGACATGCGTCAGACTGTGGCCGTTGGTGTGATCAAGGGTGTGGAAAAGAAGGCCGCCACCACTGGTAAAGTTACCAAGTCTGCTCAGAAGGCCCAGAGGAACAAATGAATGTTGTGCTGCTCTGCCGACCAGAAGGTCTCCCAAGGCAGGACATCGCTCATCCAACTCCATCCCCCGACTGGCCACTTCAGCTTAATAATTAAGGACTGGTTGCTCATCACAATGCATCGCAAAAGCATTCGAAGGAAAGAAAAATATGTAGACCTTTATTCCTAGAGGCAGCACTCCTAACTCCATTTCAGTGGTTAGACTTCCATTATGTACAATGTGATGTTGAGAATAGTTTTAAATGTGAACTGTTGATTTGGTTCAAGGCAATACGTTTTTTTGTAATCTGGAAACACCGAACAAATCATCTCCCTAGCTCTTCAGGGTGCTGTTCCAGATCTCGTTACGTGTTGTCCTGCTTTTAGTGATTGTTTGCAACTTAATGGCGCTCTATAGAAGCCATCAACGAAATGTTAAAACTATCTTTGTCCGAGTTGTGGATTAGTGAAACATTTGTTGTGTTTAAGCTTTAAATACTACGGTAAAACAAAAGGTTTAAATTTGCCCTTTAGGGACAGAGAACAGACAAAATATTGATTCTTAAAGCACTTTGATTGGCATTTATGCTAACTTTGCACTTTCACTGGAGAAATGAATTGGCACAAGCTACTGCACCTTATTGTAAGATGGCATGAGCCTCTTTGCAACATTAAACATTTCAACCAAAATGTCTTGTACAATTCTTTTTGGAATGCTTTCGTTCATGCCTTAAAATATATACTTTTACCCACTAGATGTAGCTGTTGGGTAAGATAACAGAAGTAGGACGGGCACAAGGGGAGTGTTCTAAAAGGCATGACGGTGTGTTGCAGGAAGAGAGTTTAAATTTAACTGTCATCGCGCGGTTTCATCGCTCTTACATCACCATGACTGGCAAGGGGAGACCACGAAAGGCAAAGAGTCCTGAGCCGAAGCTACCACAAGAAATCAAACAACGATCTCCAGAAAGATGCAGAGTCTTGACCAAAGACAAGCTGGATAAAACAACAAAGAAAAAAGCCGAAGACAAGTCAGCCGGCACTGTGGAGAAACCACCAGTGGAGAACAGAGAAGGAAAAAACACAAATCATTTGACTGAGGACAAGAGTGAGCAACAGGGTTTGCCTACAGGCAGCAGAGCAGTCAAAACCCGTTCTACCAAGAATAAACCGGCAAAGAAATCTGCTGGGGAAACTACAAACACGACGACCGACGGGCAAAATGACCCACTGAATTCTGGGAGCCTCACAAAAACAAAAGAAAAAAAAGGCAGAGAAAAATTACCAGAAGATTCTAAAGAGACTGTGTTGACTCGGCCTAAAACGAGTGAGGATGCCACAGACAAATGCAGCGACGCCATCAGATTATTTTCAGATGAGAATGACATGCAGCCAGATCCACCCAAGGCTATCAAAAAGGCCTCTGTGAAAGAAACTAAAGCATGTGGTACGAAGGCAAAAAAACGAGCACATCTTGCTACGGACACAAAGACGGTGGAAGAACAAACAGCAGAAGAGACAAAGAAACCCATGACTGCTGAGGGCACCTCAAAAGATGAAAAAAGTCCTGCCAAAGCTGAACAGATGACAACCAAGGTCCAGCCTGAGACATTTGAGGACACAGACACCAAGAAAGTGAACTCTCTCCTTAAAAGCACCCTTGAGAATTTGAAGATTAGGATGGGGGAAAGATCCGAAGCAGCTAGAGCTGTTAATAAAGTCGTAAAACATATAGTCGAGCATTTTAAACATAAAACACAGTGTTTTAAAGACGTGGGGAAACCGGTTTGCACTGGGAGTTATTATGAAAATCTTAAGGTAAGTCCTTCTTGAGTTCTTTCACTAAATTAGCTGTGAACATGTCCATGATGCTAACTGTACTGCCATGTGTTACAGATGGCTAACTGCGATGTATGTGGTGGCATTTCTTTCCATACAGATTTCTCATCCTGATGAGTTTGATGTCATGTTGCCAATGCTGGTTGAGCGAGTTCAAATAGACCATTTTAGAGAAGACGGTGCCTTTTACAGTGTGGGATTAAAACGTGGTCAGAATCGTCTGAGCAAATTCCAGAAGGACGACATTTTATCTGCCAGTGAAATGCTCAAAGAGTTCAGGGAGGAAGTGATGAAATGTCTGAAGGAATTTACAGGCATGTAAGAATGAGAGAAAGTATCTGACAATAAATATCTACAGTACATTGCATGCACTAATGGGCAACATGTAAACTGTAAATGTGTATTCAAGATGAATTAAAATGGTTTAGTTTTTTTTGTTGTTTCAGAATGGACGGTGTCCAAGAAGAAAAAAGGCTGCCCCGCTGTGACAATTACCACTGACAAAGGCATCTCCCTTGATGTTGTCCTCTGTCTTGAAGTTAAATCTAGCTGGCCGGATTTTACAAAGGATGGTCTTAAAATAGAGGGGTGGCTTGGAACTAAAGTAAGAAGAGACCTAAGACGAGAGTCTTATTATCTCGTTCCAAAATATGAAGGGCGGGGCACAGCGGAAAATGATGGGGTCCTTGCTAAAGGTACGTCAATCTTCTCTTGCGTTTAATATACACCAATTTGAAATTCAATTAATGATATTTTCAAGATATGACTGATGGACTATGCAGATGAAACAATCCTTTTATTAAAAGATGCTTTCTGTATTTTCTCCGATCATAAACTAATCTGTGTTTTCTAACACACAGATGCTTGGCGGATTTCATTTTCCCACATTGAGAAGGCCATTCTGAGCAATCATGGCTCAGAGAAGACCTGCTGTGAAAGCGGCGGCGCAAATTGCTGCAGGTTAGAATCAAACAAACACAAATCACAAGTCCTCATTGATCATTTTGGCCTCATCATGGACTCTTTCTTACTCTTTTCACACAGGAAGGACTGTTTGAAGCTCCTAAAGTATCTTCTACATCTGCTAAAGTCAAATCAACCATTTGATAAGTTTTGCTCCTATCATGCCAAAACTACGCTCTTTCACGCCTGTTCCACCAGAACCAAAGACAGCGACTGGAGGGCCTCAGATCTGAGCTCCTGTTTTAACCTCCTCCTGCAGGACTTTGAGAAGCACCTGGAAACTGGTATACTGCCAAACTTCTTCATCCCCACTCAGAACCTACTAAGCAACACTGAAGAGAAAAAGCGCAAACATCTAGCCAAGCTCATCAAGGCGGAGCGCGAAAATGGTTTTCCCATTTTTGAGAAACTTGAAAATACACATTAAGTGTCTGCTTTTCTACAGTTCCAGGTCATCAATGATAAAGATACAAATACAATCTAGCTTCATTGAGCAGGTTCACCTACCTGTTTTGGAGCTTTTGGCCACTCACTGGAACAGCAGACTTATACTCCAATCTGCAAAACAATCATTAAAAGTTTATTGTCATAAATCTTTGTTATGATTGTCTTTCAGTTAATTGAATCCTTATTGACTTTGAAGTACAATGAGATTAAGTGATTTTTAACTAGGCGAATGTAACAAATGTTCATACATGTAAAATTGCAATAGTACCCTGATGGTTCAACTTAATTTATCTTTCTGATCAGCTGATTTATTGTAACATTTTCCATTAAAATAAAAGTACAAGTGTGACCCATCTCACACTTTTATGGAGTAGTTTTATTTATGATCTGGATATAGAAAATCACTTCCTGCATTGTAAATGGGGAAATACTCACTTCAATAAACCTTCAAAAGTTTGACCATAAAAAAAGTAAGAATGATGAAAAAATTACCTCTTCATTGTAGTTTCTTCTGCAGGTAGGAAATAGTTTCAAGTAAGGTTTAGAATTTAAGAAAAATTACAGATACCGGGGAAAGAAGGAAAGAAAGGCAAAGAAACCATATACACCAGTAAGTCTGTTTAAAATGAGAATTTATTATGGCAGATGTTTTTCTGCCTGAAATTACACAACAGAATGTTCAATCTCATAAATGAGGTTGATGAGTTGGACAGAAAAAAAACTTGAGAATATAATCGAATAATTATAAATGGCTGAAAATCCACAAATAAACTCCACGGAAAAAGGGGAAAAAATACAAAGAATTCACGTTTCAGATCTCAAGCCACCCTGAGAGACAAAAAGAAATATAATAATATTAATGATGATAATGAGAAAAATAAGTTTTACAATGTCTCAGAACACTAGGCAAAAGTGATGACAACATTATTATTTATTTATGCCAACTGCCCGCCTACTCACAAATGAGTCTTTCTGTAAACCAGGTTAGATTACCTTGTGTTACATGTGGACTTGCTTACTAGAAGCCCCAGTTTTTTTCTCTGTCCCTGCCACCTCTTCCTCCGCCATCTCTCCTTCCCCATCCTCCTCTTCCTCCTCCTCGTCCCTGCCCCCCTGCCGGATAGCACATTTCTTTCTCCCTCTTGTGCTTCTCGTATCTTTCGGCCATGAGTACCAGCTCCTCAGGGACATCCTGTAACAAGACACACTTTCATGTGGGCCCATATACATTGAAGAAATAAAAATCAGGTTTAGCTGCATTATTCACTTCAGCTTGACTTTTTTTCTGATGTTATCAATGATAAGAGGCATTATTTATTATTTTGTGAAAGTCTGTTGGACAATGACTGAATTTCTGCTATTTTCATATACATGCTGAACTTTCTGCGACATGGGAAATTTTTAGACAAGAAATAATGTGTGTTTGCCAACTTGTCCTGCTCGCTCCAGGATGGGTATCAGCTCTGGAGCCATCCGCCAGTTTTCTCTGGTTACCAAGGTTACAGCAGCACCTGAACGTCTGGATCAAGGAGGCATTAGCATCACAGACTGCCAAAACAACTGCCCTCGTTTAAGCATGCACGCACACCGACACAGATAATCTTACCCTGCTCGGCCCGTGCGGCCCACGCGATGGACATATTCCTCTATGTTCCGTGGGAAGTCGTAATTAAAGACATGCGTTATGTCGTGAACATCCAACCCTCGAGATGCCAAGTCTGTGGCAACCAGGATACGAACCCGGCCTGGAAAACAAAGGGACACGTTGATCAGCTTATAACTCATACTAGCGTATAAGCTTTGATACTATAAGAAGACAGACCCTCTTTAAAGTCCTTGAGAGCCTCTTCACGGTCACATTGCTCACGGTCACCGTGGAGACTCTGCACAGCCAGACCTTGCAGACACATGTCACTTGAGAGGTCGTCAGCACTGATTTTTACATTGGAAATGAAGGCATAAACGAAAACAGAGCAGTAAGTAAAGTGCAGCTTCTGATGTCTGTGGGTGTGATAAGTTTTTACCTGTAACTCTAGGCTAGAGCTAAATAACCCCCCCCCCCTCCTTTTTTTACAACCAGTAATCAATTCCCAACTCACATAAGCTTCTTTCCCACAAAGATGAGGACTTTATCCTGGGGCAGCATGTTTCTGATGAAGTCAAAAACATAAGACTTTTTCTCCTCTTCATTAACAATCAGCACTTCCTGCTGCACTGTGTTAACTGCCTGAGGCCAAAGGAAGCAGAAAAGATGTAAACTGAGAGCATTGTGGTGCGCGAATGCAGGACATTTTTCCATTTCAAATACTAACAACTCATCTGATTTTCTTTTCTTTTTTTTCCAGTGTTAACCACAGAAATAGCCATAGTGGAACAGGAAAGTTGAACATGGAGAAACAATCATTTGACACCCACACATGAAAAAAAGTTCACCTTACTGCTAAGTCAAGGGTGCCCACATACACCATCATGGGGTTCTTCAGGTAGGATCTGGACAGTCTTCTCACACCTGTGGGCCAGGTAGCACTAAAAAGACAAGCTCATTTTTACATTTATCCTGTACATTAGTGACATCAAGAACATCTGAAATTAATGGAAGAATAATGATTTTCATTGTCAGGGATGAACTTTAAATCTATAGTTTCACAATCAGATGATCTGTCTTTCACACTGGGGCTCTCTCTATTGTAGAAATGTGAAAAAAATAAACATAGGTGTTCCTTTCATACATACATTTAAATAATCCTCAATCTATCAAAACAACTGCATTTGGTCATTTCTTTCCTGGTACATTCATCCAGGTTAGATGAGCATGCCCATGACAGCACTGAGGGTGCAGGACTGCCATCCACACAAGTTTAGACAATATTCATGCTCAAAATTCTAATTCGTGCACTACTTTTTTCTCATCAGTTTCGCTTTAGACATACATTGAGAAATTGTACCTGGTCATAACAGTCTGTCTGTCTGGACGGACATCCAGCAGAATTTTCAAAATCTGTGGTTCAAAGCCCATGTCCAGCATCCGATCAGCCTCGTCCAGCACCTTGTCCAACAGTGAGAGTAGCAGAAGAAAACAAAAAGAAAGAATGGGAAGAATCTGTTTTCTTTTACTTAAAACACAAAACACACCAAGCATTAAAGGCTTTCACTACTAATTTGTGATTCCCATTAAGGTGGGCTACAGTTCCAGTAAAAAAATTAGATGGCATAACGGAAACTTACTTTACATAGATCCAAACTTTTGGAAAAACAAAGACACAGAAAGCTCACCAGGTAGGTGATGGAACGAAGATTGATGAGCTCATTCATCTGTAGATCGTTTAGTCGGCCTGGTGTAGCAATCACTATGTCAACGCCCCTCTTCACCAGATTGATCTGCCCTCTCCTGTCGCCTCCACCATAGATACAGATACTGAGAGAGAGAAGAGGGAAAAGTTATATCAGGTCAAGTAATTTGCGGTTAATAATTAGAAGTTATTCCTTTTCACCTTTTGTATCCCTTATATTGGTACTTGTTGCACTCCATTTCAATCTGTAGTGCCAGCTCTCTGGTAGGAGTCAGCACCAGCATGCCTGGACCACCCCTCTCAGCACGGGGTCTTTTAATGAAGTGGGGTCAAATTTAGAAAAAAGTGTTTGATCACAGGCAGTCATTTAAGATTCCACTTTGAGAAGGAATGAAAATGAAAGGTCAGTACTTTATCTTTTCGAGAAGCCTGAGAGGTCAAATAAAAATGCATTAAAAACATCAAGGCCTGTACTCACAAAGGCTGCCCGTCCATATGGATGAACCCTGGTAACAGGTAGGCCAACGTTTTCCCTGTTCCTGTCTGAGCAATCGCTATCAGATCTTCTCCACTGAGCAGCACTGGCCAGGCCTGAGACTGAGGCGGGAACATTTAAAAGGGATTTTATGTCATGTTTTCAAAATGTTGAAACTAATTTATTAAACTGACTAGTTTGACTAAAATAACTCAAAATAATTAGCTTAAAATTGTATTCAGGGCAAAAAGGTTGTTCGCATGGTGGTTGAAACATTTTTTTTCCTGAGAGTCAAATGTAGACAGAGGGTATGGCATAATATTTTAAAGGAACTGGATGGTACTCTTTCAGTTGATCTCCATCTAATATGCAGGTATTACTAAACCTATTTTCAGATGAAAAGAAAGCGTTGCAAAACATCCCCTTAACCAGGTATGCACATTATGCAGAACTGTGCAGCTATTTGAAAGCTCGTGCCAGTAACGTTTCATTCTATATGATCCAACTTGTTGTGAAATGAAAGTTAAGAATAGGAATGTGACGTTGATGAAGTTTCATTTCCTTTTGGAGAGCATTAGTAAGAATGTTTTACCAACATGTATGCAGAGTAGCATCTCCACCCTAAAAGATGTCAAACAACTATTTCAGACTGAAGGTGAATCACCACAGAAGGGAAACTTCTTCCTGAGTGTAACTTCACACAGTCATACAGCAGAAATGACAGAGGACTCCTCAATGAAAGAAGTACCATGGATTTTCAGCCAGTTTCGTGCACTTTCATTTCTGCTTTTTGAAAAGACAGCACATTGAAGAAAATAGAAATAAATGGAGAAAAAAAGGGTTTCCTGCAGAGAATGCCACTACATGGGCCTTTCCTAATCTGTGTAAATCCTGGGGAATGCCCGTGGTCACACGTGCAATTAATACGACAAAGCATTACAGATTTAAAACATTTTCAAGAATTTCCCCAAAAAAACCCACAAATGGTACAGAATTCTGGTCTCCAAAGAAATCCGTTACATGTTTGATGAACATCAAGTGGTTGAAAATTTACTCTCAGAGCCTGTTGTTCGATTCCGCCAGAATTGGGGGAACCACGTGTCAAAAATCATAAAACTGTTTAGTTTGGTCTCATTCATTCATTACGTTTGATCAAACAAGAAAACCAAACCTCTACTCCAGCTCTTTTTCCCCAATTCGGGTATCCACAGTACAGTACATGTAGTCTATAAGACTATATCTAAATGATATAAACCCACTTTTAAAAGGAATGTTCATTTTAATCTTACTCATTTAATTAGGTGAAGAATGAAACATTTTCCAACTAGATTTTCACCTGGATGGGGGTTGGTTTGGTAAAGCCAACACGTTCAATATTTTCCATTATCTCTGGATAAAGCTCAAAGGCCTCCAGAAATGTGCGGCAGGGATTGGGGAATGGCCTCTTTTTCCCCTCTTCGTTCAGGTCATCCACAAAAATATTGTTATTCTCCTTCCTGTGGAAAAATACAAAAACATTTTTGAAAGTGGAAAATCTTCAATTTCAATCAACCATACCATGTAGGACAAAGACTAATATTCGGCAAGTTAAACATCCAGTGAGTTTATTCTGCAACTTTGCATTCAATGTCAAAGGTAACTGAAGCTCCTCGATGCGCCCAGTTTAAAATTCACTGAGCAAAAAGACAACAGTTTACTCAACATTTTTATCATATCATGCTCTTTGAACATTTGAGGAAGCTGGTGTTTCAGTGGAATCCATGGGAACAGAACAGCACTGAACTGATCGAGTGCCCTGGGTTTGGCTTTTTTTCTAATTTTGATAAACAAAAAGTAACAGCCTGACCTGAATGACATTAATTACCATTAAGCCAATACCTTCAGACCTCTTACAATGTATGTGTGATTTGTAAATTATTCAAAATGTTTATAATTTCCTGGAACTAATAGATGCTCTCTATGATGGACTGACAGCCAGGATGCACCTTACCTCTGGTCTAGTGCTAGCTGGGATAGGTTCCAGCCCTCTGTGACATTAACTGGATTAGGCAGGTATAGAAAATGAATTGGATGGATGATAAATGCTCATGGGTCACCTTGTACATGGGGACATATAATAACACCATGTCCAATGCAATGTAAAACAGTAATATGATGTAAGCGTTGGGAACTTAAAGATTAAGAGATCCTTAAATATATCTCCCTGTCATTTTCTCTCAAAAGTTACTTTCAAATTAATGTCAACCTCAATTGTGGTCAACAGCTTTGATACAAACCTCTTCTCCACCAGCATTTTGTCGGTAGCAAACAACAGTTATTGTTTTTTGGCATTTAAATATGTTTCCCATCTACATAGACAGTAAAGATATTTTAAACAGGGTAAAAAAGAGATCTAGCAAAAGTTGAGCACTGTCACAATTACCTCCATTCACAGACTTCTTCGGGTGAGAGCATGGACACACACTCTGCCTCAATGTAAAACTTCTTCTTCAAAGGAGGCAGGTCTGAAGAAAGTTGCAGATATAAGAGCTTTTGCTGATCATGAACTCTATTCTGATGTCAAAATATGAACATTTGTGAGGATCTAACTAAGCATTTTAGTAACTTGGTTTAACTGGAACCATTTCTAAAATTTCAATCCCACAGGTAAAAGCAGCATTTGGTAACTTCCATAAACAGCATTATGGTTCACTTTTTTAAACCATTGTTTAATTAAATCACTGTCTAAAGATCTGCGGCATAAAGCTGAATGCAGCTTGGACCCCCCACCTTTCCACTTGAGCTCTTCATATTTTTCCTTGTTCTCTCGTATGAATTTCCAGTCTATGGCTGGAAGGGGTGACGAATCCTTTGCAGCCTGTATTTCTCCTGGAGACCATACAGAGTCATTTCTAACCCCTCCATCTGCTCTTCCTCTGCGGTGATCTGCAGAGCTCACTTCACGGTTTTGTACTCTGCCAGAACCTGCAAAGATCAGCGTATAGTAATAATTCTGACTGAAGTGTAGGTTTGGTCAACTTTTAGTGAAGAATACTAAGAGATCTGCATACAAACAGGGTCTATGTTGTGAACAACAGCTGCTTAAACCACTTTAACTGGTTGTTGGTTTGGACTGATAAAGACAGGAAGTCTATTGCTATATCTATTTAAAATATAGGCTACTATATTGGTAACTCATTTCAAAGCTCTAATGTGACCTAGAGATGTAATATCTGGAGTGTGCAGAGGTGATTTCACATTTAAATGAATTAGCTCTGGTTGAATTAAGATCTCATCAACCCATTGACGTGGTTTGATTGATATGATCTGAGATCTGTCAGTCATGGTACTGTGCAGATACACCTCAGTCTGAGGGCACAGTGTGCCGGTCGTTTTCTTGTGATTCAGAAAGCTTATTTTATTTATGGTTTGATTCTTTAAACATGCCGGTTTAACTGAAAGATTCAGAACACATTTTGTCACTGATGTGAAAAACTTAGAACATGCACTCATGTCTGTTTTACACAGAAAGTACTCATGTAAATTCTCGCCTCATAAAACATCTGACAGGACACTCCCCAAAAACGGCTGCAGAACAATAGTGCAGTCACCAGTTACCAGAAACGCAAGCCTCAAGGCATCTTGTGTAAATAGTGCATATTTGCGTCATCAACTGATAACCATAGAAAACACCTGCAACTTTCTGTTTTTTCTGGTTAGTCACGTCAACATGGTTTTTGATCACTGCGAGTGTGTCACCTGAAAAATTAAACTCAGATACTTTTTAAAAAAACCCTCTACCACCTATTTTTTTAAAAATGGATATTTACTTTATCGATGGAGAAACAGAAAGACTACGACTATCATGGCACGACATACATTTCGTTGGACACATACATTCTGATTTTATTAAGTGCCATTCTCCACAGACTGCCCTACCATATGAAAACCATTAAAAATATATTTCTATAGAACAGATATAGGCAAAAACAGATGCCATACCATAGCCATCTGCCATCAGGTCCTCAATCATTTCTTTGGCCTTTTGCTGAGCAGCAGAGGATCCAAAGATGAGCACCTCTCCTTCATAGTCGCCGTTGTTTATCTTTAAACAAAAACAAAACACAAAACGAAATATGTCTGCATTAAAAATGATTTCCCATCCAATAAGTTATGGATTCAGGGTATAGCACATCACTCAAGTGGCTTAATCTAAATTAGTCCTGTTCATAACCAAACAAAAAGCTTAGATGCATGGCTGTGCACTTTTCAATATTTTCAATCAATCCACAAATTAAGCTCTTCTGCTCTAAACAACGAGTAGCTGTCACAAGCATGAGAAAACTTGCCTTGATTCTCGCACCACTGCTTTCCTCAAGTTCACGGATTTTCGCTCCTCCACGACCTTTAGACAGATTTTATCATATACAGTTAAGAAGGGACAAATATAGTAAACGTTTGTCTATGAGAGGGTTTTTCGGAGAAAAAAAACAGCTTTCATAAATCTGTAGAGAAGAGGCTGCTTTAAGGCGACAAACTGCTACAAGCTAAAAACCGCTAATTTAGCATAATTAGCCGGTGGGATTCGTTTTAGCTAACTCTTAGCGCACATGGGGGACTTTGCTTAAATGAATTACAAATTTAAAAGTTAAAAACACACCAATTATTTTCCCAACTGAAGAATTTTCCACTGCGATGGTCACGGCAGAGGAAATGTCGGACTTCTCACGCACGACGGTCTGACGTTCATCAGGAGGACCTCCGCGATCTCTTCCACCTCTCGAGCTCCTGAACTCCAACCACTCGTTACCATGGTTGCTTCTCTCCTTCCTGAACTCTCCAAATGAGGATCCTCTTTTCACGCCAAAATGCACGTTTCCTTTCCCGAAGTTATCAACCGGCAATTTCCATTCAGGTGGAGCAAATTTTGGGACAGTTTTCTCAGTACCAGCGCCACCCTCATCCTCTTCCCAGTCGGACATTTTAAATTCGGTTTGTGACCTTCGGGGCAGCAGCCCAGACGTCAATCAAGAAAGGCGCTGCCTTCATTTCCTGTCTGTTCAACGAACCTTCCGGCAAAAGGTGAGTTGAGGATTCGAATTAGGAGTTTTAAACATAACAGAAGATCGTGCGTTTTTCCCGCCTACCTTACTGGCTCCAACTACGGATGTACAATGCAAACATTTTAAATAAGTAAACTTATGACCTCCTACATGTTTAGTCAAACACATGAATTTCCTGAAGGCTGCAAAGAGACCTTCATAAAAAAGACCAAAATGTCTAGAGGCCCTGAAACAAAATGGTGTGGTGCAGGGCTGTGAACCAAAGTTTAGAAATGCATCTTCTCAGCCCTTTTTAATGTTGTTTGATGGAAATCTGTATGATCAAACAGCAGCACATTTTAAGAATGATACATTTGTATTTTTATTTGACTTTAAAGAAAAGACCCAGGAATCAACATTGCTTATTTAATTCATACTTTATTAATGAATAATAAAATTATTTTGTCATTTCTCATCCAGAGAACATAATGTGCACTTTAATAAATTAATTTAAAAGAAATAATAATGTTAACAATATCAAGCTTTAAGGCCTGCCGTGTAATAAATTATTGTTCAAGCAGTATTGAAATGGTGTCCCAAGTCATCCAGGGTATAAAGAATGTAGCTACAGCTACATTACTTTATTAAACAGCATGGCCTACCCAAAATGAGCAGTTTGACTTTAGGACAATATAAGCTGTAGGCAAACTAGGCCTTCTTCGCTCTGCCATGACAAAATTAAATGATTTTCTTATACAAGAGAGGCACCCTTAAGCAATTTACATTTTGCAAAAGTAAGCATGCTTTTTGGTGGGGAATAACCCCTATAGTTGTCCAACAAGTTGGGAGTCCATGGGCTTATAAGTTATTCATATGCAAATCAGTCATTTAACTACATCTAATCTATTCCAACATTACACAAAAATGAACCTACCATGTCACATTTTCAGGCTCCCTGCACTCACCAGATACAACTGTGCTTGTGCAATAAAATTATATCTCATCATATCAGAACAACTCTTCTTTGGACTACTGAATATTTCAAAATCATACGAATGTTAACAGTTGCCATTTGTTAGAGAATAATACTTGTTATGTTCCACTACAGAGTGTTAATTTGCTAAGCAATGGACTTTGTCATTGGGCATACACATTAGAAAAATGGTGGGGAAAAATCAGGAAGTCATGGATACAGTAGAATATATTTTTAAGACTGAAGTGACTGTGTAAAAACAAATCAGAATATAAATAAAAGATAATTGATAAGTGACATCTTTTGCTGCATGAATTCCTTTTGAGAGCAATAAGCCCATCAAAAACATGGGCAACAATGAAAACTGTGTCCAGTAAAATACAAACAACTTTTAAAAGCCAACTTGTGGAAGCAAATACCTTCTCAGTTTCAATATGGCTTAAATTAACTGCTCAAGTTCACCTGAATCACTTTTCGTTTGGCTAAAAAATGACCCCAAGTTTCTAAATAATGTAAATGAAAATGGAGGTAAGGTATAAAGCAGTGTGCATCCAAATCTTGTTTAAAATCTTCAAATTATCATTCAAGAGCAACACAAGAGGTAAAAGAAGCTATAAGAACCCCACATTCAATGTCTCACGGAGGTGAGACATTTTTCTTCTTGCAAAACTGACCTCATGGATACTGCTCTGGGTTCAGAGTCTGCTAAATGCTGAGAATGCACAAGCCACACTGTTTTTTTTTGCCTTGAGAGTTCTCTTTGTCATATTATATCCTGTGAATATCTTACATTTCCTGCCTTTTCAGCACACTTTAATAAAATAACACTGTGCATGCTGATCAGTGATAGCATATTCTGCCGTGAGTCCACACTTAACTTCATATTGTTTGTATTAGGTCTTAGGTTCCACACTGCAGCGTTTAATCACAACTGCTGCTCAAGGTGCAGCCAGGGCCCACTAAAAAAAAGGGTTCCTTCAAAAAAGAGGGAAAGAAAACATCAAATTCCCTGTAAATGTTATACATTCAGTATATAAGTGGGTTGATATAACTGTTGTCTTATCTCTTCAATATAAAAGAAGTTCAGATAAGAATAAAATATTCTTTTGGCAGATTTTGTTTTCAACTTTTGTTTAAGTCTTGGAGGAAGCATTTTAAAATCCAGGCCATCAACTAGTGTCTATGCTTATGACTGCAACAAAATGGATTTGAAGCATCTCTTGCTTGGTTGAGAGGGCTTTTTTAAATAATCTACTGAATTTTAGCATTCATATTATAAGCAATTAACTCGGCAGTCTACTCTCCAACGCTGTGGGAAGTGGTCCTACAGTTTAAAGGCAGAGGGTAATTTTTACAATTAGAATTTGTTTTCCAAATTACCCAGCATTTTTCTATCAGATAAAACCAAGCGGCTTTACAAATATTACCCTTTTTGTAGAGACAGTTAAAAAAAAAAAGACAATTTGGGCACTGAATAAACGCCATAGTTTCGTTGATTTATCCATTTTAACATTGAACGTTTTCCCTCTCTCTAGACTGATTTTTTTCTTATCTTCTCATAGAAACACCTACTCAGCAAAGTGAGGGGTCATGCTCTTTCTCCAAAAGAGTCCTAACATACCGTAAGTTTTTTTGTACAAAATCTGGTCATACATCAGTCTCAGATTTTTGTACATTTCTTAGCCTGCAGTTATGGGTAATAATGATTTTTGTCTGCATGTTTTGTGTATATCTCAGTGTGCATGTACTTATGTTTAATAGCTTCACTGCATGACCTGTCTGAATGATTTTTTTACTCAATTCAACAGCTCCTTTAGATTTGTATTAGGAAAAGTTGGATTACTTACTCTGCTGATAGTTTGAGATCAGGTTCTTTGGTTGGACCTTTGTTCAAGACTACATATGTAATATGTCTGATATTTATTTTAAAAGGAACGTTAACATTACTCACAAAATTAGACTTTTCTATGGCAGAGTTACTTCTTATTTCTCTGTATTAGTTTCATAAGTTGTGCAACATGAACACGCCACCTTGCATTCAAATGTATACATTCTTTTCCTGTATGGGCTGTAGTAATTTAGGTGAAACGTAAAAAGTGTGTTGTATGATATTTACTGTATGCAGCTGGGCGTAATCAAAAAGACAAACTATAAAACTGCTTTTGTTCACATACAAAGTATGCTTTTGTAAAATTTGGACTATCATTAGTGTTGTGCCCCGTATAAATACCTTTAAAAAAAAAAAGGGCCTCAGCCATAAATGTGTGTAAATAAAGTTTGCAGTTACTTTTTAGTTTGTCATTGTGTGTGCTTATACCAGCTGTATGTGTGAGGACTGACTAAGAAACTCTGAGCTTCCCTTTGGTTGAGGTATGGCCTCTTCCACAGTTTGTAAAATGTCCGAAGGGGTGCTGCCAGGTTCCTGGGAGAGGAAGCTGAAATGTTCTTCTGCTGCCTCCAGCTTGCACTCACTAATTAAGAGGTCCGTTCCATCCCAGTTTCTGAGGCCATCGGCACCTTCACTACCGTTGCTGCTACTACTGTTATTAAGTGCAGAGGAGAGACCAGGGGAACGTTTGGTTGAAGGCTGGCTGAGATTATGCACTGAGAGGGATTTCCCAAGATTGCCTCCCCAGTCTGAAGACTTCTCCTCTGCATTAGATGAGAGAAGCAGCAGGGGGTTAACCTCAAGGCTCAAATGCCTCCTCCAAAGCCCATCAGATTTCAAACCAGGCCTCTCACGCAGTTGCACCCTTCCCTGCACGGGGCCTGGCTCACTGTCCCCCTCTTGGTCGTCATCAAAACTGCCTCCCACAACAACAGATGGGCCCAGACTCCCCTCATCCACGGCCACTCCATCTTCCATTTCATCTGAGACCATGTCGGCTGGGCATCGGAGGTGAGAAGGGTGCACCATGGGGGGCAGCTGGAGGGTGAAACTCCCTGTTGAGGGAGGTGGGGGTGGCAAATCGGGGAACAGAGCTTTTTTGTTGGGAGTGGCCAAGGTGGGATAAGGGCTGTCCGGGGGCAACAAAGGCGAAGGTGAGAGGGAAGCTGTGGATGGGGGATAGGATGGAGGTGCAGAGTCTGGAGGGCCATCATCATCAGCAGGTGCCAGAATGAGCCGCAAACCCCTCGGGTTGGCACTTTGGGAGCGATGCATGCCGCTACTATTATCTCCTCGGCTTCTGTTGGGATCGCTTCCCCGGGAGGCGGCTGGGTAGTCAGAGTTGTGGTGCTGGTGGCTTTCCAGCTCAAACAGTGGCAGCGAGGAGAGGGTCAGCGCTGATGGACCTTTCTGTAGGACTTGGCGGTAAATATCCAGCAAAGAGTCCAGCTTTGACTCGATGGAGGTTACCTGTGTGCAATTAAAAAAAAAATGGATTACTGAGTATTTTTTAAAAAGCATTTTTATTTAGTAATTATGTAAACTACATTTTTTTTTTACCACGATTGAGCTTAGCTTTAAAAGCTAGATAGATATTGTTTATGGGCAACAAAGTAGTTTGCCCACTGGGAGTGGTTAACCTAAATAAACCTCTTGCGGATTTTTGTGAATATATCACAATAGAATTTCAACATACCTGTCTTTCCACTTTACATACACGTCCGAGCATGCTCATACCCTCCATAGAGTCTCCATCTGGATGAAGTTTGTCCCTTGGTTTCTTGTCCATGGGAATCTGGCCTTTTCCCAGGATCTGATCCACCCTAATGTACACACATATTCTATTGTTATTACATTACAAAATAATGATGTAATACAAGTAGGCACCCCACTCTCATTTGAAGTTATCCGCAGTCAGTAAACACACCTAAAGCAACATCAGCATGTTAGGATTAGAGTTAGTAAAACACATGAAAAACGACACATCTTCTGGTTACTGTCCTCTATTGTGTTGCTTTGGGCACAAGATTGTTCTGGTCTTTTCTTGCACAAATACTACCACTGTTATATCTAATTTAATATTCATCATGTAAGTACAGCAATAATCATCTTTAATTCAAACATTTTGAATTAGAAACAGTTGTGCTTGGCTACATTCAAATTAAGACAGTTCTTTCAATTTGAATGAAATTATTCTTTTGTTTTTTGACACTAAAGTAAAAAGGAATTAGTCATGTTAATATACCTATTGTACCTAATATACCTATAACTATATTAATATACTCCAAGTTCTAAAACCCCCTATGTTTTCTTTGACTCTACACCGCACAAATTAGCAGCGGCAAACAATTACACACAAGTTAGAAACATTGGCACACAATGTTTCCCCCTTCCAGTGAGAGGTATAAAAAGTAGTTGACCAAGCGGATGTGTTTGGGTGTGTGTGCATATTAACATTCCTGTTTCAAAGATGGTGAATTATAGCCCTGCCATGTGGGTGGAACGTAACATTTGAAATTGGGTTTAAAAAAAAGTAGGCACAGAATTACAGTAAATTTTAATTCTCAAGAGCACTCAGAGTGTTCTAAACCAAGGCCAGTGCTGCATTTCAAACAATTTCCATTTGTCTTTTAGCCTTGCTTCAAGTCCTTCCAAAGTTTAATAAAATCTGTTTCAGAAACATTAATAACATTTTGCTTAAAACTACCTAACTCATACATCAATCTCAGTTTTTGCCTTCTCAGAAGTTCTTTTTTCGAGTTCCCACTGCATGTCCTATCATGTGGCTCTGTAGGAAAGTTAATTAAAATAATACCTAGAATCTTTTTTTGTTTAGTGTTTTAGTGTTCAACCCTTTTCTGGATGTCATTTAAGCTGATGGGATTTCACTCTACTCTAAAGTTACTTTAAGTCAAATGATTGTAACCCTGTATCAGAGAGCTTCATCCTGTTGTTGCTGTAATTATAGTGCAGGGCGGGAGAGGACATGTTCCTGGGTCGGCTACTTAGGGTGGGACCAGAGCCCGATGCACTGGCCAGTCTGGAGAAAGGAAAAAGTCTGGGGTCAGTCATATTTCTCCCTCTGTCTTACACACACACACACACACACACACATATGCATAACTAAACACTGACACACTAATGCACACTCAGCACTAAATCAGTTGTTGGAGGTACTTAACCCTAGCTAATAGATACGCACAGAGATGAATGGTGACACATTTTTAAAGTATAAATTCACAATAATATTTCAGGACCTGCCGGTCAAATGTTCCTTTTAAAAATGCTGCTGACTATATTTGAAAATCAATGTTGGATATCTCATCTTTCATTCTTTTATGATTTCATGAGACCAATTTGAAGTTTATTGCAAGTTTACATCCTTTTTATCTTTTCCCCATTTCATTGGCACTGTTGTAGAAAGTAGGCAGGCCATGATCAGCCAATGTAAACACAGATACTACAGACGCTAACAACACATGGTCTACCACTTCACAGGAACTTGAAATAAAACTGAAACTAGATACACGCAAAGGGCAGGTGCTGCACAGAAAACTAGAAAACCATAAAAGGGAAAACAAATAAATGGCACACTGCAAGACTCCAGTATTTTCTTCTTTACTGTGCAATAAAGTCAAATTGTTAGCCTGTGGTGTGTTGCTTGTGTGTTTGTTTTGTTGTTAAATTTAAAAGGAAAAACAATTGTCTAGCCAGCATGTGCGTTAAGAGCAGCTTCAGGTCCCCTCTGCTTTGATTGTACAGGTTCAGATCTTTATAGATGGCAAAAACACAACTTTTTCCAAAGATGTTACTGCCTCTAATGTTTTTGGCCTGTGTGTCACACCATGGGCATTAAGTGAATCTCTACGCTAATAACAAAGGGGAGAATGATATCACATACCTCTCCCATCTGAGATAAATAACCATAGTTTGCTTTGGGGTTGCCATGGACAAGTTACTTCACTGAAGATGGTTTCAAGTGCAAATCTTGGATATGGTCTTTGTAGTTTTCTTGTTTCTCTTAATTTTATGTTTTTGGTAGCTTCTTCCCTTAGTCAGGAGACATTGTTAGCTTTTCTGGCGTTTTGAAACTGACCTTGTGTGGTACTAACCATACAGGTGGTTGTTTGTGTCAGTGTTGGCTTTGTCATAGAATGGCAACTGGACTCAGAACATACAAATGGAACAGCTAGATCCCCATAATTAGGCTTCAAACCCTCAGGTATTTCTATTATTGTGTCACCCATCTGAACATTGCAGAACTCCACTGCTCTGTGTGTACCTACAGCCCTCACTGATGAACACACTTCACACAAAGAGTCAGAAACAGAGAACAAGCAGTGTGTTTGCCACAACATTCATGCTCCCTGCATCACTGCTGCTCATTTAACATTACAACCCACCAGACTGCAATCAATACCAAGAGCTAGAAATACTTTTAAGAATTTAAAGATTTAATTGTGAAACTAATTGTGATTTCAATAAGAAAAATGTAGATAAAAATTCAGACTGCAATCAAAGAGATAATAAAAATTTTAATTCCGGTAGGATTTATCCAGTACCAATTTTGCCATGGAATATATATTCTTTAAAGAAAGCGTCACTCTTGTTATCTGAGCAAACTTGGACAGCTTCACTGGATGAGGTCCTTAATATGCTCAAATCAGGTTTAATTAACTACATTTCAAAGGCAGTCAATGCTGAAATAATTATTTTACTTGTACGAAACCTGAAATTATAACATTTGAATAAAACTGAAAAGTGAATTTATGCTTTTTTAACCCAAATGTAGTTGTCTGGTCATTTTGATGGGAAAGGACGGACAAATATCGGACGGTGCAGGTCTAACCCCGATGCGGACTGTTTCCTCTGGGCCTGGCTGTAATATAAATGCAAGGACGGAGATGAAAATGTCTTGGCACGCTTGCTGAACCGCCTAGGAGGGGGACCCACAACAGTGTCTAGTCTGAGAAAAAGAGGGAACACACGTACATATATACAAACACGCACAAGGTTTGTTATCTGAAAGTCTCCATTATTTATAGAGCTGTCAGGAACTACATAAAGTTCTGCAACCTCATCCACCTGCACAAATGTTTGGCTTAAATTGATTTTGGTTCAGAAAAAAATCGTCAGCAGAAATGGCTTCAATGAGGACAGAAGGACCTGAAATTTGGTAACAGAATAATTGAATATGCAGAAAGTAATGATCTGTAAAGTAAGACCTTTTAGATTTTGTAATGGAAATAGAACACTTGGTGATTTATGAGCACACCCAGTGCTTCCTGACCTGGTCTGAAGGCTTTTGATGCGACAGAGCATGTCCAGGTGACCTGCAGAGTACTGCTCTATGACATCCTTCACATCATATGGACGCAACGTTTCCTTAAACTTCTTCTTAGCCACATGGAATTTCATGATCCTACACACACAGACGAGTGAAGAAACACACAAACAGAAAAGCACAAAAGGTTTGTTTGAGACAAATCGAAGTGCTGACAGAAAAAAAGTGTAACTTTTATAACCAACCACTAGATGGAAGAAGATCCTTTGAAAAAAACCTACAACAGCTCTCTGCAGCATTACTCCTCTTTGGTTCAATAACAGCCTTCATTATTTCAAAGTGATATAATCTGAAACCTTCATCTTTTTGTTCCCATGTTAATTTGAAAACAACCACAATGAACATTTTTAAAAACTAGTGGAACTTTCCCTCTATTTAGTGAAGATAATGACTGCTGGGTGGATAATATTGATACAGGTAAGAGGATCTGTGTTCTGAGTTGATTTAGACTCTGCCGTCTTCTGCTTGTTTCCATGTGCCTATTTCTTTCATTGCTTTACTGGAAACAATAGTGACAGATGACCCTCTTTGAAAACAGTCTTAACAGCGGAGGGGTGTCCAGTCCTCAACCCGACACCCTGGGAAAGCCCTGGGCTCTGGCTGCCCATGGAGACGACCTGCTGGGTGGGTAGTCCTGCCAAGTTTAGGAGGTACTGGTCAAAGTGTGAATGTGTGAATCTATGTCTTAAATAGTAGGAAAAAGGGAATGAATACAGTTTCATAAAATTCACTTGCAAACAAAAGGGCTCTTTTAATGTGAAACTACAAATGTGGACAAAATCCGGCACAACCTGAATGATAATTCACTGGATATTGTTACTAAACACTTCTTTTAATCTTCTGAAGGGAGAAAAGTGGTTGAATTTTTTGGGCGGTTTTATAAAACCATTGTTAGCCTTCTCCCGATAAAAGAAAAGGCACTTATAAAATCGTTTTTTAATGCATTTTGCATGATCATGAAGTGAGCAAGAAACCTTAAGTGCAGTATAAACTTAAACAAACCACACAAGTCCAAAATACAGACAAAGGGTACCACACCCGGAGTTGCTGAAACTTAGGAGGAGCAAAATGATAGAATGCCACACAGCCCTCTGCTTCTTTGTCCTCACTTATGCCTTTGGTAAAAGACTATGGTGAAATGAAATGCATTGATATTGACAAACGTAATGTGATTATATATTAGCTGCAGGTGAATTATTGAAGCCGAATGGGAATCTCACAGTAAACTGTGCTGGTGTTTCTGGATCGAAAGTGATGTCGTCAAACATAAAATACATTATATGTCATGGCACATGCTTTTGAATGCTTTATATAGCAAAAGTTATACAACGAAATGTTTGGACTCAAAACCACTATGCAAAATATAAATAACTCTTTTTGAGGTTAAACTACGCGATTGGTTCAGATCACGTTAGTTTGTGCAGATTTGAACTAGTTGCAGGTTTTTCTTTTTGGACCACCTAAAGCATAGACAGTTATAACAATATCTGCATCCTCAATGACCATAAGGAGTTTATACATAGTAGAAGAGAATGCTCTTCACCAACTGGGATTTCTAAAAAAAATTCAACCTGGAACCAAAGAGGATTTAAAATCGACATTTTTACAAAAAACACATATGGAGAAGCTTAGACTAAGTAGTGGAATGACAGAACCATTTGCCACCGGTTGGCTAAACACTTGCCCACAGGGTGCCGGTGCCAGTGTAAGAGACTGTTGAAACAAGGCCTGTTAAGGTCAGTTGAAATATATTTACACACATGCGAACACCTGAAAAAGCCTCTCCATAGGGATCCTCTTAACCCATCTATGGGAAACATTTAAAGCCAGTAGGAAGGCAATATGAATGTTTGCTGTTCTGAATAAACATATCTTGTTCCAGTCCAGAAATACATACAAGCAATGAGGCGAGAGAGGGATTTGCATTCAGTGTATTATATTACAGATTTAATCCTGTTGCAGTTGAATGGAAATTTTAAATTGCTCATGGAAAACTAAATATAGGGCCTCTCACTCATTCACAAATCGGAAGATTTCATGCAAAAGCCTAAAAGTGGGCCACTGTTGATACTGTATCGATATTTGAATAAGAACATAAACAAATTAGTCCAAATACAAGATTTACAAGATAACAGTTGTCTGAGAATCAGATTGAATTTAAGAGACGATCATATACTGACTGATGGGTAAAGCTTTTATTTAGCAAAATTGATTTCCGTTTGTGAGTCATCTGAGCGACAGTGTTCCCACATTTGTGCTCTGTGAGTAATCTGTTGATTTGGAAATATTTTGGATAGATGATTACATAATGAAACAGCAGCAGGAGCTCACCTGACAGCTCTGATGACAGCTTTGAGGGGAGCTGAAAGATCCTCCACTGTAACATCGCAATGGCAGCCTCTTTCATCAAAGGAATCCTCGGCGGCCATGCCTGCGTCCACTGAGAGAGACAGAGCATTTTTTATCAATAAACACAGAGCCATGGAAAATCATTTCCAGTCTTAAGACTCATAAAACATTTTCTTTAGAACCACTCTTTACAGGAGTCTCAAAGAATGTTTTAAACTGATACAATTTTGGCTTTTAGGAGGTGAAAATTTATGTCCTGTTTGGATGGGTTCTTTTGGAATGGGAAGCTTTTTGCCAGCTCAGCTCAAAAAAGTCAGAGAAGATGGCAGATATATCCTTAACAGTGCCAGTAATTATTTAAGTGGAAGATTAGGAATGAAACACAAAAAAGAACAAGAAAAAGGCAGACAGAAAAGACAGAACACCAGTGAGCAATGATATAGAACATATAAAGGCTAATAAAAGTTCACTTCAAACTAATGCTACTTGGGGGGGAAGAGAAACAGAAGGGCTTTTAAAGCAGATATTTAATGGCCTTCTTTTGTGTAGGAGTAACTGGGAGCTGTGAACAAAAGCACTTGGGTAATACATAATTTCTACATACACATTACTTCTTCATATTAAATTCATACATCCTTGAAGAATACAGATTACGAAAGCTGTAAATGAGAATTCAAGTAGGAGCATGCTCATTATTATGACTCCCAACATTCAACATTTGCATTTGATTAAAAAACTGGATAGTTCTAATCCTTACTCTGAGGATAGTATCTACAGATAAGAGACAAGCTTAGAGAATATCTTAATAAGACAATAAGATGGCAGCATATTTTATCCCATACAAAATCCATGTTTTAGATCACAAAAGTCGAAAAACATCACACAATGAACAAATGTTCAAGACAGCTAATGGCAGTTTCACACAACTAAACAATCTCAGAAGTACATAAGGAGACAAGCTTACTGCAATGTAATAAATAATATCCAATACTTCTCAACTTTCACCATTTTCTTGCACATCAGCATTGTTTAAGATTGATGCACAATTAATTTGAAAGCCAAGAGGCTGCTTTGCAAAAGCTTGACGATCATGACCATGTAAATTCTACAAAAAAGTGTTATCCTAAATCTCAGAATTATTAGACAACAATCCTAAAACCTGAAGACTTCACTGCTTTCTGAAGGCCTTTGTTTTTCAGCCTGTAATGAGATGGCAAGATAGCAAACCATAAATGTTTGGTTCAGTTTTTTTCTTTTTTTGATGAGTTCTTTTTGTCCAGGTGGAGGCAAACGTTGGATCAGGTCTAGATGGAAGCTGCAAAAATATGTCTCATTCAGTCTTAACAACTTAATGGTGTTTTCTTAATCCTGATCTCAGAGCTTTGTGAAAAAATCTAAATGTACAAATAATTTATTTAGAATAGGAAAAGGCAAAAACGACCCCTGTGGGAAAAAAATAAACCCTGAACATCTATTCAAATAATAAAACTTTACTTAAATAGATAGATATTGGTATATATTTGGTGCAATACCAGTGGGTAAGATATTTTCAGAAAATACTTACAAAGAGTGGGAGGACTGGAGCAAAAAGATCAAGCTTTTAAACTGCCTCAGTAAATACTAGTTTGGTTAAAAAACTGTCCAGGTCAATGGTAGACAAAGAGGTGGTGGTGAACCATTTTGCTGCTCATAAACAGGACCTGCCTGGAAGAGTCCTCAAAGGAATACCTGCATGCTCATCACAGAAATCCACATCTTAGGTGTGAAAAGTATGAGCTGAAGTATGTAAGAAATTTTGGAACCGTGTGATGTGGACTCAGTTAAAACTGAGCATTTTGGCTGCAATCACCACAGTTGAGAATAAAATATCAGTGGCAGTTAATGAAAAAAAAAAATAGTGCATGAGATCCCATTGAAGTGGATGGATTCTTCAAAAGTTATTTCAATAAAAGATTATGTATGCAAATGCATAATCAATGAAGAGGAATTATTATGATCCAAAACATCCTGCAAAATTCACCCTGAATCTAGGGCTGGTGATTGCAGTCTCTCTAATCTGTGCTGTACATTAGGGACACACGTTGACCAACATGTGCTTGTGGTTAGACAGGCTTCCAAAAACTGATTGGAGGAAAACTGTAGGAAAAATCAAATGCTGTATAATCTATCTTTTAAATACCCTAGTGTGTACTGACCCATTATTAAGTAATACAACTTCATCTAATATTTGTGCATCACCCTTCTTTAAAATTCAGTTTATAGTTATCTTATGAATAAAATCTATGAAAACTGCCGGAATTCTGCAGAAGGCTTCAGCTGGGGGTTCAATTAGACTAAATCATCTACCACAATCGACCACTAGTATTTCTAAATGACATATTTTTCTGAATAGGGTAAACCGCTGCTAAACAGCTTACCATCTGGGGCAGCAGTGCGAGTTTGGCTCTTCAGTCTCAGGGATGGCCTAAACCGGGTCCGATCATTGAAGCTCCAGCTCTTCTGCACTTTGGCCGGGCTCCCGCCCATCAGCTCGTTACTGCCCACCACTTCGTTGCCGGGGGAACAGCGCTGGCGGTCACTGATGGACGTCTGCCTGCTCTTCATGCTCTGACCTCGAGGACTCGCCATTCGGACCCGCTCTTTAAAGCTCAACTTCTGACTGATGGGAGGGAGGAAAGAACAAAGAGAAAGAAAAAGGGGAGAAGGGAGAAAGATGACGGATAGACGGGAGGAGAAGTTCGGGAGACAGAGATGGATTCAAAATCAGGGAGTGAGGGAAAAGTGAGTGAAAGAGGTGAAAAAGAATGAGTGTTTGTGGCAGAGATTGGGGTTCAGAGAGAGACACGAAAAAAAGGATGCTGTCAACACCAATTTTCCTTCAGGTAGTGAGAAGAGTTCAGTGCACAGACAAAGGGCAATGTTCTGTCTTTTCCTTTAGACCAAACACTATCCATCCAACTGACATGCCCAAAACACTCGAACAGACCAGAACCGCCTGCCAAGCCTCTAAACCCCCGGTGCCGCGAAGCAATCCCCACACCATCAACTGATAATCTATTCATGTATTCCCTTTTCAAAACAGACTTAATGAGATTTTTAAAGGTGATAGGTGACACATGGTAACATTAATACATCATCACCACATTCATTTTGAGCCTACATTAAACAAATGACAACATCATTGAAAGAAGCTCGTTAAAACCTCTGACCAGTGTTTTCCAGTGTATATTATTTAATCTTCTTATTTTTCGGAAAAGTCTTGGAGCTTTCAACATTTCTATGAAAAAATAGCTAAATCCTTTAGACGGTGATGACAGCCAATGTACTTCGCTAGCAAGTATCTGGGCACTCTATTACCTCATTACTGTTTCATACTGTCTTAATATTAAAGCTATGTTATTAATCTTCAATTTTCATCATCAGTATCTTACTCCGTCTTGCAATTAATTCCCTGTCAATTAAAATGAATCCCTCATTACGTCAGCAACTTTATAAAAAGGAATAAATGAGGGAAGGGTTTTTCCACATTAGGCTGGTATTTGGATGGAGCTGGTGGGGATGCTAAACTTTTCAAATCAAAGGGACTCACTGCAGTAAATGAATGGAAACCAGCAAATAGACCAACATGCAATGCAACAGGCCACTACAGAGATGCAGTGCAGTTTCACATTTTCCATGCCCCAAACTAATTTTTTTAATTTTTTTAATGTTACATCTTCATGTTAGGATAGTGTTGAACATGTCGTTCATTGTCTCTCCTCTATCCCCTTCCTAAAACTTACCAACGTGTGCAACATTTCCCTTGTGTGGAGTCACAGATAATGCATGACTTTTAGATTGTAATACACTTTCTGTTTCAATGTGCTGTATCATGCACAAGGTCAACTTAAACAGAAATAACACAAATATTCTTAAAAAAGCAGATGGCGCAAATCCGATCTATTGTTTATTCCACTTTATAACCTATTTGGCTCGCTGACGGTTAAAAACTGAAGAAAAAAATATTTGAAGAGGAGCAGTTATGCATTGAGCATGCAGTGAGGTAAGTAAAGGATACTTTTTTTTCCTGAAATGGATGTAACAATTATACAAATTAGTTAATTTATCCAATTTAATTCTCCTAGGGGTCCAGCTCTATTAATTGCTCAGTTTAATTAAATTTGTTATTTGTTTTACTTTTTACAGCTTATTTTTCAAAACTGTTGGGACCTTTGCTTTAACAAAATCCACAAGTGAATCCTGTTGCTGATCCCAAGAGTTTGAGAAAGTGGAACATGAATATAAAATCATTGTTTCTGGAAAAGCATGTCTACATAAGGTGAGAGTCATACATTGAAAGCAAAATAGGAGAAAAGTCAAATAAAGGGGAATTTTGCTTGGAATGGGTCCCATAGTAAAGAAACTGTAGCCCTAAAAACTGCACTATTTACACTTACATTAATAACTGTGAAAAGACAATGACAAAAAACTTGGAGAGTTTCAGCCTAAACTATTTTTCAAGCATTATATGGTCTGTAAATGCAATTTTTTGACTTGTTGAACAGGCAGGTTTGCTTTGTGAATACAACTTTTTAATACCATGCCTACTTTTAGACATTTTTAGAAGAATTCCCCTTTAATTTCAAATTGGACACAAGATCTTATTTGCATATGGCGGGCAGCAGGCAGCAGTAGCCAAAGACTTTCAAAGAATAATAGAAATAAAAACTTTGACGTGGGAAGTAAGTTGCTTGTCTTTGCTCTCCCCCATGCTATTAGTTAGTCATTCCTACAGGATGCTGAGCTAAGGGCAGGGCAGGATGCTACTGTAGGTACCTCCTAAATTTCCGAGAGTACCTTCTGAAGAATCTCCCATTAGAAAGACTCTTGCTGGAGCAAAGGATGGAGACGTGGACAGGGAAGGGGAATTGAGAAGAAAGAAATAAAACAGTGAGAGTATTAAAAGAGGGGAAGAGACATTGAGCAAGGGTGGATAAATGTTCAGCTGTCAGTACTGATGGACAATCAACACTCTCAGAAGGGCAGGGAACACATTTCAGAGAGGATTGGGTAAAGAGTGTGAAAGGTATACCCACCTGAGCCCAGTTTTCCCTTATTTTTGGATGTTTGGATGTGTGTCTGTGTGTGTATATAAAATTAAATAAAATGTGTATATATATAAATATATATATATATATATATATATATATATATATATATATATATATACATATATGTATAGTAAGTAAATATGATAATAATGGGAATAGGAACAATAATGTCAGCTATGACTGAACAAAGGTGAGATTACATTATTTTTTTACGCAACCAAAGCATAAAGGAATTTTCTTTAATAACCACATTCTGCTCTTGCTGTTCATCTGTTGAACTGCTTTCCTTTTCCCTCAGTTTACTTTGACCTCACACTGTCAAAGGAAAATTCTCCGTGCCCAAAAACTCCAATGCAGACAATAAACTGCACCTGTCTAAACTCATAAAGTGAAGATCAAACCCTTTTCATTCATCATATCATGTTGTCTCCCACTACTAATATCCAAATCACCTCAACTCAGCCTGATGTTCACTGCAGCACTTTGTGGTGCTCCTAATGTTTACTACTGCTGGTGTTTACAAGTCTGCTTAAAATGAAAATTACCAGCCGTTTACCACGGCACCTACCGCCGTCAAGCAGCCGAGAGTCGACAGTCTGTAAAACCGCTAATAACGCAGAGCCTTACGTGTTCCCTCGTTGGAGGGGAACACAAGGAGAAGAAAAAGTGTTATAAAAATGTGCGTAATTATGATTTAACAAGTGTAAATTGGACTTGGCTGCAACAAAAGTTTCTAAGAAAGGAAAATATAATCAAGCTAAGCCCTTTAAACAGAATGATTCCTGGGGAATAAATGTTGTTGTGAAAGAAACAAAGTCTAATTAAACGCTACTTTGCGTAAGGATAAGAAACACATTTGTTTGTCTGTTTGGCTGAGAGTATAAAATTATTGTTTAGACATGTGGCTGTCTTAAGTGTAAAGGCCTGAGAAGCTGCTGGCTCAACATAAGGGCCGCAAATGTTGACAAGAAGCACTGCACTGTAAAAACTATATTGGATAATTAAACTCACAAATCTTACTCTCTCTTCTTTCCCTCTCTCTGAAATCCCCCATCTTCCCTCCCCTCCCTGTTTTTCAACTTTGGTCTGTCTTTCCTAGACTTGTGTTTGATGAGTTATATAAATACCATCCCAATGGAAAAAGTGCGTCATGGTACAGACATGGTACAGACTCCTGTCTTTGAAGGCATGTGAGTAAGCATATTCGCACACACTCACACACACTCACACACACACACACTGCAAAGACAAAGAAGCCCATCAACTCTTCCCTGACAAGTCAAAAGAAGAGAGACGCGGCAGCGAGAGGAGGAGAGAATAAAAGAGAAATATGTAAAAAAAGTTGTCGATAGAAGAATAAAAAAAGGACCAGAAACAACATAAAACGCAATAGAGCCCTAAAATATTTAAAGAGTTTAACAGTTTGACGCCTCTGGTTTCTCTTTGTGAGAGCGCATCAGCCTTCCAACAGGACTACTCTGCAATGCTGTACTGATGCTCACAACCTTTAAACTTTTTCTTTTTGTGGGGCAACCTTGTAGTGGGTATTCTCTTGGTTCTACAGCTTTATATTTTTTCCTCCTTTTCTGGGAAACAGTACCATCATAACTTTGCCAGAAGCCATTGTTTCCAAACCTATCAACATTAAACATAGGCCATTTCAATAAAAAAAAGACAACAAAGTAAAAAGTGTGAGTGGGCCCCAGTCTGTAGAGAAATGAATAATAAACCAATAAATGGATTTAAAGCTTGACAGATTAGACCAGATTCAGTGTTTTGGCATGGCAGTTGTATCGTATATTAAATGCCTGCTTGTGTTTGTGTCTTAGGGTTCGGGCTGAGAGTCATACAAACCTGTAAGTAGTGTCGCCCTGCTCTTTCCTTCAGTGATTAGTGGGATAAAGAGGAGGAGACAAAGGGAGAGAAATCAGTTTTCAAGCAGCTTAAAGTAGCATTACACAGATGTTTCCACCAATGGATACGGGAGGCATGAAGCCAAAAGAGAGCAAGAGGTTCAGTTCAGCCGCATCACTTATTCCCAAGCACATGCAAGCTCAGAGCTCAGGCCATGCACAGAAGGACAAAGCATTAGCTCGGAGACAGACCATCTGAGTGATATTATCCAAACCTGGTGTTTGTTAGGGAGTGTATGTCATCTCTCTCTTTGTAAATATATACAAGTAAATAAATTATGAATGAAATGACTCAAGTTAGTTACTTGAGAAATATAAAAACAATATTTTTGGATTTTTTGGGGGGAAATATAGTAGTTTCTCTCCATAACCACAGCTGTGATGTAGGTATTGTACACCAGTGTCAAGTTTCACTCACATAGTGACAAAAAGAGGTTTGATTTTGCAGCAGTGGTCGTCGTATATTTGTTTTTACCTTGGAAGAACCAACAGCAGAGACCATTCAGGCATGTTTTTAGGCTGATTAAATGCTGTCCAGACCACACTTTCCAAAAATACAGATGGAATTCTGTGCGGTTCTTTTGGCATGGGAGGCACTCTTATTTTTTACTATGATGTCGGAGCTGGAATTTTGCATTGATTCTGTGTATGATCTGCAGGCTGTGGCAAAGACTTCATCAACCAGTGCCAGAGTCATTATTTTTCAGGGCCCTCTCCCTTAGAAACACTTCCTATTTTTTTCCTTGTTGTGGGAAGGACTTCGGGTCAAGATTGCTACCAAAAAAATGCAATATAAATAAAAAAGTTAAATAAATTAAATGTAACCACTTCCAGTAAGTATCAGAGAAATTAGAGAAATGTTTATAAAGAGATGCCAACGTCCAAAACGAATGCCCACCACCTCCAGGTCAAGTGTTACTCTGATAATACCTCAAGAACTCAAGTGACTTTTAAACCCTGACAACAAACAGGGTGCAAATTGAGTGGAAATGTGTGAATCAGTCTGAATTTGAGAGGGATGTTAAAGGTTAAGCATGCTGAGCAAGACAATCCTGACAAAGGAGAAATTATTAATACAGGTATAAAAAAAAAACTTACAATGCGTCATAACAATGAGTCATCCAGTGGAGCAAGCGCCGAAACAACATCAGTGAAAACGAACAGACACCAACCAAGGAAGTGATGAGGAGAAAGGCTGAGCGCAGCGGCCATGTTTGTAAGTCTGTGAGTTGTTACCTACTTGGCGGGGCTGCAGGTATGCAACGCCTTCAAATGAGGCTTCCAGGTAGCAATGGAAACCGAGTTCTCATCAGCAGCATAACTACGCCAGACACACTACGTGCAGAGTTGACAGGATAAATAAAGTAATGATCAATGGAACAATTAATGGGAGTGTGGGAGGGGGGGGGAAACAAAAAGGAGTGACAGAGGATTGCAACATTTGGGAAGAAAGGGAGTAAACATGGTGAGAATGGAGGGGGAGAAAAAGAACAGAAAACCTTGGTTAGTTTTTTTGAGTAGTGTTGATGCACTGTGTGTCGGGCGTTGTCGGAGGGGCGTGGGGGCGGTGCTGGAGGTGCTGGTGAAGGGGATACATGCCTGAGGGGGGGGAGGGCGCTTTGGTAGTGGTGCCAGGTGGCTCTGAGGTAGGGACGAGCACCATCGGTGGAGTACAGACGCCAAGCCGCCTGGGTGGAGGAGGGAGCAGAGATGGACAGGACACGCACACCCCCACGTGTACGCACAACACAAACAGGCACACACAAAAGGGCAATTGTACAAACATTGTGAGGAAAGTGATTGAAATATATGTGAACATGTAGTATTTGAGGGGAATTGTAACCAGCTGGCCACCATAACGGAGGGCTTCGGAACTGATTTGAGGCCCTTCAATTTCAGTAGATTGTGTTTCTTGGTAAATCATTTTGATGGTTTGACATAATGCAAAAGGAACTGTCAATTTATTCTGACGGTTTGTATTTAGATGGAAAATGCAATGAGTTAACGAGGAATGTATAGTACTAAATTAGGTTGCCATTGTTAGTACCTCAACAGGGAATCAAATGCATTTGAAAGTAAAGCCCTCCTCTCACAGTCCTCTCTCTGTTGCATTCCCCTCCCTCCAGATGAGTGGGCCATATGCACATACTCCATATGCTACATAAATATGAAACTGAATTAGTCACAGCTGTGAGTCTTGGGCCAGAGTTAGCAGAAGGCTAAATCACACGCAACACTAAGCTTTGTCAAATCGGCTGCCTTAATTGTAGCTAACTTCACAACCACTGTAAAACTATGACTACAGTTTACATTTACATACTTTTACTTTCTTTAAAAATGGCCATTTTAATGTGTCTTTCGTTTTATTGGCTGCAGTGTGGACATGAATGAGTACTGGAATAGCAGCTTCATATCGGAGACATAGTTGTCCTTTCCTTCATCATAAGAAAAGTGTATGCACATTATCAAGAATGGCTTACTTTATGTAAAGCTCAAAGGAAGATTATGGCCACCCAAAATGTCAATGATGTGCTTAACCAATGGTCTAGATTTAGCAAAAAGTGCACAAACAGACATGGACGCTTGCTACTACAATTAAATAGTTCCCTTAAAATATTTTAAATTCTAAAAGTGTTCATTGTAGCTGGAAAATGAATTGTTTTGCATGAACGTCAAACCTTTTTAGAAGCAACATTACATTAGTGTTCAATAACAAATTTAGCCAGTGGGCCTTTTTACAGAAAGGACCCGCAACAACAATTACAATTGCTAATTGTAAACGGCAATTTATAATTAGCTTTCATCACATTCTACTCATATCTAATGAGTTTCCATGAATTAAAAATAAACCTCCTCAATGGTGCCAGTTTTGGTTACAATATTTGTGTTTGACACAAACAGGTTGAAAATGAACACTAGCCACCTGCCAAAGACTGGTCAATGGGGGCGTTGGGTTGTTAAGCCAGACTTGAGAACCTTAAGAAGGTCTTTGGAGGTTTGCTTTTGCTCCAAATGCACTTTCATTAGGAGAGATCCTCATGTAGCAGGGGATTTGAAAGAATTGACCAGTTGCAGAGGCCTGAGGAAAGTTTCATGTCTTTCATACAAATAGAGATGCACAACACAAACTGTGATTTAAAGCAGGCAGAGAGGTGTGAAATGAGGGAGTGCACTGACACAAAATGATAATGTTATCCACATTTTAACACATCATAGCAGCTTCCATGTTTCCTGTTACCTGTAGAGGAAAATTTGAGAAAATGCGAAGGCAACAGACATTGACCACATACTAGATAAAGAACTATTAACCAGAAAAAGGAATGCGCATTAATAATTGCATGCATAATGGGTTATTTTGGAACAGCTGGACAAATATAAGTATTAGTGGTACAGATAGTATACCGTGTATATCTCATTAAGCATTTAAAGAAAAAATCTATGAAAATTTTTTATATGGAAAAAAGAAAATGATGGTTTTCAACAAATGCCATAACAGTTCTAACACATATTTGGAAGGGATATAATACATATACGATATTTGTGAGAAAAAAAATTTAAATGTCAATTATTATGTTAGATAAAGAAAGCCTGTGGTACTAAAGATCCTACGAGTTTACAAATAGATCATTGCTACAAAACATATTAAGTATGAAGGAAATAAAAACCTTCGTCTAACGTGTGCCTTACCAACAACAAATGATGTGAACATTAAAAATAATGTCACGCCAGTTACTAAAATTCTACTTTTTATTTTAAATATACCATGCTACAAGCTTTGGTGATTGAGAAACACAAACCATAATTTTGACGGAAAAACGCGCTACAATATTTAACTCATTGCCATTGCTTAGTATAACGGATTAATTGGTTGTCTCATAGATTTTTAATTAATCAGTATTTCTTGTTTGAATTATTAAGGTAATAACTCAGTAGATTAAATTATATAATGGAAAGAGAATGAAGCATTTATTGGTAAACCTCACATGAGATATTCCTTGTAGAATACCTTTCATTATAACACAAACATCCTTTTTGACTGACAGTTTTTCATAACCACTTTAATTGTCAGGGTTCTTTCCACTTCCAAATATGTCATTTAGTAAAAACCAAGTCGCTTGTGGTCTTTAGATCAAAATTTGATTGAATGCGCAGATCAAGAAACTGTGTGTTGCTGTGTCTTACTACATTGTATAAAACTCTATATTTCCACAGCCATTTTATACATTACTCTAGCTTAAATGATAGAAATGGATAGAAAAATGGCTCAGAAAAAATCATTTGGGTTATATTTTGAGACAAAACCTTTAAAAAAGTAAGGCAGAGGGAGTTAAGAAAACAAAAGATGACAAAAGAGCCACAAATTCAGGCACACATATAAAAAAACCTACACTGCTGCGATCTTGCGGTTATGTACACACTCCACAGCAGATATTTATTGTTCATTAGAAAGTTATGCAGCTGGTCTTGTCTATTACGATGAATGACGGTCTGGAGGAGCGTCTGTCTGGGGAATGATCGCCATGGAAACGGCTCATAAATCCCAGCATTGTGTGTTGCCATTGGACTCAAGACACGTCAGCGTGTCTCACACACCATAAGTCTTTGTCAGCAACACAACCAGACGGCCCAGAGAAGGGCAAAAAGCACACACAAACTCATAAGCAAAGTCCTAATGGAACATATTCCCTTTTCCTCTCAACAGATGCACTCATGCTTCTATCTGCAGATGGCCAAAAACTCAAGAGTCGACATAGGCGAAAACTTTTTTTTCGCATCAAGGAAAAGAAAGTTGTTTGTGTTTGTAAGGCTTCTCAGCACCTGCTGCACCCAGAAAGAAGGAACTGAGAAGTGTGTTTGCTCATTGCTCTTTGTTCATACCTGGATGAGGCTGGCAGCTGGGTTTCTTCTTTTTTCAAAGTGCTTCTGTCGATGCTGCTCCTGCACCTTCAGCGCGAAACCTGATCCTAGGATACCCTGACAAAACACACCAAAAACACACATCCAACACACTGTTTTCACTTTTGCCAGATATCTCATCATGAATCATTTTGAGCTGATTAATGATGAGAGTCATTACACCCTCCTGTGCTCTTGCTTTTCACTCACAGCTGGCAGGGCGAAGAAGGAGATTCCCAGAAGAGCAAATCCGGCCGACAGAAGCCGTCCTGTCCACGTCTGCGGAGTCTTGTCACCATAGCCTATGGTTGTGAGGGTGATCTGAGGAGTCACAGGTCTACAATCAGGTAGCTGCGCTACTGCAGCAGAGGACAGTCTACTGAGGGAACGAAAAGCTCTTCAGATGTAGGAGCATCTGTGTTTTGTTCATTACTGCTTCATTTGGAACTAAACTGCTGTTCTTACAAAGCCTCGCATCGTTTGTCGCGGCTTATTCTGTCATATTCTATTCCACTAAGAGCTTTGAGTTAACAGCCTGACCTTTGCTTCGAGGTTGTGGAACTCCACTGAAAAGACCAAAGACTAACTTTGTGACCTTGAATAAGTAGGCTTCCACTGCACCTGCTTGCTTTAATGACGTACTTTCATTTTAATTATCGTTCCTACAAAGCATTTTTTTTTAAAGAGGCCTGGAAAATGAGGCTGAACAGATGGGCCGGACACATCCATTTGTTGCACTTTGCGCCATCCAGAGATGTCTCAAACTATTTTTAATCTTCTTTTTTTTATTTCATACAAACAACAGCTTTTAGTTGCTACCAGAAATAATGCTCCAAAGTCTCAGAGGATGAGAGCAGACTTTGTCTGCTTGTCATTCCCACAAGCCTTGGCGGGCAGTTTCACCTGGCAGCAGAAGAAAATTGAATTTATTGATCGGGCCATTTCTTGTTTGTATCATGTCTTTTTCCACATTTTCAAAGGAGGATGTAAGAGGAATCAGTGCGGTGTAGCCAGTCGAGTGTGGCTTTTAAAGCTGTTCTCGCTGGCTGCTGTAATACCACTGTCATTAGAGTGGAACTGCAGCTATAGATTGAAATATATCACTGCTATCAGACACAAGCAGTATGACTCAAGTCTTCTTAGTTTTTCCCTCAGGTTAAAGTGGGTGATGGTAGATTTGAGAAACTGATTTCAAGGTGTAAACATTAGTTTTCCTCAGAATTCTTGTGTCTGTGATGCATGTGCTCACCGTGCCCCACCACAGAGCATCAGCATACGTGTCAAACTCCTTGTTGAATTCCTTCTCAACCAGATAAACCAGGAAGGAGGAGAAGATGAGCACTAGGAACCCAATATACCAAGCAGTCACCAGTTCCTGCACACACAAACACACAAACACATACTAGATAAATATCCATGACGGTAAATGAACTGTTCACTATATCACAATATCCCTGATTTCTTATTTTTGTGACTTGTCAAAATTATCTCTTGATGAATGACTGACTTCCTTTACTTGACCTTATTCACGCAGTCCTGTAACTATTACAGCAAATGAACAAAAACAGAGACTCAACATAAAAACATAAAGATCACTGACTGAAAGACCCTCAAACACTTCATCCTGAGGGGGAAATTCCTCTTCAAAAACAGGAACACAGCTCAGAAAAAATAAATGTATTACCTTACTATGAGCATAGACCACAGATCCCAGCAGTTTCCATGTCCCTCCCCTGCGGTCCATGCGCACCATGCGCAGGATCTGAAGGAAACGAAGGCTACGCAGCGCCGAGGTGGCAAAGACGTTACCTTGGCTACCGGCTGACACCACAGCAACTGAGGTGATAAGTACAATGATATCTGGGGAGTAAAGGAGTGAATATTAAAGGTCACGCTTTCCAGAGTACATGAAAGATCAACTGTGATTGATTCATTTACTTCCTCCTTCCACCAGTCACTCATCCACCGTCTTAGAAACAGCTAGTGTTCACTACATGCCCTTTGTTTTTTTTCCCCCGCTATTAGTCCTTGTTTATGTCATTGTGTCGAGATGTTAAAACACCCCATTTCCTTTTGTACATCAGAGCAGAGTGACCTTAGAATGCAGCAAAAAAAAGCAATAGATATACTGTTGTCATTCCTTCTGTTTATCTATCATATTTACATATTGTGTATATATCTATATATCTACATCTATATAACGTATGTACGCACTATGAATATTATATATATCTGCAACGTCTGAAATTCTGCCCAGTGTTAAACATCTGTATTGGATATATTTCCCACGATCTACACAACATAGGTTCATTCAGTTCCAAAACCATTGTTTTCTGTCTTTGTTAAAACACATTTTGAGGACTTTCTTTTAAAAGTAATATCCAAAGATACATTTCTGAATTGGCTCATTAATAATCTGCACCATTAAAACACATCTTTTCTTCTTCTTACACAGTCAGACAAAATGATTGGTGCTGTCAGTCATGGCTGACCTTTGAGAAAAGTGTTTGATTTATGAACATATAGGCTTTTTTCCTCCTTGTTAGTCTTCAAACAGTCCTACCTATGACACAGAAGGGCTTCCTGGCAAAGCGGAGGCGGCCCTGCCAGCCTCGGTAGCGGCAGCAGCAGCCGGCACTCCATATCCTGATGATGTACTCCAGGCCAAACACTACAATCATGACGAACTCCTACAGGACACAGACACAAACATGTCCTTTAAATGCTTGAAGTGAACTGCGTCATTAACACAGCGACAGGAAAGATTCAAGGACTGATTTTAAAAAGTAGCAAATAAATACATTTAATAGTACCGAATACACATTTATGAGAGTGCTTCACAGTCACTCAACTAAAAACAAAGGTGTTGCTTTTAGTTTAGCAGTGCAGGTTCCAAGGCCCTGGCCAAAGGCCTGCTGGTTCATTAGTGTGACTTGCTGTGGAGAGGAGAAGTTGATATAGTTATCAACTGTATTCAAGCTTTTCCCGATGTGGCAGTCTAGGCCTTCACAGCGGTTTAAATAAATTAAATTAATGGGATACATATCTTACTCAGTCATTCATGTGCCATATATCTTTTTTTTCTTTTTAATGAAACTTTTGCTTTATTGACTCATCACACAGTCTGTATGGAGTACAAGATGGTTACCTAATCAAAACAGCAGTGGGATACTCATTTGAAAAACAAAAACTGAGATTATGTTTTATAGGTAAAATGGATTTAAATTCCTTTTGTGGTTATATCGTTTTTTCTGTTCCATTGTTCAACTCATCCAATATCAATGCTACGTAACTAAAAGCTTAATTTCTGCTGTGAGAGTGTTACAAAGCTACAAAACTACACACTTTTCATATTCATATTTCTACATTGTAAACGCCGTTAAATGAAAACAATGTGCTTTACTTTTTACAGTACAGTTAACATTTGCTCCATGTCTTCCCCTAGTTTAGGTCATGAATTTCTGATTAAATCACTTCTGAACATGTTGATTTTAAATAGCAGGGGGGCTCTCATCACTGTTCATTATAGTCAAGAGAATGCATAATCAGCATTTCTACTCTTCACCGGTGCTTAATCACACCCCCTTGTACTTTTTTGTGTACCCACAATCACATAATAACTGTATCTTTTAGAACTACCTAGATGATACCAAACTTTTTTGAGTTGGAACTTTGAAATCGAGCCTGAACTCCAAAAAAGTCCTTTGAATGTCTTGCCAAATGTAAGGACCAAAATGTCTTCATGTCCCATGCATGTTTGCACACGCATAGTCCAGAAATTTAGTTGATCCAAACAGAAAAAACAAGTGTCAAAACATTAGATACTCTGAGCTTGCAGAAACTGTACTTAATTCATCTTAAACAAACACCTTCATGATGATTCATATTATCATTCAACTTACTATATTATCAACAAAGACAGCACTCTTTGGGAGCTACAAGTTAACACGTAGATTTACACATTTCTCGGGAGATGTGTTTTTCTTGATAAAGATTTTTGTGTGTCTTACCAAGATGAGCAGGCAGTGTGAAGAGAATTCCTGGTGAGCAGGGATGGTGGAAAATACAGAGAGAACCAGACATCCAAACACCAGGATGAACCTGTGGAAACAAACCACACAAATACACACCGAATGTGAGTAATAAATAATATTTCGCTGCTAAATGATAAGATTGGGTCCATTAGTTCAGGTAATGCACAAACTTGGAGGGACAAACAGAATATCTCTCCTCTGGCAGACTGATACTAGCTATACAGTTTTTCTCTCTTTTTATTAATTCAGACATTAGATGTAATTTTACATTCCATTTTTTTCCTGGAACAGAGACAGCTTATTGTGAATGGGATATAAGACACTATAAATGAGATACGCATGATCACCATGCAAATATTTCAGCATTGTGGAGCATTAAAGAAGTTCACATTTGGAAAAAGGACCAGCAGTTCTCATTTCATCATCAATAAATGCAGTCGTCAGACTGTCAATGATAGATGTTGTGAGGAAAGACAGTAGTTACTTTATAAGTAGAAAAATAATATTATTTAGCTTGAAGTCATCTCCAATTTATCTGAATGGTATCAGTGTGAGAAGAAGACAGAATTAATGTGAACACTTAGAAATAAAATTCCCTTTAGCTGTTGCTAAATGTTTATCGTAAATTGTTCTAAATTTCTCTGAAAAAAAGAAAAACACAAAAAAAAGTGATATAATTGCCACTATTGATTCCAAATTAATCTAAATTAATCAAAGTTAAGTTTCAAATGAAATAATTTCTTTTGGAGATATACTGTAAGCCCTTCTTCCTGTCAGAAACTTAGTTGTTTTGAAAGTCATATGTTAACTTGGTTAATGAGCAAATTAAAATCTATAAAGAAACTTCCAGGCAACATATGCACGGGCAGTCCCAGCATGGCATTTTTTTTTATCTCTGAACTTTTTTTTAGATGCCATCTGTCTTTCTGATATGTATGATCTCATTTCTACAGAGGTCTGTTTTCTTCTGAATGTGCTCTAGTGAAAAATATTCTTCCCTGGTCACGTTAATAATTTCCCCCTTCTTGCTTATTTCTTTAATGGGTAATATTCTTTATTTACCTCTCTTGCCCTCTTGTCTTCTCAACATACATTCTAAGTCTCCCATCTCTCAAGCTTTGATTCATTTGACTTTTTCCCCCTCTTTTCTGGCTTTACTGTATGATTGATGCTGCCATTTATCTTCCATGGGCTCTACAAGAAATAAGAAAAGTGTGTATTGAAAGTGTGTGCACCTGTGGCTGGGTTTACAGCGGAGCTAGACTGATGGATCCTAACTTCCAGCCCACATCTGCATCTGATACTGGCTCAAATAACTCTTTACTGTCAGTGTGAGGAGCATTTGCAAACAACAGCCGGCTGAAGCAGTACAGTTTAAGATGCATTAACAGTTTTTCTAGTGCTTTTACAGTCAACAATCCTCAAGTAATTACTTTAAAATGCATTCTGTCCCTCTCCATTTTTGTAACTGATGAGTTGCGGTGCAAATTCCACGAGCCAGTGATAATATAGACCTTGAATTAACCTAAATCTTTTAAAGAATACTTCCTAGCAGAAAGTCTGTCAGAATTGTTAGTTCCTGTAGATTCCTTACATGCATTATTAGCAGCTATGTATTGTTGTCCATCCTAAATATTCACCACATTTTCCAACTTCAAATGATTTACACAGTTTCCAGATACATAAAGCCTTAGAACTGAGTGCGCTAATAGCAAATGCCCCCTGTTTTTTTCTAATGAAAGCTTGCTCTTTCTCAGTTTAATGATGCTATTAAGTAAATCAGTCATGCAGTGAGATAAATTGATTGGGTCTAATTTTCAGCAAAACAAATGACTAATCATTTTAACAAGGCCTCTATCTCTACTGTTGTGTATATTGTTAAATATTTGCAGTTCAGAGCAAATTATGCTGTCTGACTAGAAATTACTATTCTACTTGACAAGAAATTGATCTGAAAAATGTTGCTTTGCTAAAAGGTTACACTCTTCATTCATTTTCTGAGTGACAGAGTTTTTAAAAAATTAAGAAATACTTTTCAGTAAGTGGTAGGTTTTTTCATGACACATTTTTAGAAAGATATATCTCACACTCTCTGTATGTGTTCTGGAGCTCGATTTCATTTAATTTTGGCTCAGTCCAGGGTCAGAGAAAGGTGGTCCAAAAAAAAATCACCCAACCTTAAATTCTGTAACAGCATAATTGGTCTGAGCTGTAAATATTCCTCATCTTCGCTGTTGGAGACAGATGTCGAGCGAAAATAACGAATAACAACTAATTAATTACTACATACCTAAAAACAAGAGAACAAATGGAGCCTATTTTTTGTGTTCAGAGGTCCTGATAAAGGCCTTTGTATAGATTCAGTCTTCTTCAAATACATTTATCTTTGACGATGGTTACACCACATATAGAATAATCCTGAATCACACTCAAAACTGTGTTTTACATGATTCTTGGTGCATGTGGCATATCATCAGTGTATGCTTTTAGGAGATGTGCGACCTCCTTTTTCTTGGGTAACTCTTACTGCTTAGTGTATAATGAGTTCATTATTTAGAAATTCAGTGGTTGTAGACAGAAGTGATGAATGAGAGGCTGTTTTTTATTGACACTCAGTCAATAATGCTGTGACATTGACTGGCACTGGGGTAATTTAGCCATTTCATAAGTCACTTACAGAATGAATTGCCTTGTTTGAGAATGATTAGTGTGTATTGACAAATGGGATTCCAGCGTATGCCTCTGGGAAAAAGGGCAGCTTACATTACACAAAGAAAAAAAAACTGTTGTTGTTTTTAATGCCTTCCGTCTCAAAACTTTGAATTATCCATTTGCCCCTGTCACCAAGAGAAAGGATGATCATGGTCCATCATCTTAACATCATCAGACCCCAGATGTCCTGTGTCAGGTGAGAATGCAAGAGTAAAAGCTACTTATTAACATCACTCTATGCAGGGGCTGTTTCCATCACTCGCCTTCATCCCATCTGAGGACAAGTGGCAACAGGTGTAGGAGGAAACCCACCACTCTCTCCAGCAGCACTGTCCAGCTTCCTATTATAACCCCTTCAGCATGTTTTGAGTCAGCCTGAGACCATTTTTCAGTTTGACATGCCTGTAAAACCTCAAAAGAGAAGCTACCATGAGACATCCTAAGCAGATGCACAGACTGTCACTACCACTTTCCATGTTGAGAGGCAGCGGCCAGGATCAAGCATAAGAAAAAAGCTCCTCTCCCCATCTAAAGGTTTCAACACTTCCACCCTTTAGAGGAGACCCTTTGCATTTGTTGACTAATGCCTGTCATCTATTACCATAAAGGGCTGGAATGTAAATGCTTGATTCCTGTTTTTTGCTATAAAGAATACCATTTGATCTTATTAGTTGAGTTCTGTTTGAGAGGATTGTCTTCCTGATGAAGATTTCACTTACTTACCTTATGAGATTTCAGGGATCACACAATAACCCATTTTACCAGGCTCCAAGTTAGCCTTTTCCTGCCAAAACTCATATATTGACATACGTGAGCGAAACATTGGTGTGAAGTCAGTAGTTATAGCTCTTGAACCTTAATGAGCTTTCCTGGAAGCAGTTCAATGATCCTATTGATTTTGGTTAAGTTGTGACGCACATTAGTGAAAGGTCAGCTTTCCATATCAAGTTGTTAGATCAACTTACTCACATAATCTTGCATGAAACTGTGTTTGCTAGAGGCTACGGTAAATCATATATGTTGAAAGGAAGAAGCAAACAACAACTTTTCCATTTAAATAATGTGTGGGGATATTTGGTAGAAATACAATATATATCTAAGATTTTTGGAGGTCTGATGTATAACATGGGCTTCTAAACTATGTAACAAGTTATGAAAAAAGAGAAAGTGAAAAGGTGGAAGTATGGCAGCAGTTCACATTTATTTCACACATGTAAGTAGCTACAAAGGATTAGCTTTAGCAGTAAGGATGTAAATTAACTCCCCTGTGAACATTTGCTTTCAATCTGCCTCTCTACAAAATCCCATCCAGCTAAGTTAACTAATATCTCTGATGTGTGCCGTCAAACCAACTTGTGGTTACGTTGGTGCCTGACAAGCAACAGTGAAAAGTTGCAGGAGGGAGAGAACGCCGGCTTCAGTGCATAATGGGGAGACAAACTACCCCTGTCCAAATGCTGATGAATAACCCGAGGACCAGCAGAGAAACCCATATACAGCGAAAAGCTGCAGCACTCCTCCACAAGCTGACAAAGATGCCTGAAAAGCCTGAGGAGTGAGAGGTGAGCGTGTGAGTAATCACATCCCTGGAGAATTGCAGCCTGGGCTCACAAGGCATCATTACAAGCATCTTAAAATGGAAACAAAACATGTTTAACTAAAGTAGCTGCATACAGGCCTGCTGAAAGATGACTCTCCTATTAAAATGATCATGGCTGGTGCTCATTATTAAGACCAATTTATTCCCATGGCCTGCAGATTAAAAGATCCTTCACTTAAATTTAGATTAACAAAAAAAATGTTTAAAAAAACACCTCGAAAGATCCCCTCACACCGTCTATGGGTAAAAACCATCCTTCACTTCCAGGAGCAGAGCCACCTCCCATCTAATTTTACAGTACATTAGAAAGCATAAGAAACCAAAGAGACAGCAAAAACAAACATTCCAGTGAGAACAATAAGCAGTCGGGTGTGTCATGTTATCTATTAGCAGCAAATGTGACGTGAAAATAGCCTCATTTGAAAAATAGAAACAACAAATACAGACTGGTTGTTACAACACTATTGCAGTGTGGCATCGGAGAGATAAATATTTTGACGGTTGTGTCATGTGAATAATAAATTGCCTCTCTGAGGACATGTTTGACTCTTTGTTCTGACTGCAAATCCATATTAAAAAGAATAACCAAGGCACATATCAGCACAGCTGAGTAGAACAACATCTGCTTGACGTAAACATTGTGTATTTAAGAATGCAAGTCAGCACATTTATGATGAGCAACCGCTTTTGAGGTGACGAAGGACATCAAATAAAGATGGATGCAGTATTCATGTGCACAGAGGTGAGAAATGCAAATTCATTAAAAAAAGAAAATCTTTTTTGGTGAAAGACTGGGTGAACGGTAGAGGATTTGTCCACATATTGCAGTTTGTATCTCTATTTATTTCCTTCGCATGGAACAGAATCTACAGAAAGCATGGGAATAAGGGAACTGCGAAAAACATAAGAATCACTGAGACTTAGAAATGCCTCATAATGTCAAGATAAAAAAGTAGCTGAAAATGCAAAGGAATATGCACAAAGAGGAGCAGACAAAGCCTCCACAAACCGCCGGGTCCTATGAATCAAAATGACTACACATTACAGGAGTGAGAGTAGCAGGCTCTCCTGGATGAAAGCAGCAGATCCATCAGAGGCCTCGATGGGTAGATAACGCTCGAGCTTTTGCTATAAATAACATTTCTCTTGTTAGATCAGTACATCAGAGATAAGAGAAGGGAAAGATACAGAATGAGATTAAGAAAGAGAAGAAAAGATGGGTGAACAGTCAGTGCAAAGCCAGTCCTACCTTCCTTTAATCTGACTCATCTTTTCCTCTTTTCATTCATGGCAACTGCTACAACATACTTTTTTTGTGCTACATTTTGTGTTGTTTTACGTGTCTGCAATTAATTCTGCCAAACACTTTATTGTAAAATGTATACAAGGCCAAAAGGGAGGTAAAATATAGGCATAAACTCAAAGGAAAGGGGTAAGTGAAGAGGTCAAGAAGTTATGAAAAAAACTAAATGAGGGAAAAAGGAATGGGGTGAGAGTAGATTTTGGCCATCTGATTCCCTTTATGAAGTATAATAATTAATCCCTGACACATATATCTGTACTTGGCTCCATTTATTGTGAAACCTGTTGATCTAAATGCTACATGCTAACAAAAGTGTAAGCAAGACCACGTGGGCATGGCCTCTAGAAGCAGACAAAAGTTGGCTACTGCTCCAGCTTTCTTAGGATTTCTCAGTGTCGATTATGAAGGACTGTTTAAGGCAGTTATGACCAGTAAGTTATGAATAATAGATTAGACAAAGCTCCAGCTCAGAGAGGTGC